ATTACGGACTTTAAAAACTTCTTTAAAACTTGGAGATTCCAAGCCAGAAGAAAGGGTAAAATGAAATTAAAATGGCAAACTTTAATTTTTTTTTTGAAACAACTATTTATTTATTTGTCTATATTAATTTTGTCGCCTTCAAAATAGTCCCCATTGGATATTATGCACATGTGCCAGCTCTTCTTCCAATACTCGAAACACTTCTAAAACTCGATCTTTGGAATAGCCTTTAGTTCTTTCAGCGATGCGCTTTTAATGTCATCTATGCTTGCAAAACGACGGCCCTTTAAGGTTCTCTTTATTTTTGGGAATAGGAAAAAGTCAGACAAAGGCATGTCTGGCGAATAAGGAGGCTGGGGCATCATTACAGTATTATTTTTGGCCAAAAATTTAAAAATTTTAGAACAAATTTTTCTGCCACGCGTTTCATACCCAAAACATTTGAAAAAATTTCATGGGATGAGCCAATCGATATACCAACATCATCAGCGACTTCTCTGATGGTTTACAACCATTTCTTCCACTTTTTCCATGTTTTTAACGGTTGTTAATGTGCTTGTGCGTTCGGGGCGTTCGTCATCTTCAACGTCTTCACGGCCATCTTGGAAACTCTTATACCACTTGTAAACTCTTGTTTTACTTATAGCAGACTCACTATAGGCCTTTGTTAACATTTTAAAGAATTTATTTCATTTTTTGGTTAGTTTTGAAAATGTATTTAAGATTATTTCACATTAATTACCCTAATATCTAACTATAGTTTATTGTATATGAAAATAAAAAACACTGTCTCCGCCACTGGTTTAAATTTTACTAACGTAACTTTGTATCCAGTTAGACAGACTATAATAAATACGTATTAGCATTATATAATAAGTTGCCAAGTAGTTTGCTTTGGATATTATAATTTTCGGTGACATAATGTCTGATTCCTTGCCAAAGTTAGCGAGTGGAAAACATTACTTTCGAAATTATGGAAATTGAAGTGAGAAACTAATTAGAGAATAAGCTGAATAAGAACAACATTTGACTATACTCTAAAGGAAGTGAGAAGTATTAAAAGTCTTACGTGTTAGCAAGTTTTCAAACTTGTATACTTGTATGTTTCATAATATGAAATATAATTAATCATGTATGATATACAGGGTGTTTCTACTCAAAATAAACAACTTAGCTAAGTTGTCTATTAGTAGAGGTTATTCATCAAAAGGTTTCTGTTAAAACAAAACAAAGTCGATAATTTTAAAACAAAAGCTCAAATAAAAAAAATTTATTAAAAAAAAGTGTATTAGTCTTTATTAAGTTATTTATTTTAAGTAAAAACACTTTGTATTATTAATAGTAAGGTAGTCACTACAATCTTAAGTAATAAATGACAAAATTACTTTATTATTTCCTCATTGTTTTAAACAATAAAAATTATCTTTTGTTCAAAATTAGTAATTTTTGACTAATTCATTTAAGGAGAGTATTGTTTTATACAAGCACATATATCACGTCAAAAAGATATATGAAAATCATTTTCATCGTTGAATCGAAGAAAAGTTTATTGCCTTTGTTTGTATCTCCGACTCATAATTAAGATGACACGAGATGCATTTCGCAAATTATTGCCTTTATTACTTTGAAAATTGACTTTCAGTTGAAAAATTGAATTCGTACTTTATTAGTTCATTTGTAACTCGGTTTTTTTTCGATTTGTGTTGTGGTTGCTGGGAGTTAATTAAGGATTTAATGAAACGTAATATTTGTAAGCAGGGCTGGATTTAGCCCTGGCCCACCTCTGAATACATATACAGGTGTTCCCGATAAATACCAAAACATTTTTTATCGAATAAAATTTGCCTACCTTTTTAATTAATCTTAGTTTGCAAAATTTAATAAATTTTTGGTGTCTACACAAGGCCTAAAAACTCTAAATCCGGCCCTGTTCGTTCGTATATGTATGAATTATTTGTTACGATTTGCTATATTTGTTTAAATAAATTTACTGTGCTTGATTAAGTTTTGAGAATATGAGAATATGCATACAATAAATATTCCAGTGGGATACAGCAAACGATATATTTTATAACTATAATGGTTAATATACAAAAATGTGCAGGGTTATAAATCTTTTAGTTTTGAAATAATAAAAGGGGTAGGTATGTATGAAAAATGCATTAATCACTGTTTTATTAATATTTAAATATCTATAAAATAAATGTTTTATGATTTATGTGTGCGTAAAATGTTTTCCATTTTATTTTTATTGGAAAAATAATAATGATAATATCAACTGACCGAAGCAAAAAAAGACCATCTGGGCCAAATAGCATACAAAACTTTATGTTCAAGTTGTCAAGTTTTTCAAAATATAAAGCCAATTTTATTTGTTTAACGATACAATTATTAAAAGTATAAAGTGAGGTTAGAAACATCTAACAGATGTCGAATCACTGAATCTCCCAATTATAATTTAATATATATATACAGGGTGGTCCAGGATTAATCTGAAAAATTTTAATGATCGATAGAGCCTGAAAAAACAATAAAAACAAACCCAAAAACATTTTTCAAAAATGCATACTAACAGAGATATAGTCCTTCAAAATAATTTTTAAACCATTCAACCGATTCTTCTCAAATTTTGCGTAGGTTAAGCTTCCGTCGATAATATAATGAAAATTTCCTACAAAATTAATCTGATGATTTTCCAATAAAATCCAGTGGTGTCGAAATATGGGGGTAAAAAGGGGAAACCCCCAAAATCTCCGCCGCTGGGCTTTTTGTAAGAAATTTTACCAACACAAAATTTGAGCAGAATTTATTAAAAAAAAAAAACGTTTTTTTGCCTTTGAAGGGCTATAAGTGTGTTAGTGTGTATTTTTAAAAAATATTTTTGGGTTTGTTTTTATTGTTTTTTCAAGCTCTATCGATCATTAAAATTTTTCAGATTAATCCTGGACCACCCTGTATATATAATATAATTATAATAAATCGTGTATTTGTAAAGGCACATCTCCTAAATATTTGTAGCCTATCGTTATTTATAGCAAGCGGGCGTGCGTAAGCAGCGGTGAGATGTATTAATATTATATTTGTTTATAACTTTGTTAATTAATAAAACTTTTTGGATTTTTGTGGTAATTATGTTTAATATTTGTGAAACGCTGATTTTTTCCAATTCCAATATATTCAGTGTGCCTACTTAAGTTGGCAACATATGGGAAACTTTCTTATTATTAATTTTACGAAGAAATCTTTTTATAAAGAATAATTAGTTTTATTTCTCCATACGATGACAGGGGACTGTTTCATTCTCTATAGAGAATGTATACATACATATGTATACGTATTAAAGATTTTTTCATTAGCAACATAGCAATAATTATGCAAACACGATATATGAAGAATTGATTATGTATACTATAGTCAAAATTAAAAGTAGAAGATTTACCTTGGATTCAGACAAAATTATTAATAAATGGCAAATTTTAATATTTGTCATCAGTGGTAATAAATATTCTTTTTTGTTTACTCTTAACAAGGTCTTCTTGGTTTTTATTAATACTGTTGTAGGTAATTTAACATCAAAGAGATTAATTTGAAAAGGCATTTGCTCGTTTTTCAATATCTTTTATCACCACCGCTGTTAAGTGAAAGAGAAACCATTAGATACAATTAAAAATAAATGGAAACAATTGAAGTTCTCTTCTTTTGTTGAGGAAACAAACTTTTCCAATAGTCACGGTTCATTTAACGCGGAAAGTTTTGTTTTCGAACTGTTTAAGACTGTACGCGCCACTCTTCCGCTGCACATAATGTGATGGATATGTTTTTACGCTTTTAAACTAATAAAAGGACTTTTATCCTCGATGGATCCGCTCGTTTGTCGTACGTACATCGTCGACCCCTAACGAATAAAAGCAATGTTCCACGAAATTACATTGCCCCAAACGAGTACAAAGGCTAACAAATAGATAGAATACAATTTTACTAGCTGTTCTCTAAACCAGAGCCGTAACAAGCTTCAGTGACGCCCCAGGCAAATTTGAGCCTCTTCATTCTTGAGAAAAAAAAGAACTGACATTGCACTTGTTTGGATAATAGGCAAGCAAAGACGAGCTAAGTTGCGGATACAGATACAGATTTTATGATGATGCGGATGTTCCGCAAATTCGGATACGGGTGCAGACGTCTGTAACCACATAATGGCAGAAAAGGATAAATTGCGCTTCAATTGTATATTAAAATTAAAATTTCTAAAACAGATGTCTATTTTAAGAGCCCTTCCAGAATTTATTTTTTACAGCAAGAAAAAGTTTTGATCCAAAAAATGTGTTTTTTTATTTCATTTACTTACCCTCGTAGACTATTAATTAATAATAATTATTTTACATTCAATTACATTTTTATCGAAATTAAATTTTAGAGATTTTTGGTTGTTTTAAATTATGTTTTTTCAAAAGTCGACCTTGCCAAAACGTAGACCAGAAAAACTTTTCAATTAAATTAAATTAAATTTGATGCACAAGACGGGCGATGGCGAGACAAAGTTGCGCTTACAGGTACAGATGTTATGATGATGCGGATGTTCCGCAAATGCAGACGTCTGTAACCACGGCATGGCAGAAAAGAATAAATGGCGCTTCAAATTTATATTAAAATTAAAATTGTGCAAGAAAGTCCTTTCTAAAACAGATGTCTATTTAAAGGGCCTATAGGCCTATAGGAAATCTATTTAACATGCGAAACGATAGAATGACCTGACTGCTTTTTCGCCATTAAAATTATCAAATATTAGTTATAATAAGTCATTTTTGACTAATTCATTTTAAGAGAGCATATTATAGACAAGGAGGAGAAAGCTCATATTATAGCTGAGTATACAAATCACTGCAGAAGCGATAGCCAAGGCTTTAATATACTGTTTTATATATTTTGTAAAAATCACTTTTTGGTTGGCTTCAAATAAATAATAAAACAAACAAAAATGTTTAAAATAAAAATACCATTAAAAATAATGCTATATTATTCTTAATTGTTACATTATTCATTCTTCTTGGAAGAACCATATTTGTTTCTAAAATATTTTAACATTTGGATGATGAACATCCAAGACATAACGTAGATAGCAGTAGTTAAAATTAAAATTTCCAATTCACTTTTAGGTTGATTAAAAACTAGCACTAAAAAATAGGTACCTACGAACACCCTTACTATAATAAAAGTAGTCACAAATAGTAACTCAACGCACGTAAACAACTTTGAGGGATACAATCCCTCAGTTCTTATAAACCATCTCAACTGTAAAAGTGGGTTTGTCACCTCCATGGTCCCCAAAGCACAAGACGCTTGTGGCCCCGAAATAGACTTAAATAACATTCTGTACAAAGCGAACACACTGTATATATGATGAGCCATCATCAGTTTGGTTTCTGTTTGGTATATCAGGCACCAGCACAAATCAAATATGAAATACCCCAAACTCGTTACAAATAAAAACCTGTGGTCTTCTGTAGTGGGTAACTCAGGATGTCTAAAAGGCGTATCCGGTATAAAACACTCCTTAGATCCCAGAATAACTGCTGTAATTCCATGTAAACAAGTTAGCAGTCTACAGGAATACTCGGGGCTTCGATTCGGTACCAATAATCTTAACAACCCATAGAGGAAGCTCCAACATAAAAAACTAACTATGATACCTTCGTATGATGCAAAGGAAATATATTTTGTCAATTTGGTGGCTGAGCGTTTAAGCATTTCGAAACGTCACTAAATATTCAAACGTCAAAAACTGTAAAGTTGTCAATTTTCTGATGAACAAGAAGAAAGATAATTTGGGTTCAACATCAAGAACTTCTATTTCCATAAAGCCGAAGAAGAATATGAAGAAAATAATTTGGATCAAGTTTTGGAAGTTCTCTGTTAATTTTTTCGATATTTTAGGGTTGTTGGATATTTTGCCATGCGGTACCATGCATTCTGTTAAACCGTATATTCAGTATGGCATACAAATAAAAACTCGTTGACGATGTTGTATAAAGTTGTTTTCTTTGTAACCCAAACCCTAAAATCAATTAGGTTTTAATAGTATTAAGGTGTTTAATTCAATCAAAAAACGAATGAGAATGAAAATGTTTGTGAAGTCATTTTTAACGGCCTTATGGCCATTTTGGAAACGCTCATACCACTCATTACCCCATTTTTTGTAGTAGACTTGCAGTTAAATTTTAACATTTATAAAAACTGTTGCACTATTCGATTGCAATGGAAAAATGTATTGCAATCAATTTTCAACAAATAAAAAATTGTGCATAAGGTACCTGCGGTTATTAACTGCCGGGTAATAATAAACGACAATTTAAATAAAATGATAAAAAAATTGTCGTATGTCATTTCCATGGCCCTCTATGGTTAATAGAATGTCTCCAAAAACGTCAAACGTTATTAGGCATTTTTTTAAATTTAAATTTAACAGATAGCGTTTCTGAAAAAGTAAGGTCAAATTTGTATAAAAATCAATTTTTTTAAGAACTCTGTATAAATTCTAGCAAAAAAGAAAGAACTACACATTCGCTTAGCTTTGTTACTTTAGCTTATGCAAAGTGTTCACAAATTAAGGTCAAAAATTATAAAAAATAATGGAATTTTAAATAGAAATGTTAATTTAATCTCGAACACTCTGTATAAGCTATGTAACAAAACTGGGCAAATGTGTGGTTCATGCAATACCTAAACAAATGTTTTTGCAAAATCTTTGGTAGAATTTACACAAATTGCTTAAAAACAATATTTTTTTTCCAAATTTGATCCACTTTTTGACCACCCTAAATAAAATGATTACAAAATTATCGTTCTAGGGGTTTTAGCGGTATGATAATTAAATTTAAAAAATGCCTAATAACTTTTTAAAGCCATACAAATGATACATGACATTTTTTTTTCAAAAGATAGAGGTACAATCTAAAAACAAAATGTTTTAAAATCGGATTATTTTTAAAATACCGAATTTCCCCTAATGAAAATGAGACACACTGTATACTGTAGATAAAGGGTGGTCCAAACTATTAATAGTTTGAAAATAAAAAAACACGTAAAAATATTATTAATTTTCTTAATAATTAGTTTAAACTAATCTCCAAAACCCAACAGTTAAAGTGAAATAAAAAGTAAAATGTTGTTTAAGAGAATTTTTAATTATTAAAGGTTCCTTGTGGACCACCCTGTAGTATAAAGTCATAAAAAGGAGGATATTACAACAAATCCCAAAGAATTTGTTATCGTTTTCCTAAGATAGGTATTAGGTAAAATTATTATAACATTACGGGGAAAAAATAAGGTAACACAAATCTGTTAAAGTCATTAATACACTTGTTAAAGGGTTCTTACGAATTCTACCTCACTTAAATTTTAATAAATAGTGCGATAAAATTTATCAAGGATTAAAATTAAAATGCAAAATGAATGAAAATAGAACAAATTTAATGGAAATATACTAACCTACCGGTCGATTGGAAGTATGCACAACAACTAACAATTTTTAAGCAATGTTAATATTTGCATTGGAGCGTTTGGAGGTATTTGGTTTACTTTGGTTAATTAGTTTGAAAAGTCGAGTTTGTATATGGAAATGTAAATTTGAATGTTATCGACTTTTGGATACTACAAAATAAGTATTATCTAACCGCAAAGATAAGGTACCCAGCTAGTTATATTTAAATAAAAATAAGTTTATTTATATCAAAAACAAATATTGCGCGCGATTTATTTAATAATATATTATATAATAAACGGAAATATAATTATTTGGCGCGCGCTTTAAAATGCCCCATCGGTGATTAATAATTTATATTCGAAATTGAATTGACTGTCATATACAGAGAAAATAATTATATTTTCTATTGTCAATTCCAATTTACGGGATTATTGCAAAATGCGTTTTTTAATTAGCTTTTTCCCGTATATATTATGCCGAACATGTGTTTTATCATCACCTGAATTTTTCATACACGCGAATGCAAAATTTTATTATGCCGTAAAGAGGAAATCAAATTATGTTGAAATTAGAAATTAATGAGGACTATACGCTAAATTTGTTGCTGCAGAATTAACTAATGATAACTTACCTCATATAATTTATATTTAAGTTTGGACAAAATAGTATGTATCAAGTTTGATAAATGCCATTTTATAGAAAAGTTTATAAATGAGGTGCATACTATACTTTTTCTAAGACAAATACTTATCTTAAAATGATTTAAATCAAAAATTTGTATAGAGAGCCATCTATGAAACAATAGGGGAAACTGTGTGTCACCGTCAAATGTCACATTTTTATATTTTATAAACCTTATAAACCTTTATAGGTTATAAATCGAAATGTATTTCTTAAAAATTGGCAGTTTTTCACAGTGAAAGTAAAGAAAATGTTTGATGAGGACTTTACAGTGGAGTCCGTGCCCGAATTTAAGTTATAGTTTACTGCCGGCGAAATTACAATGTTCATATAAACTTTTCATTGGCGTTGAGAAACTATTTAATACTTTTGTATTTTTGTATTGAGATAATAAAATAATTTTCACATTTAGTATTATTTTACAAGAAAGGCACTTTATTTTATCGATTGTATGACAACTGTCAACTAACTTAAAACTAACTTCAGCCCGTGACTAAAAACCTGTTGCTAACTTCAGCCCGTGACTAAAGCGCCATAAAGCCACAACTTGTCAATGGGTATTTAAAAGTCACTTAGTGTCATGGAAACATGTATAATAAAGGGCGTTTTAAAGGTGGGAGTAGAAAAAAATAACTGTTGTACAAAGATAACCTTAAAATTAAAAAATTTTATATTTGAGTTCTCTAAAAATAGCCGACAACTGCATTTTAAACGACAAAATATAACTACGAATTCATAGCAACATAATATTATATATAATATCGGTTCTTGGTATTTTACTGTTGAGTGGAGACTTTCTTAATCAATTTTAATAATGCTAAAGCTGTTTGAATTTAGATGATTTGTTTTATAATTTTTACTAAATTGAAATGTACCTAAATCATTACTATGCAATTTATTTCTTCATGTATATTAGTGGTTTAGAAAAAGCAATAAAATTTAGGATTTTCTGGTATTCCGAAGGATTATTTTTATCAGGTAGTTGCTCCAATTAAAATGCAATAATTTAACATGTAAAAATAATTTGCATGTATGTAGTAGCAGTATATAAATATTTAGATCAGGTAATTTGTCTAGAACTAGATAAGATTAGGAGGTAAACTATTAATCACTATTTATATGCACAACTAATCTTCAAAACTCAGTACAAATCAAATCACCAAACAAACAAGATGCCTTTACTGCACAGAGAAGATTTTAATTTTAACAAATTTTTAACTGAAGAAGAAAAAGACGATGTCTCCGAGTTTACTATAAAAATAAGGGAAGTGAATAATACAGTGACAAGGAGGGATTACGTGAATCAAAACTATCAAAGTAAGGTTACGGAAATTTTAAAGAAATATTTGGAAGGGCCAAAGTATGACGCACAAACATTAGATGAGCAAACTTTAAGTGATGAAGCTTACGAAACTGACAGTCTTGAAGATGGATCCACTGAAGAAAAAATTGTTGCATCCAGAATACCCGTGAGAGTTAAAGCATCAACACCAAGAGAAAAGAGAGTTTCTTTCAGTGAACCATGTGATTATAGTTGTAGCAGTAATAATATCTCACACATTCCAATATCAAGATTGAGACCCTACCCGAATATAAACGAAGGCACTCCATACCCAAAAAAATACAAATTAAGCGAACAAACCCACAAGTCAATCCTGAAGAAATCTCCGAAAGAAGAACTGCCGAAATATAGACGGTCTGATGAATTCCTGAGATGGAGGTGCAAGAAAAATCTACCCAAAAAAGAAATTATCAACCATGCGAACTTAAGTTGGAATATTTCACCGATAAAATCAAGGTTGCCAATTGCAAGGAACTCTTTACCAGTTACTCAAAATGATTTTAGTGAAGCGAAGTTCCTTAAAGCTCAAGTGGAAGAATTACAACAAAAATTGGAGAAAATTAACTTATTTTTGGATCAAAGGTTTAATATTTAATTGTTCAGTTAATATTTGATATATTTGTAAATTTTATGTACAAAATAAATGATATTTATTATACTTTATGTGTTTATTTATTTGCTATTTGATAATGTTATATTATTATAGTAACACAAACAATGTTATGATATTTTATTTTAATTAAAGTTGTTAAGATTAAACTAAATAATTTTATCCGAAATTGGCAGTGAAGTAAAATAAATCGGCAGTAAAGTAGAACTTTACTACCGATTTAATACGAGTATTGTATGCAACCCATTATACATTTTGCTCCTCAGCAGCAACTAAATAATATTTAAAAAAAGCACCGTTGCGGAGTTCGATTGGACCCTTTCATAAAAATAATAAGTTAATTTTATTAATTAATTTCCACATTCGTGATAAAAAATACGACTTTACTGCCTTGATACATAAATAACTATTATCTACATAAAAATTATTTTAATGGGTACATTAAACAATTACTTTTGACAGCTATGTTTAGATACCTAATGTTTTAAAACTTTTCGGTAATAAGAAAAGTTTAAAAGTTTTACGCACAGGTATTAAAATAAATAAAATATGCGCAGCCATTATACAGTCTCCTCGGTAACAAATGAGTCGGATTTCCCGAGACAGACTTACTTACTTCACTCCGGAGTGTTAAAAAATGTCCGGATTACAGCGAAAGACTTTTTGTCGAGTGTCTTGAATAAGAAAAAATTGTTTGAAATTTGTTTCGCAGTTGCGGACTTTTTAATGTGGTAGGTAATTACTTGAGAGTTTGACAGGAATTTTGTCTACAGATATACATTTGTTGTTTTTGTAGGAACTGTTTTGATTTTTAGTTAATTTTTGTATTTTATGCCCAGTCTTTTTTGTTCCTCTTTCATTACATTTGATTTAAAAAACAGACAATTTTCTAACTTATTTTATAAATATTTTTTATTTTAATACAAAAGGCACTATATAAATATACATTGTAAAACAAAAACGTGAATTAAAAAACATTGGTTGGTTTCTATGGTAATGCTTTTGACAGTGGCAGTGACAGTTATATATGCAGCGCTATTTAAAATCTTAAAATGAGATGTGAAAACGAATTATTATGTGCTGTCAAACAAAGTCCATAAAAAAGAAAAAAATATTAAAAAAAAGTATGAGAACCAAAAATAAAGCAACAGGAAACATGCAGTATGTTGAATGCAGTCTCAAGAAAAGAGCAGAAAACAAAGATAAGAAAAGCATAGAAAATAGCAGGATTGTCTAATTATTAAAAAAAATAAATAAATAACAATACCTACAATTCCAGGATTGCCGTATCTTCTAGACGAAAATGACAGATTGATAATTTTGGTTGGACACAGTTAACATTATCGTTACTTATTGAATGTGCGGTGAAAGTTGACAAAAAATATATTGCGCTTCAACAGGCATAAAAGCATACGAGAAAAAAAAATTCATTAATTTTTCAATTTCACGTTAGAAGATATGCACACTTTATTCTAAGAATGTTTTTTAAACCTTCCAGTGAGAATATTCTTAGGATCATGCTATATTTCTTCCAAAGAAATATAGCATGATATATTATAAAATATACTTAAGTACCTAATTAGTAATTACTAATTAGTATTAAATACTAAGTAAAAAACACAATCCAAAATATTTTTTTATAGTTATTTGTCAAATTAAAACAATATTCGATAACAAAAATACTTTTACTATAGGTATTTTATTTTATGTTAAAAATAAATATTTATTAATTTGTATACCGATTTTTTAATTCTGAATTAACATTTTTATTTATTTATAATAAAACTAACTATCATCAACTTCAATGTAATCTGACTTATCCCACAAATTTTCCAATTTTACTTTTTATGAAATAATGCCATACAACTTACATATTAGAGGTCAAATTGTTTATTTAATATTTTTAAATAAATATTTTAATATGTCGCAAAATTTTTTTAAGGGACGACAAATACATTTCACTGTCATATTATGACAGTGAGGCGTATTTGTCGTCTCCCGAAGAATTTTACGAATGTAGAATACAACATATTAGAACGTGGGTATCTGACATATTTGGGAATATTCTCTAAAGCTTCCAAGAAGCTCCATAAGAAACCTTCTAAGAACATTCCAAAAACGTATTCTTAAAATGTTCTTAGAATGCTTTTTAGGAAGGTTTTAAGAAGCTTCTAAGAATCTAATTGCATCATTAAAAGGGTATCTACTGAATGTTTTAAAAGTCCCTAAGAACATTCTTAGCAATAAGGGAAGGTTCTAAGAATATTCCATTATTCCGGGTCATATCTTCTTAGAAGATTCTTAGAATCAAATTTTGCTATCAGGGTACAACCTAGAATTTTTTCAACATTTCAAATCGAATCGACGTAATTTTTGTATAGATAGTTTATGTACAAAAAAATTTAATTGCAATCTAAATCTGATGCGTAAAAAGTTTTACTTCTTCTCGTTGATTAAGATTAAGAATGCTCGTTGAACTTTTCCTTCGGTTGATGACGTGAATTATGGCGTCGAGAAACAAGCGCCAAGCGGCCAAATCCATCGCCAGTATATACATTTTTAAAGTTAAATTGACTTTTTTCACAAAAGCGAACTTTCCCAGTTGATGTACTGCACATCTCCAGACGAATTTGTTGTTTGTCAAGGGGAGACCCGTTGAAGAAACAAAGATATTTATTATTGGATTTACTGAGACAAATTACTCCTTACCGGATTATGGTTATAAATGACTTTTTAAAAAAGTCGCGGAAATATCGTTCGAGAATGCTCTGCCCACAAACGATACAATTTTTAAAAGTGCAGTAAACAAAGATATACGAGGGCATACTAATAAGTCCTTAGAATTTGTATGAAAATGCAAAACTTAATTTTGGATTTAGAGAGAAATAAAATTGCTCGTTCCAAGATGTCTTCAGCGACCTGAACCGAAAGTTTATGTGCTAACAGAAAACAACACCTAAAAAACTATTTCTTTGCGTCTTTCAGCAAAAATAACGACGGAATTTCATTTGTAAATTCGTAATTCGCGTGAAAAACTCTCATGACGTCAATCGAAAGTCGCATTTCTTGAGAAAAGGGAAGAAAAGGAAAACTTAGTTTGGAAACAGCATAAAAGTTTGGAGAACGTACGCTACGTGATATCTGCGGCTAAAAACCGTGTGCACGTGCCTCTATACCGAATAATTCACTACCGAAAATGTCGAACTGCGAACAAAAATATTGAATCGAATTGATTGACTCGAATTCTTTCAAAGATCATGATAAATTCGTGACTGAAATCCTGAAAATAGTTTTTTGTTTTTCACTATTTTAAAACGTATTAAATATATTTAACATCACAAAATGTTTTGCACAAACAAAAGTGTAAACAAATAAATCATAAATTATAGTTCAAATTTTATTATCAATCAACAAGTAAAGTTTGTATTTTATCATTTATTTTAATCTTCATCTTAAAACTCAACATTATGTAACATTTTCATTACTTTCGCTATTAAGCCTTTTTTGACCCCTCTTCAAAACTTGCCTAACATTAATGTTAATCCTAGAATGCGATAAATAATCTCCATAAGGCCTCCATAATGTACTATTTTTACATAAATCCGTAACAGTTTTGTACTCTTCAGATATTTCATTAGAATTAACATCACAATTCGTGATATCCCACGATTTAGTGTTGCTCTTCACTATTTTCGGTACTCCGTGATAACACAACCTTGATTCTTTGCTCATTATAACAACGTCTCCACTGCGCAGAAACATTGCTGATGGTTTTGTGTCTTTCGATATGCCACCCAAAAGAAAAATCGCTGTTTGTCCCAAGCTACAATAGGCAGATACATAAAGAATCCAAAAAATATCCTGTTACATACCTAAAGGAAAATAAAGGTGCTTCCAAATTCATTTCAGAATGGTCTGTGTGTCCTGATAAAGTGGAATCTAAATGGTAATAATTTACAATGGCAGCTTCAGCATTAAAATTAGAATACCCCAAAGTGTTTGCAAAAAATACTGTCAAATCACCTAAATCCTTTGGAAAATCATTTTTGTTTTCTTCTGTGTATATCTATTGCAAACAATTAATTAAATGTAGGTACCTAACCATACAAGTGTTTTAAAATTCAAAGAAATATATAGTGAGATTATTTTAATAAATCACTTTACAGTGGACTGAAAAATGTTTGATTATTTCGTTAATTTGTCATTTCTTAAAAGTGTTTCTATTGACATGTTCAAAGCTTTTACTTTTCAATTTATCACCAAAAATACATTTTTTATACTTTTTCATAAGTAAAAATGAATGACATCCTTTTTTTAAGAGATTCCTACCTTGATAATAACATTTGTTGTAAATGAACGAAAACTGACCAAAAATTGATTTTTATCAAAACATTGTCAGTCCAAAATTGATGGTCAAAAAATATTTTAAATATAAAATACAACTGTAAAACTTTAAGCTTAAAATTATTAATTTTAAAAAAATTTAGTTTAAAAATTTTATTCTACAAAATTTTTGGTTTAATTTTGTAAAGTCATTTAAATGATAGTCGATACATTTTTAATACAAAAATGCTCACATTACATTTAAATATCAGTTTTGTGGTAAATTTTGTATTACAAATTTCTCGACTATCATTTAGGTACATGACTCTTTACAAATTTAAACCAAAACTTTTAATTTTTAACAATTTTAAATTAATACATTTTTAACAAAAAATTTATAACTTTACATTAAATGTAAGTCAATAATTTTTAATTTACAAAGTGTAAAATTATCGACTTACATTTAAATGTAATGTGAATATGTTTGTGTTAAAAATGTATCAATTTAAATTTGTTAAAAATATAAGTTATTGGTTTAAATTTCTCAAAAGTCGATAAATTTTTAATTCAAAAATTACCACTTTAAAATTTTAAACTAATATTTAAATGTAATGGGAGAATTTTTGTATTAAAAATTTATATTAATTAGCATTTAAATGACCCTTTACAAATTTAAAATAAAAATTTTGTAGAATAATATATTTATATTTTTATAAACAAATAATTTCATTTTATATTTAAAAAAAATTTATTGATATTAATTGTTTTGTTATTAAAAAACTTAACTTTTTAAAGTATTTTGGTAGAAAATGTTATATGTGTTTTACTACTTTTAAATGTCTTGACACTGTAGTTTCATTTTATATTTAAAAAATTTCATTTTATATTAAAAAAAAAATTTTGATTATTAATTGTTTTGTGATTAAAAAACTTAACTTTTTAAACTAAATATTTTATGTCTTGACACTGTAGTGTTAAAAATATATTTTTAAATAGGTACTAAAAAATTCAAGTTCTAAATAATTTTATAAAATTTTATTTAGCATATACAGAATTTTGCCCAAATAAATTATACTTAAGAAATTATTTTCATTAAAAAATGATGGAATTTTTTGCAAAAAATGATTGGAAATAATATTGTTTACCTAATTCAAAAGTGAACTTTTAGTAAATTTTTTCTTTCAATAAACGATAGTTGAAAATATTTATAAATGTAAACCTAAAATTTTTAGTTAGGAAAATTTTAAACCAATAAAATTAAAATTAAAAAATTATTTTTTTATGGTTTGAAATTAAGCAAAAACTTTTATCAAGAATGAACTTTTCTGAAAAATGTAAAATATCTTTTTTATATTCTTATATAGAAAAAACTGCAAACTTGAAATTTTTTTATTTTTATACCCCCTGATTATTTCATCAAATTATAAAAACACCCTGTATTTTAAAATTTAATTTCCAAAATCCCTTACCTTGGTGTCCCAATTATGATGATACCCCAACGTAATCCATCTTAATTTTTCTAATAATGTAAAGTCATTATTATTCTGGCATATATCCCACCATTCTTGATTATCAGGTACTAAATTTAATGGGTCCAAATTACTTTTATTTGGTTTCTTTGTATATTCTTGTAGGCATTTTACTGTCCAGTATCTTTGTCCGAGAGTTGTAAAAGGGTTTTTAATAAATATAAGACCTATTAAACGATAAAAATTTAGTAACACATAATCAAAAACATACATATTCCTTCCATGTTGAATAAAATTGTAAAATTACCTGGATTTTGGTCAACCTCATATATTTCCCATTCAGAAATTGGTATAAGGCCAAAAAATTCCCCATTAGTTACTTTCAATATAATTTTTGTCACCTAAAATCCTAAATAAAATAAGGAAGTATGTATAGTAGCTTAAGACAGACATAACTTTAAAGAATTTCAACTTTAAAAAGTTATATATTATACCGTATAACTGTCTTAAAAAAATCATCAATAAACCAAAAAATATGTTTAAAATACAAATAATAACCTTTTTAGTAAACTTCTCAACATTATTAAAATCTATAACGTTATCCAAGCTGGGCAATGGAAGTTTCGATTTATAATACTTAAAACTTTCTTTAAACATCTTAAAACATTAACTTTTATTTACAATTTATTTATATACATTTCTCCTACAATAAATAAGGTTATGTATTATTTATGCTATTTTATGGCAGAAAGAAACCTGTAAAAATATATTTGCCCTCTACTGGCAATAATAGGAACTGTATTAATTTATATATTAGATATCTGTAATCTTAGTTTAGTTCAAGATACATACAAAAGTAAAAAATGATAATAACAGATTTCTGTAGTTTGAAACTTTAGTTTCGTTTATTTTTAATAGATGTCTGATAATAATTCGGACAATATTTTTAAAATAATATTTGTCAGCTATCCCGTAAAATTTAAAAATAAATCGTAAATATGTCTGCAAGAGATAGGCTCCCGATTTTTCCGTCCAGAGGGTAAGTTTTCGGTTTAAATAAAATAAAATTAAAGACATACTTTTCCTGTGCGCTTGATAAACAATTATTTATTTATTTTTAGGGCACAAATGTTAATGAAAGTTCGCCTTGCAGGGGCGCAAAAGGGCCACAATTTACTAAAGAAAAAAGCAGACGCCTTACAAATGCGATTTCGCCTTATTTTAGGCAAAATAATTGAGGTCAGTTGATTTGAGCTATTTTCGGAATTTTTGGCAGAAATGATGTTAATAAATTACAGACCAAAGTTACAATGGGCGAAGTAATGAAAGAAGCCTCGTTTTCTCTGGTCGAAGCCAAATTCACAACCGGAGATTTTAACCAAATTGTTTTGCAGAATGTATCGAAGGCACAAATAAAAATAAGGTCGAGAAAAGAAAATGTTGCAGGTAGGTATGCATTGCTTGCATATTATTAAATAATTAATTAAAAAAAAATACGTTTACTTATAATTTTATTTAATCTTGTAAATTTCATTTTAGGTGTAACCTTGCCAATTTTTGAATGTTATCATGACAGTTCGGACACATACGCATTTGCAGGTTTAGCAAGAGGAGGCCAACAGTTGGCAAAACTGAAGAAAAACTACCAAAGCGCTGTAAAATTACTCGTGGAGTTGGCCTCGTTGCAAACTTCTTTTGTAACATTGGATGACGTTATTAAAATAACAAATAGAAGGGTAAACGCAATAGAACATGGTTCGTTTTACCACATTAAATTTTAATATTTTTAGTTTTATTTGTTTTGTTTTAGTGATTATTCCAAAAATCGAGAGAACTCTGGAATACATTTTATCTGAACTGGATGAGCTTGAAAGGGAAGAATTTTACAGATTAAAGAAAATTCAAGATAAGAAAAAACTTGTTAGAGCAAGAGCCGAAAAACTAAGCAGAGAAAAATATAGAGCTGAATATAGGAGCCAACAAAAAAGCATTTTTGATAAAGAAGATGACGACGAATTATTGTTTTAAGTTTTTGAAAATCTAAGCAAGTACAGATTTTTTTATTTATTTTAAGCTGGATTGTTGCTTTTCTATAACAAATTTTTGTGTTTTACAAATATTCCTGTATTTTTTATTACTTAATAAATTAATTGTGTGTTTTTGTGGGTCGTAAATAAAATGGACGATTTTGAAATAATCCGCCGTTTTATTAACTTACGCCGCTCGTAGCTAGATGTCGCTGATGGTTTGACGTTTGTCATTCAACTTTGTCAGCTGACTTGTCCCGTGAAGTTTCTGCAAAAATAAAACGAAAATATGTCTTCGAAAGATAGGCTGCCAATTTTCCCTTCCAGAGGGTAAGTAATAACTTATTTTACAACCCTATTTAAACACTGCATGAATGTAACGTAAAATCCAACTGGATTTCCGCATAAAACAATTAAACCCAAAAGGGAGTAACCCAAGGTTCTGTTTTAGAGCCCAAATGTTGATGAAGGCGAGGCTTAAGGGGGCCCAAAAGGGGCACAGTCTGTTAAAAAAGAAGGCTGACGCTTTGCAGATGAGATTCCGTATGATTTTGAGCAAAATCATAGAGGTTAGTTAACCTGGATTTGTAAATCAATAATTTACCCCTAATGTTGTTTATTGTTTTTAGACTAAAACCCTTATGGGAGAAGTAATGAAAGAGGCTTCTTTCTCACTTGCCGAAGCTAAATTTGCCACTGGTGATTTTAATCAGGTCGTGTTGCAGAACGTCACCAAGGCTTGGCTTAAAATCAAGACCAAGAAAGACAATGTTGCTGGTAAATTAAATTTAATTTTTTACAATACATTTTACATTATAATTTTGATTATTTGTGTGTACCTTGTTTAAAGAAAATTGTTTAACAATTAGGTTAAAAGAAATTATCCCAATGGGTTTATTATTAAAATGTTTCAATTTTGATTTAAAAATAAGGAAATGTTTGTCAAAATATGCAAAACTTAGAATGGTTTTTATTTTTTGAAGAAAATTACCGCTTAAGGAATTTGATTTTAATTGTTTTTTGGTAAACAAACTTCTTAAAATGGTAATTTTTTGCCACTTATTTTTCATTACCAAAAATAATAAAAAATGCAAAATTTCTTGTGTAAAATATTATCTAAGTTGTCCTTCAATATTTGAAATCAGGAGAGGGAATATTTATTTAAAATAAAAATCCCAAAAATGGTAAAACAAGTTTTTTGACAGTTTTTTAAATAAAATAATAAAATTAAAAGCATAGGTAATTAAAATTATGCTTAAAAAAGGTCGAAAAAATTATGGTGATTCAAAATTAATAATTTTTTAAACAAATTATCATTGACATATAAATATAACACAAAGTATTTTTAACATTTCAAAATCTGGATGCTGGTGTTATTTTGCATACAAATTTGAAAAATTTGTAAATTTTAGGTATATATTTTATGATAAAATATATCAAATTAAATAATTGAAGACCTCTGAGGAAAAAGTGAAAAATTTATTAAAAAAAAAGAAATGCATGCCATTTTTAATCTTAAAAATCGGTTTTCATTTGTTTTTAAAAAGCTGTTTCCAGTTACTAAACATTAGTTTCTAGGAACCGTTTAAAAAAACTTAAATACCGCTTTTTAAGTTTAAAATATTGGGTAAAAATTTTTTTCTGCAAAAAAAACAATTATTTTGTTTAACAGCTGTTGTCTTTAATATTAAACATATTTTGTCTATTTGTCTATTTTACTACTATTTTAAAATGCAATTGGTGTAAATCACATTGTGTAATATACAGGGTGTTATGTGTATATTTCTCTGGGTATTTTTTTTATTTGAAGAGCTACAAGGTTATATGCCTAATAGCAAACCTATTACAATTAATTTTAAAATTTAAAAAAAACGCGGTTCTCAACAATAAAAAAACTAAAAACCTTCCAAAACCAAAATTCCCAGGAATTTTTGAACCCACTAAGTCGGTTAAATTAGTAAATTGGTGGCATTTTTTCTTGGTGAAAACTAAAAAACAATTGAACGTTGGGTTTCAGAAATATTCCAAAATAATATGGAATGTATCTTTTTACATATTTAGAAAGACATTTAATTTGGAAGAAATAAATATTATTGCAGCAATAAATTAAAAATAAACAATTTATAAGCACCTGAATAAAAAATAAAGTAATAATTTGGTTATTTCAACAGCCATCAGAAAGTTTAAGTGCTTATTAATTATTTATTTTTAACTTTAGGGTAGTTATTAGAGTGTCTATTTTTTTTAAGAACATTGAAAAATCGTTAGAGTATCTCTATAAAACGACCCTGTAAAAATATGAGCTCTTAATATTAATATTTAGAGGTGGAGTTTTTAATTTTCCATTTCCCATTTAAATAACATGGACCTTTTTAGTAGAGCATTGAATTTTCTATGAGGGGTAATTTTGTCTAACTTATGAAGTTCGTTATCACGTTACAAAATTCCAAAGTTTGAAAAAAAATTCCCATGTTATTTAAATGGGAAATGGGAAATGAGAAAATTACAAAACGCCACCTCTAAATGTTAATATTAAGAACTTATATTTTCACAGGGTCGTTATGACGATTTTTCAATGTTCTTTGAAAAAAAATAGTCGGTTTTTTATGAGAGACTCTAGTAGTTATGCAATAATAATTTTTTATTCCTAATAAAATTGTCTTTTAAAATATGTAAAAATATTCAGGGTGTCACATTTAATTTTTTTTTTATTTTTGTGAATATTTCGGTAACCCGACGTTCAAATTGTTTTCACCATTTAAATTGCACTGATTTATATATAATCATATTTTCGAACCCTGGTATCATTGAGCCTACACAAGGAGTCCGAACTTATTAGGGAAAGTTGACAAAATCTGCCCACTAAATCGCACAAGTTGGGTTTTCTTTTTTCACCACTAGCGGCGCTGATTGTCGGAACACCAGCGCCCTCTCTTTTTAGGAAATCTATTATAATTTAGATACTGTTTTTATTTACTATGTATCTTAAAGATACTGCAAAAATATATTTATATAATTTTCATATATCATAATTTTAGGTTTCCAGTTTGGATTCGACAATATTTTAATTTTCTCTTTTCTTAACTTTTCCAATTTTTTCCGTTTTTTTTTTCAAACCGTTCAAACATTTTTTGTAAATGCAATTGATATCATAGTTTAAAATTAAAAAATCTTGACAGGTGTGACTTTGCCGGTATTTGAGTGGTATGAGGACGGTACAGATCCCAACATGTTGGCTGGTCTTTCCAGGGGTGGCCAGCAGTTGACAAAATTGAAGAAAAACTATCAAAGCGCTGTAAAATTACTCGTTGAGTTGGCTTCCCTCCAAACTTCTTTCGTCACTCTTGACGATGTCATCAAAATCACCAACAGAAGAGTAAACGCTATCGAGCACGGTGAGAAGTAAAATAAAATTGATTTCCGTTTTATAATTTTGTTTTTTTAGTAATTATTCCGAGAATTGAACGCACTTTGGCTTACATTATCTCCGAATTGGACGAGCTGGAAAGAGAAGAGTTCTATAGATTGAAGAAAATCCAAGACAAAAAAAAGATTATCAAAGCTAAAGCTGAAAAAATTAAGGCAGAGCTTAAAGCTGCAGGTCTTCTAGCTGAAGCTCAAGGGAGTGGGAACAATATGCTTGATGAAGGTGATGAAGATATTCTTTTTTAATTGTATACATTTTACAAAAACGCCACTTGTACATTCTTTATCATTTTTAAATGTTTGTTGAATTTTGAAAAAAAAGTATTCATAGATTAGGGTTAAGGCAATACTTTTAAAGTTGCTATTATCAAAACAATAATTGTAGGCTTAAGATACAAAACTTCTAGTGTTTACTCTACATGTATATATTTTATGTAAAAATAAAATGTTACTTAATATTGATGGTCTTATTTTATTAAAAAAAATTTAAAAACGTCCAGCTAGCACAACCAACGCTTTTATCAAGAAATTTGTTCGTTAAAAAAACGAAATTTAATGCCAGAAAATAGCAAGTATCGCTACGAAAAAGAATATCAAGCACTTCAAATTTGGCTCAAGAGAAAAAATGTGAAAACAATAATTAATTGTTTTGACCTATACTTGATGAAACTCAATATTAACTAAAGTTCTTTTTTTTGTATGAACTGTGGCAACGTTGCAAATTTAGGGTTTTGGTTGGTAAATACAGTTGTCAAGTTGGTCGCATTGATTACAACAAACTAAGCTAGTTATAAATCTAATTGTGGTTATGTATAAATTATTGTAGGTTACATTGTGCAGTTGTCAAGTTGAGTTGTCGAAATTCATAGTTAAAAATTCAATTAATTTGGCTTTGGTGGTGCTTGGATGAGTAAAATCATATAAAAAGTAGTTAAATATAGGTTGATTTACGGCCCAGCAGAGAAAGTATTCCTAGCGGATAATAATCATCGCTTTGAAAAGAATTTATATAAATGAACGTAAATGTTGTCCAATGGTGAATAATGTGTGATGTAATATTTATAAAACCAAATTCGTTACTTTTTTACTCCAAAAATGTCCATAAGGCGATGTACTTTTTATTCCATTGTGGCATTTGGCATAATTTCATCAAAATGAAGTTTTGCCCTCAAAAGGGCTTTTACATTCGAATTCGTTGCTAGTATTTTTGGCATAATTATCTTTTTATTTATAATTGACAAATTATCAATAATAAATATTATTGTTAATTTGACAGTGTCAAAGTATTTAATTAAATTCTTTAGCAGAAGTACCATTTTTAAATACTAAGTCAAACTGGTATAAGCCACCAACCTAACAAAAAAAAACACGAGTCTAAAAAATTAACTGTATGTAAATATAAAAAAACTATGTTTTGAAAGTTTTGCTACACAGTAGTTTCTTCAGAATGTATTAAAACTAATACTAGTCCAAAATTTATATAACAAAAATATTGGTTTTCTAGGTAATACTTTTTATTATACCTGTCTTACATAATATTCAAAAAAGCATTCAGAAATTCCTTATGGGAAATACCTAATCTATTTATTGTTAACAATTTTATTTCAGGGGCAATATTTTAAATATGTGATTGTTCTATATAATGCTATTGTTGTATCTTAATTAAATAAGGTTTAACAGTGGTGAATTATTTGTGTCGATTTGATTATTGAGAATATTATTGGTAATTTATTTTTTTCTTCAAAAATGGCGGATGCGCCGGGATCAATGTTTTAAAAATTACGGTTACCCTTTTTAAAGGGTAAATATGTTTTTTTTTAATATATCAACTACATGGACCTTGTCGCCTGTGTTCATACCAGCAGTCTAAATAAAAAATATTAGTTACGAATTTGTCGCTTAAGTTAAAATATACTGTTTTTATTTCAGTTATTTTCAGTATTTCAGTATTTTGGTGGGAAAATTTAAACATTAATTTAATCCAAGAAGAAACAACTAAGGATTTAAGATTAGAACAGTTTTTTGTCTCCTGAAAAATAAGAAAATAAACTTTTAAGAAATAATTACAAAAAAGCTGATATAAGACCAGATTAGTCTCATTTTCATTGAACTTTTGTTTTTTGATAATATTTGTTAAGTTATTCTTTTAAAACCTTAACTTTATGGGAAATGTGATTACACAAATATTGTTATTTTTTAAATATATTCTCTAAATCCTTTCCTCAATTTCAAATTTTGTTAAGTAGTCAAATTATTTTGTCATTTTTTACCTTTCCATTGGAATCATCCAAACACACAAAGTTTCGATTTATATTTTAATATATTCCAATATTTCTGTAAATTCAATAGTCAGCATTTTCATATTATTATTTTGTTTATTTTATCGAGAATTGCTGTCCCATATAAAAATATTATAAGCAGTCGAATAACTATAGTTATATAGATATATAGATATATCAATTCCTCTGGAATTTTTATTTATAAAAATTATGCAATCAATCTAACGTATTTATTCCTTTACATTTTAAGATTCAAAAGTCGGCTAAATCGATATTGTCATTATTTAGTTTTAAAAAATGCCGGGATTATTAGTCATATTAAATGAATTTACCCGTAATGCCCGTTGTTGTGCATTGTAAGTAAACCATGCCATATGTGAGCCGTACTGTCAGTGTCAAATTTATATGCGTGTGTGTTTTTACTTGAAAAGGAATTAAACGTCGGTTTTAATATTAAAATACAATGGTGGTTTGCTTTGCATTTGGTTTTTAAAGCTACAATAAAACACATTTGACGGGTAAAATCCATATTATATTTTATTTTTTAATCAGTATGTTTTAAACGAGTTCCTAAATAAACCAATATGCTGTATTTTATTCAGAATGATATCATTTATAATTAAATTATGCATGAAATTGTTCCCATCTTGGTTTACATTTCCAACGATCTGATTAGGCGTCCACCCTCTATCATTGTCTAAGGTTTCAGCATTAAAAACTAATTTTACAAGATGTTTCAGACCGTGGAATACTTGTATTAACATGTTTTTGGTTTGGTTTGTGGTTTTTGAAAGGACAAAAGGCACATTTTTTTAATTTAAAAATCATAATATTCGTTTGCGAAAAAACAATACACAGTAAAAAATTTAAATTTGCTACTTTCCCATTATAAAACCTATTTTCCAATAAATAAACTTCCCAATTAAATTAACTTGTAAAAGTCGTAGAAACCCAATTTGGTTTTATTGTGTGTTTCTTTAGTTTTTTTCGCGCCGACAGTCCAATTAGGAGTTGAAAGACCAATCCAGTTGACGACACTCACACACATAGATCCAATTAGATTTAATACCTCCCTGGATGCGCACTATAACGTACCTACACAGTTAAAACAAATTAATACAATTATGTGAGGAGCTACTTTTCAAACCGCAAAATTTTATAAAATTATTGTTTTCAGGGTGGAGAAAACTTTGCTACACAGAAGAAATGTAAAAATTAAAGAAATTCAAGACCCTTTAATTCGAAAAATATCACAATTTAAAACTCAAAAACTGCTCATGTGACTTAGAATAGGGCAAAAAAAGTGTTTCTCGATTTTTATGTAAGAATGTCATATTCTCGCACGCAAAATCGTTGAAGAATGAAGCTCATTCTTAAACGATTTTTGGTAACATTTAGTTTTTAAGTATTGGTACCCCCAAAATGTCAAACTGTTTAATAACCTCAAATTCATTACTTTTATTAAAAATGAAGCCTTTATTATTGTTTTGTACTATTAAGTTTGCTCCAACAATGCATTTTAATGCAAAATTTTAAGTTTTATGTGAAAAAGTGCAGTTCAGGTTGTACTTGTGCAGGATAACAAATATTGTCATTTTGTGTTGCCAACTGACATTTTGCGAGAAAAATCCCCCAACTAACAACGACCACAAAACAATTAAAAAAACCTAAATAAAAGTTAAAATCGAGAAAATAGTATAAATCACACGTTGCAGAAGGCTATTCTCGCACTCATTCGTTCGTCCACTCGCTCCTTTGTGGCCTTCTGCAACTTGTACTTTAATATACTATTATCATTGATTTTTTTAAACAGAAAAGTATTTAGTGGGGTATTCAAACCACAAAAATTAACAACATGATTTTTAAAAGGAAAACTTTTTTTTTTTAGTTTTATTAGGACCCATTGCTATTAACAATAATCCTTGGTAAAAGTATTTGATTTGAGCAAAATAATGGTCATTTCTTGAGTCAAATAACCCTGCAAAAGTTATTTAAAAATAAGAAATATTTTTGTTGACCAATGTTATTTTTTTAAATGTTAAATAAAAAAGAAACTTTTAAGTCCCTTCAAAAGTACTACGTAGAATTTAATTTGGTTTAGCTTAGTTTGTTCTTATTAAAAATTTTACCATAATAGTATATTATGTATCAAGTTCGATAAACGCCATTTTATACACGAATTTAATTAAATTAATTGAATTAAATTAATGAGTGTATATAAAATCTAAATAGCATGATAAAAAGTGTGATTAAAACCATTTTCCATAGTGCGGCAGGAGTAATGGAGAAAAATTGAGCGAGAGGGAGCGATACCCTTTCCCGGGCGTTGCTATAGCAAACAGAAGCAACAGGACCACTGCGAAGAGGAACTAAACACAAAACGGGAGTAAACTAAGTTTTTAGTACGCAACGAAACTCCAAGCAGTCAATACGATTTAAACTGCCCCAACTACCCAACTAGACTAGGCGAATAAAGAAGTAGGTAAGTAATAAATTTGGTTGAAAATATTAAGTTTTATATTATTTATTATATTATAAAATTATTTTTAGTTAGATAGCAAAATAAAATAGTTCATAAATATATAAGACCGTTTAAACAAAACTTGAGTTAAAACTTTAAAACTCAAACAAACTAATATGCACATTTTTTATTTCCTAATATTAAAACTATCAAAAGAGTTACAATAAAAATCTATATTACAAAACCATATTATAATACATATATTATTTAAATACTATTTTCTGGTTTGATTGATTCTTGTTTTACTAATATGTACTTATTTTTATGACAAATTGTTTACATGTTTCGAACGCTCATAAATTGTTTAATAAAACGAAGTATTAAACGAAGTAATTAAAAGTCAATTAATTTTGTATTTTTACTTTCAGTTTTATGATCCTTTTAACGACAATGGAAAAATTTATTTGGTTATTTGACCCAATTAAAATACTTTGTCGAAAAGTGCTAAATAATTTAGTAGTCTTTATAAAATGATGGTAATTATTGGGTTGGGAATATTAAAATGAAATGTTAAATAAGTATTTAAACGCTATTTACAATACAAGGTCCAAGAGCATTCTTTGATAACAAAGTTACTTGCTAATATTTTTGGTAACTATAATTAGTGTCATTTATTGTGTTAATTTATTGTAAAAGTACTTTAATTTAGGCGCAGGTTTAAATTTAAAATTTATTATATAATAATAGATACAGTAAATAATTATATTTTTAAAATTTATGTACATATGTATTAGTGTGTTCGTTATTTACCAACTTGATTTTTTTCAAGAGCGCCCCCTAAATTTTTAGTTATGAAACAAAAAAAGTTTATAAACTTTGCCGAACACACCATACTTTTTACATTAATTTTTTCTCTTATACAATTGAATATACATCAATGTAAGAATTTACGATAAAGTTACTTTTTCAATAGTTATTCATGGTTCAAGTTGAGTCCATGGTCAATAAGCCTGCTTGTGCACTAGGTTAAGGTCGATTTGAGTTACGATAAGGGGGGGGGTGAAAAGCTGTGGGTTTACTTTAGTCACAACCCTGAAAATCTAAAATTACCAAGTGGATTTCTATTTTGATAAAACTCCTGTTTTTGTAAAAAAATAATCTGAATGATACAAAATTAGTTTACTTAGTTTAGGTAATAATTAAAGGCTGCTAGAGGATGTCATATAAAACTTGATACAAATATATTATTTTTTTAATAATTTTATAAAAAAATTTGGAAAATTTACATAATACCTTTTTAAAGTGTTTTTTAAAAATCTCCACTTATTTTTAAAATTACCTGGGTCTAAATTTATCATGCCCTTAATTAAATATTTTACGTAATTTTTAATGTATCTAAATATAGTAATAAAAGTTAAATTAATGTTTATTTTAAGGATAATGTGTAATGTGCATAAAAAAATTCTCAGACAAACTGTATTATGATTATTATGTAATACGTATAACTATATACATAATAATTAAAATTATTCAGATTATTTTAACAAAAAATCGAATTTTCAAGACTCAAGATATTTTTATTAAATGTAAGATTTTGCAGAATTGTTACTATATACATTTTCTTCTTTTCGTGATTTAAAGTTTTTAAAATAAAATATTTTTTTTTAACAAAAAAAAACGTTTTTTTTCTTAATTTTAAATATTCCAAGTATACTTTTTATGTATGGGTATCCTTTTTAATTAACGAGCTAGAAGGTTTGTTAAATTATAGAAAAGTTGAAAAAAACAGGTTTTTTCCAATTTTCAAATTTCCTATAATTTAACCTAACAATACCTACAAATACTTAATCACTTAAATTTAAATAAATATTTAAATATAATTTATATTTTTTATCTCTTTAACTCGAGTTTCATCTCAGATCGAAAAAAATAAGCTGTTGAAACAACAAAAATATTAATTCAACTCTTCAACCATCTAAAAATGTCAAATTGTATTGTTTAATTGAACAACAAATATTAGTCATATTAACAAAATGAGAATATTTGTTCTAATCTGCTACATTCTTGATATGTCGGAGTAATATTTCGAAAATGGTTGTGCTAACATTTTTAAGATGTTAAGGTAAATTTCTTGAAATGTCCAGGTAACTTTTTTAGCATATTCACTTAACACCAATAAAATGTTAAATTAAAATAATTTGCGCTAATGTTGGGTTAATTAAATTATGGAATTAATATATAGAGAAAGAATTGAACCTTCCCTCGCCAGAGTTTTTGTTTTGAGTGCGTTCCACCTACTTCAAATGCCTATCGACAGACTGATTCGACCTATATTGGGGGTCTTGTAAGTCACTGAAAATCAGTGTCGTGCAATTTGGTGTATTGGAAGTTCCACTGTGGAACACACCGAAAACAAACGGCTACCTGAGCTTATATACTCCTATCGTAAGCCAACCGAGGCGAGATGTAAGAACATCATTTTAAAGTAACATTTACAATTTTTTAAATGAACAAATTTAATGTTTTGGATTTAAAGAGCAACTAAACGTTAATTTAATTTTTTTAGGTAATCCTAATAATTTCAGTATTTGATTCAACCAATTCCAGCTATTAAATCAAAATAGGATAAACATTTTAATTCAAAAAATTTATGTTAAATCAATATTTTAACTGACAAATGAACAAATAAACTTTGACAATCTCTGACTTTTGCTTTGACACCAAAATATGGATTAATCCCAATAGGTTTTTTGATGAAACAACATTTTCAAAAATGACACTTAGGCAAACGATAACTAAACTTCATTATTTTTTTCGGTGTACGAAAGGAAAGGAACGAAAAAGCAACTTAACCACACAATCAAGGATGGAGTACCAAGTGATACCGGAGTCGCGATTCGAAGAAGTGATCCACCATTTGCGGTTTAATTTCCCCGATGAGCCTCTAAACGTTTCCGTAGGATTCTGTGCCCACGGTCAGGAGTGTGAGTTGCTAGAACATCACGATCTAGAGACCCTGCGGGAAGGTTTCTCCTTAATGGCTTTGGACACCGAAACCGGAGTGGTAAGAAAGAAATACAAAGTATACAAAAAATAAACATTTTTGGGCTTTTAAAATTTGATAATTTTATTTTTTTATTGAGTTTTTATCTTAATTTTACTTTGTGTTTTTAAATGCGCTTTTGACAGTAGTTTTGAACTATATTTTATTATTATCAAAATTTATTTCAATGAATCTAAATGAAGTTACTTTTTGTGAAATTAAATATTACTCTGGTTAAATTGCCGTATTTTAATATTTAAAAATACAAATTATAACAGCTTTTTAAATTTAAATTTTGGTAAAAATTGATTGTATCTGGCCCAAAACAATTTTTTTGTTATTAAAAAAAAACAGTTAAACTACAATTTCTATCAAAACAGTAATAAAACAAATTAAAAACCTTTCCATTAATGATAAAAAACTAGAGAAAACATAGGACTAATTAGTTTATCAATATTTCACAATAAAATTGCTCTATTTTTTTTAAACTACTTTATTGCATAATTGCAAAGAATTTTTTTATAGAAAATTAAATTTACCATAAAAATCTTTTCTACTATTTAACTTTAACTACATATTTTGTTGTAAAATGCAAAAATACTGTTTTTTAATAAAGCTATACTTTATGGCATTATTGCAAAGAATTTTTTTATAGAAAATTTTCCATAAAAATCTTTTCTTTTTTAACTTTAACTGTTTTGTTGTAAAATGCAAAAATACTTTTTTTATTAAAAATATAACTTCGGTGACGTATAGAGGTCTAAATATATGAATATTTCATTACAATTATTGTGGTAAAATTATTGCAAGTACCTACTTGAAACGAGCATGTAACCATGTATGTTTGTATCATGCATCTAACCATGTATGAATTGCATTTTGTAACATAAAATGTCGACAAGCCATAGGAAATTGAAAAAATACCCTTTAATTTTCTGTTGTTTAAATGGAGAAACCTTAAAATCAAAAAAAATTACTTGGGAGTAAAATTAAAGGCTAAAATTTAAATAGAAGTGTAGAAAAATAAATGTGTCTTTTAAACGTATATATTTACATATATTTATAATAGCAGCAAATAAATTTTTCTTTGGTAAATATCCCGGAGCATTCGCCATTTTTGTAAATAATACAGGGTCTAAAATAGTTTTTGTTTAATAGCTTTTAAACGCTAAAGGATAATGAAACAAAATCTTACCAATTACTGTATTTGGTAATGCTCTAGTAGAAGTAAAAAAATTGACTTTGCAGGTTAGTCAGTGGCGCACATACGGACATTGCCATAGGGTTTTATAAAGAAAAATATTATAAGCCACTTGAAAGATTATGTTTTGGTTATTTTTTAATATTTGATTTATATTTTGTCATTGAAATATTATTTAGGGGTTAAACAACACCTACACAATTTTTTTTTAGACCAAACAAATAATTTTGATGGTAGCCAAGTGGAAAAAAGCAAACTTCGGAAATAACGCACTAGACAGACAGTTTAACAAATTAAATAAAATTGAATCTACTCCATTTAATAAAAGCTCTTTATTATTTACTAAGTTCAAAATATAGTTTATTATACGTTTACTTTAGCTCACGCAAGAAAAGCTTATAATGAAATATACTTCTTACGATTTTAATAATCCTTTCTTTACAGTAGGATTTGGTAAAAGCTTTCTTATCTTATAATGTTTACACTTTTTACACATACAGAACTATTTTTGCTTCAACGTTGGCATTGACATTTTCATTGCAAACTCTTCTCCTTTAATATTAAATATTTAGACATATACCATTAAATATGACTTACGCTTAGCAATAAAGACGAAAAGAATTTAATAGAGTGCATATTTCAGATAGCCGGCGTGGCATTGAGCGGGGTATCGAAACGGGGAGACGCGGAAAAAGCCCTGGAAGAAATGAAATCCATAGATAATCTTAAATATCACAGGATATTTGGATTATTAAATAACGTCAATAAATCATTGGATCTGTATTCGAAGTATAATGTGGAGGAAATATTCGATATCAGAATTTTGTCTGTCGATACGCGATATAGAGGCAAAGGACTAGCTAAGGAGCTTTTTCACAGGAGCGGGCTGTTGGCTGCTGAAAAAGGATTTAAAGTAAGTTAATTTTTTAAAACTATTTAATTATAGTTTTCCACTGTTTGCTTGGACAAATATAAGAATAGAGTTTGAACTTTTACGAAGAAAATAAGTTATTAAGTTTAATTTTACTACTGTCATAACTACTGTGATAACTTTCTCGTTTATACATAGATTTTCTCAACATTTTTATATATAAATGAGAAAGTTATGACAGTTTATAAACTCTGCTCCACACATCTAAGTTCAACCATGTGATTTTGATACAAATAATTAAGGTTAATTTTCTGTCAGTGTGAAACTAATTTCGTCCTAAACAATAACAATAAAAATTTAAAAAATTGCACACTCATGACTGCAATTAAAAGTTTCTTTTGATCAATTTTAACCCAAAATCATTTTTTTACTCCCCCATTGTTAAGTTGTGACTTTATGGCGTTTTAGTCACAGGCTGAAGTTAGCAACAGTGGCTTTTGGGCATTTTAGTCACAGTCTAAAGTTATGTTAAATTCGTCAGAATCTGACGAATATCTTCAGCCTGTGACTAAAATGCCCTGAGGCGAAAATTGTAATATTCTATCTACATAAACAATACATTGTCAGGAAAAGCGTTTAAAAAATTGACCATATAAAAATCAATTTTAGTTGGCTTTATTTGGTGAAAATATAATTTATTGACTTTTCTAGGTAGTTTTATATTATTATTTAAAGTTTTTGCTCATTTATACTTTTTATAAAATATACAAAATAATAATTTTTTTTAATTTCTATTCTTCTATATATAGCTAGGTTTCCACCATTTTTTAAGAAATTCGTAATTGAAGATGCTTCTATAAAACTTCTTTTTAACTGGTGTAATATTTTTCTTATTACACAATTCCTTGTATGTAATTTTATTATTAGAATTTAAAAAAAGCAAGTGAAATACAATAATTAGATAACAGAACAATACTTAAATTTTTCACCATATTTTCTTGCTTTCTTTGCTTTTACCACGATATTAGGACATAATATTCTATCTGCAAAATTCCGGCAATCCCATTGGCGGAGCAGATAGAACAATATAATTCTCGCCTTTCGATAAAATTGGCTTTAAATTCTTATTTCTGTTCGTCGTAGATAAAGTATAGTATGCAACTTGTTTTATAAACTCTTTTTTAAACACTCGCTCGTAACTAAAATGGCATTTATTAAACTTGATACATAATATACCATTACCTAGGTCTATAAATATTTTAATTATTGGCCATTTTTAATTTCATTTACATCGAATCCTGAAAATCGATTTATTTTGCTTTTTGACCTAGTGACATAATTATTACCTACAAAACTCTTTCGAGAACTTAAATTATAATAAAATATTTATTAGCTTAAATGTTTGTCAATCTAATAAAATACTTTTATAAAGGATGGTATAAATCAGTTTATAGCAAATAGAATTTGATCGTGCCTTTGACTTTTAAAGGCTATCAAATACACTTCCGATTTTATTTACTGCTTCAATTTAAATGGGGAAAAATTCAAAATGAAAATCCTTGCGAGTATATGGGTTCTAAAATTCCTTGAATAGAATGAATAGATTAAATTTAATGAGGGTGACCCATTTCTGTACAAAAAAATCATTCAGTCAAACAATGGAACACTTTATAAATTTCAACAATATAATTTATTATTTTAGCTTCTGAAAACGGACGCTACCAGTCTTTTCACGCAAAAAGTGGCGGAGTCCGATGGTTACACCGTCGCAAAAAGTGTGAAATATGGAGATTATAAAGACGAAAATGGAAAGCAAATCTACAAAACCCAATCGCCTCACGACTACTACAAAGTCATGATAAGGTTGATAGATGGTCATGCAAACAGCGAATGAAGTGATATGGAATTTAAAGTTACTTTTTTTTGTTTTATCTTGATGGGGTTTCCACGGGACCTAAATGTTAAAAAAATGTTAAAACTGCTTACTGCCATGCAGCGTTTAACATTTTTGCAATGACTGATTTTTTTAGCACGAATTTTAGGGATTTAACGTCACTTTTTATGCTTTCCTATCTCGATCAGTATTACAACTATTTTACCTCAAACTTCATCACAAAATGACAATAATTATTATTTTATTTACTCACCGTTTTGTCTGCAAATTGTCTATGAAGTTGTTAACTATTAATCAACGGCAATCATTATAGAACCATTTTATACTATCTACTGTTGACACTGTAAATTAATGTTAAATGAATATTGTATATGTTATACCAAATATTGACGTCTTTTATTTAACCCCAAATCAATAAGTTGAATTTTTATTCAACTATTATAGTTTCAAGTCGAAACTTTCGACACTCCAAAAATAGAAGTTTTAAATACTTTGTTTACAAGTTTTTCAACTTTTCAGAATACCTAAGGGTTGAATATTTCTAGGATACGTTGGGGGAATCAGTATGACCACAAAGTCCAAGAGTTTTTTTTTAAATGGCAACACTTTGTGATAACTCATAGGAAATTGCTATTTAACATTTGAATTTTTGAAAAATACGCAAAAAAGGTTGTTATAATTTTTTATTAGAATTTCTCGTTATAAATATAAAATTAAACCATTTTGTTGCGTAAAAACTTTAGTAAAAAAAACTGGAGAACAAAATAATTCTAACAAAAGTATAATAAAAAAATTCCAAAAGTCTATTTTGGGCAAAGAAAAAAAAATTTCATCATTTTTTTGGATTTGCCAATTTTTTATAATTTAATAAATATTATATGTATACATATATACATAAAAAGCTATAGCTTTTTATGTAGATGCAAATTTTAAAATTTGGTCTGGTTTTAGACATTTACCGTTCTTAAACATCTTTTTTGCAAGTTTTTATAAATCTGATTTAAAAAAAATGCACCAAAAACATACACATTCCATTAAGGATTTAAATTGTGTAACAGTGCCAATATATTTCGCGACAAACATTTCAAAATATTAAGACTATTTAAAAATAGACTCATGGGTGTTATTTTATGCATTTAATTTAAAAAGCCAAAAAATAAAGTGTTTTGATTATTGTTGAACAATTTGTTAATGTATGCTTTTTTAGTTTATTATACTTTTCGAGGAATTATTTTGTTTTTTTACTAATGTGTGTTTATTTATAAGTATTGCAAATACTGGAAAAAAATGTACAAAACACGAAAAACATTAAATAGCAATACATTTTTTAACTTAATTGGGAAATATGTATTTAGCATCTTTTCACAGAAAACTCTCGCCTAAGATAAGCAGGATAAACTCCGGATTTTCGATTAGTGGTGAATTAATTTCTCGCCAGGGTTTCATCAACGTAATAATTCGAATTCCAGGATGTAATTTCTCTGGAACGCTCTCTCCACGTGTATCCTTGACCGTAACCAAGGTAACAGCATCCCAATGCCATTTCAATAGATGACCCAAATATTTTGCCGTTTCACCTACACTATGGTGCATCGCACTCCACTCGTGGATATTTCAGCGATATGAAATGAGGGCTTTGTTAAATTCTTTAAGGACAATACAGCAGTTTTAATTGGCGAATTGATAAATTTGTTGGGATGTCAATATAAGTAAATTTTAATCAAAATAAAAAAATGTTATCTAAAAAAATAATAATTTTGTTTTGGCTTAAATTTAAGCGTTGTTCCACTAAATGGTTTATTTTATTTTATATTTGTATTAGTTAAGAGAAGTGGTCATTGTTGGTTTTGGAGTGAAATTGGTTCGACTTTTTTTGTCATTTTACTCACAACACATCGAGATATAATGACAGGTGAAATTAGTAATTTTTGATAATTTTTGTGACTTGTTATTTTTATGTTATGTTATGTAATAAAACTAAATTGTTGTATACCATATCTTAAATAACTCACATTTTCAATTTGTATATTTGAGATTTAATATTAATTTTAATTAGGTGTAATTACCTTAATATGATAGTTAAATTTCTTTACTTTAAATAAGTCTCTGAAGCCCACTAAGGGACCACTAAAGTTAGCCTTGCCTTTGCATAAATTCCGACAGTTATCCGTTCGTTCTTCTAAAGTCTCAGGACTAACATGTTACACAATGGCGCCCAACAAGAAGAGATATATTCATTTTTTATGAAATAATATAAATATTCAAATAAATTATTAATAAATTAAAAAATAAGTGTCCAAATAATATTATTCAAAACATTTTTAGTTTTATGTTAATTTATTTAAAAATCGTTCTAGTTTGATGACTTCTTGGTCTATATTCGCGACCTGGATAGATAATAAAAATAGGGGTAATCTCATGTCAGTGGCATATATAGTAAAATCCAGCCTTGCCAATTTTACAGATTTCCCAAAATTTTAATTATTTTCACCAAAAAATTGTACAAATTTTTTAAATAAAATATAAATTGTTTTAAAAGTCTTACGAAGCAAGATAATATACACATATGTAGATATACATAGTTTTTTACAAAATAAAATGTAAAAGATTAAAAATTAAAATTCAATTTTTTAATTTGTATTTTTGGTAATTCGTATTTTGTAGATATTAAGAAACACTGTTCAACATTGCAACAATGCGAAATAATCTAAGAAACAATTTATAACAATCATAATATATATTCCAGTTTAATTTATAAATAAAATATCAATATAAATTGTATTTAACTAGTTATTTCAAGAAATACACTATGTAAGTACTAATATTAATTAAAGGGCGTAAAATTATATTCACCCAAATCTTCAAAAAATATTAAGCAGACATAATAAAAATATTTTTCGTTTAAACAGTTACTGTCTTCCAAATTAAAAGATTAAAAGTGGACATTGCTAATTAACTATACATTTTTGAAAATATAAACAAAAAACATTTTTTGAGATAATTAAATAAGTTTTATGTATATAAATATCCAAAGAATTAATTTTTATTTCAGATCTAAATATAGTACATGAACGCAAACGTTCCCAAAGTAAGTACATAACATTTTAATATTTTTTCCTCAAAAAGAGTTTAAAAAACAATGTTTTCTACTAGATGGTAATCAGGAAACAAGTGGAAAATATTATATACCAAGTGGTTCCGAAATATCTATACGAAGATGTGATTTGTCAAATGCAACGTGGTTTAAAGGATGAGCCGTTAAATACTTCCGTAGGATATTGCGACACAGAAATTTTGGAAAAAAAAATGTCTGCCACCCTGTACGAGGGATACTCTATAATGGCATTGGATACAGACAACGGAGAGGTAATGAAAATATTATGTAAATACACCTTAATTAATATTAATGATCTAGATAGCTGGGGTGGTTCTAAACGGAATAGAAAAAAAGGAAGACGTTGAAACAGCTTTAGACAAGTTTAAACACGTGGAAAATGAAAAATATCAAAAAATATTTAAATTAATTTATGAGGTAAATGAATCGTTGGACATTCATTCAAAATACAACTTAAATACAATTTTTAAAATTAATTTTATATGCGTAAATCCTAAATACAGAAGAAGAGGACTTGTAAAAGAATTATTGAATAGGTGCGAGTTATTGGCAATTGAAAAAGGATTTAAGGTATGGAAAAAAATAAAAACTTTTATCTCCACGCGGTCTATAATTTAAACTTTATTGTTGTCAACATTCAATAAAGAAATACCTTGTTATGGCCTAGGCCGATAAAAATTTTTATGATGCAAGTAATTGGTTCGATTTTTTCTCGCTAGGGGTATTGTTTTGACAAATTAATCCTTTTCTACGAAATTAACGTACTAAATTGGTTTAATTTATTTATAATAAGCACTAATTTAATTATTTGTTTTACTGTTATGTTTAATATTTTTCATTAAATTATTGTAAAAATAAATATGAATAATAAAAAAAAAGTGAGGTTAGGCAACCGAGAAAACGCACGATTCTTTTTCTACGATTTAAATAATCTTTAAGTTTCAATTTGCTTTAAGTTTTCAGTGAAATTAAATGTTAAACACAGCTTAAACATTCCAAACCACCTATTTTTTAAATAAAAATCCAAACAAATTGAAATTAGATACCTACCTATTTATTAAACAATTAATTGAATTCAATGTAATAGCAAAAATCCATTTCTACTTAAATCATGTTGCTAGGTATTGTCAAACTATTACTGCTTCTAAAAGCAATAATAATTATTGTACATTTAATGTAATCTTTAGCTAATAAATAAATGAGATTCTAAAAAAGTGAGGTTAGGCCGCTTTGATGTTGAATTAAATTGACCTATATAAAGTGGTTTGAAGATAAAATGTTGTATGCCATTCGGCCATGAAGTGCCTTTTTGTGCTTCGCTCAATTGTAGGCCTCCGCTACGCGTCGGCCTTCAAACCTTGAGCTTAGCACAAAAAGCTTTACTTCTTAACCTAATGACATGAATAACTATTTTTAATAAATATTTTTTAGCTCATGAAATTGGATTGCACCAGTAATTTTGTTCACAAAGTCGCTGAACTCAACGCATTTGCTTCGGCAAAAACAGTAAGATATGGAGATTTCACCGATGGCAATGGAAAACAAATCTATGATTTTAAAATGCCCCATGATTCTTTTACGGTTATGATTAAACTTTTGGACGAAAAAGCCAGTTATCAATGTGCTTTGCAATAAATAATGCATATATACCTATTTGTAGTTAATAAATAATTTATTTTTCCCTATTAAATATTATAAATAAAAAATAAACTAAGAAGAAAATATCAAACAAAAATTCGTTTTTTAAACTTTTAAATATATATCTGAAACATAAAATATATTTTTATGGATAGATAAAAATATATATTTAAAACAAATAAAATATTAGAGCAATCTTCCCTTAAACTTCCAATTGTTTTTGACGCCTCCTAATATAATACACAATACACAATGGATTGTGATATATATTATTATTATATATTATTATATTATTTATTGGTTTGAGGTAAGCCGGCTTCTGGGACAACAGCAGACATTCGTGAATGAATTAACCAATATTTGGTTTCAGGCAACCAAGATTTATTTTCATTTGAATTGTTTGATACAATAGAACATGTTTCAATTATTTTAATCTAAAAGAACTAAAAAAAGCAGGGGATGTTTTCAAAAGTAGTAGAACGGGAGATTGATTTCAAAAACTGTAGATCTACCGCTAAACCGGAGACCTGGCAACACTGCATAAAGTTCGCAATATTTTGGTTTTATATGTTGGCGTTGTTGTAACGAAAGTGCGACGTTGGCATTTTTATGTAGCGATCACGGCCTTGCCAACAGGCTTGTTCCATGCTACTCACGTATTTTCTAAATATGTAATGCTACCAAATATAATATGGTTAGTTACAGTTTAACTTTATAATTTCAGCTCCTAATTGTAATTAATAAATAATTATATCTAAATACAGGGCATAATAATTATTTTATAATGTGAATTTTATATTTAAAAATACAATATATAGCTATATACCTAACTAGGTAGGTACTTAAAAAAGATTCAAAACAAATCTTATTCTGTTGGCATTATATTATATAATATAATGCCAACAGAATAAGATTTGTTTTGAATCTTTTTTAAGTACCTACCTAGTTAGGTATATAGCTATATATTGTATTTTTAAATATAAAATTTACATTATAAAATAATTATTATGCCCTGTATTTAGATATAATTATTTATTAATTACAATTAGGAGCTGAAATTATAAAGTTAAACTGTAACTAACCATATTATATTTGGTAGCATTACATATTTAGAAAATACGTGAGTAGCATGGAACAAGCCTGTTGGCAAGGCCGTGATCGCTACATAAAAATGCCAACGTCGCACTTTCGTTACAACAACGCCAACATATAAAACCAAAATATTGCGAACTTTATGCAGTGTTGCCAGGTCTCCGGTTTAGCGGTAGATCTACAGTTTTTGAAATCAATCTCCCGTTCTACTACTTTTGAAAACATCCCCTGCTTTTTTTAGTTCTTTTAGATTAAAATAATTGAAACATGTTCTATTGTATCAAACAATTCAAATGAAAATAAATCTTGGTTGCCTGAAACCAAATATTGGTTAATTCATTCACGAATGTCTGCTGTTGTCCCAGAAGCCGGCTTACCTCAAACCAATAAATAAATTTTATTAACATTTGCCAGTTTTGTAGAAGAACAAATTGTTATAATATTGTCATAAATTCCTCAACTTAAAAATAATCAGATTAATATTTTTGACCATTATTGGCTAGTTGATCTCTTCTAAATACAGAATATTTATTTTGTTTTGTTCATCATATTTTTAATTTTTAGTTTTATTTGAATTTCCCGCTTTTACGTAACGACCTTTTCCGCTTTATTAAAAAGCTACCTGGCAACACTGATCAGTGTTCTTTGTGTCAGATAACCCTATATTTGTGTATTTGTTATATGATAACCATCTGTCTTTATAAACATTCTCTTGTCTCTGGTGTTTATCAAAGAATCTTTGGTGTTTATGATTTGTGCTCATTATAAACGCAATATAAATTTTATTTGGTGATTTTATACACTTGCCTTATATAATTCAATTATTAGTAAAAATGGGAAAAGAAGACAATAAAAATCAAAATCTATTTACTTTGGGAGCAGTGGCTGTAGCAGCAACAGTAACTGGAATTGCAACATGGTTCTTTACAAAAAAATCACAAAATTGTTACGAGCATACTAATTCTTCGCCAAGTGGTTCTAGAAATAATTTCCAGGCCGGTCCATCAGTAGGCAATAGCAGAAATAGGTAAAAATAATCTTCTTGGTTTTATATGGTTAATAAAATACTTAATTCTTTTAGCACAAATGATTGCAAATGCCTCCGCACTGAAAAATTTAAAGAAGAATGTGCTATATGCCTGGAAGACTTTGAAACAAGAGAATTAAGCTGTGGTCATGTATTTCACACTAAATGTATTAGTAAATGGCTTCAATACAATAATACATGTCCATTTTGTAGAAAAGAAAATCCCTAAATATTGAAGATGTTAACAATGTTTCACTATACCTACCTACTTTAAACAGAAAAAATATTTAGAATACCATGTGCTTAACTAATATAACTGTTAAAATTTTAACCATTGATAGATAAAATTTATTGTAAAATTAAGCCATTTTGTTGTTATATTTATTTTAACATAGGTAATCAAATAAAGCTAGAATTTTGTAAAGTGAGACTGGATTATATGCAACAATAAAAGGCTGAAATATTTTTTATTTATTTGTTTCTTTTTTTCTTTAATAATACAGCAAAACAGTTAATAATAAATAATTATTTAAATTTTCTTAATTCCATATTTTATGTTATGCCTTTTCTTACGGGAATCTATAAATGACACCACATTTTTGACGTAATTGTCACTATTAACATTGCCCGTTATTAATTTTAATTAAATTTAACAATTATTGATACTTTAATAGTATATTATGTATCAAGTTTTATAAACGCCATTTTATTTTAGTTACGAGTTTTATTAAGCACGAGCGAAGCTTGCAAGCGAGTGTTTAATAAAAACGACTGTCTAGATAAGTTTATAAAACGAGTTGCATACTATACTTTATCTACGACGACCAAAAAGAAGAATTTAAATCCAATTTTATTTGTTAAACATTTGACATCTGTCAAATGTCAACGAAATTAACCTCACTTTTCTCTAATTTATAATAAAGCTAACTTCAGCCCATGACTAAAATGCCCAATAGCCACTGCTGTTAACTTCAGCCCGTGACTAAAACGCCATAAAGTCACAGGAGTAGATAAAATATTAAAATAACTTCAAAATATGATTTTGTTAAGAAAATATTTTATCCTTTGATTTTTTTATTACTATAATTGCAAAATATTATCACAAAGTATTCTTACACGGGAAATGTTAATGGTGACAATTACGTTAAAAATGTTTATTCAAAATTTCGAATTGTTTATCTTCTACGGGAGGAAGGAAGGAAGGCAATCTATAATTCAGGCTAAACGTACATTTAACGTTAAACAAATAGCTGTGTCTAGACACACACACAGGACTTAGATTTTTAAGCATTCTCCAAACAAAACATACATATTACAGTACTAGGTACTCACTAAATGAAATGCTATGACAGAGTCTAATAAAAAGTAGGTAAGCAAAATCTTAAAGCTGTTTTGTGTATAAATGGAACATACTGTATATTGACAATGATTGTAATGACAATTAGCAATATTTACGACATTTTTTAACTAAAAAATCTCTACTTTATTATTTAATTCTATACTAATTTCACAAAATGTTGAATCTTGGTTTTATGATAGAAAAAGATCGCAGGGAAGCCGCAAAGCTAGAAAAGCGTAAAATCTTCGAGGAAGAAAGAAAAAAGCGCATTTTCAATGCAAAAACAAGACTTATAGGGGTACTTATACTTACCTTTTACCGCTAACACCACCTAATCAAACATACATTTTTAAAGGTGGACACTAAGGCTTTGGATACGCAGCTGATTCAAAAGCAAAAAAAGAAGGACGAAGAGAGACTGGTCGACGAGATATTTGTAGAACAATTGAAAAAAGCCGATGCGTTGGCAGTAGCGCTGGCTGAAAAGGACAAAAAGGTGTCCCCGAAAATATAGAGAGGAACCACTTTAATGGTCGCTTGGGTTTTAGGAACGCCATCTGATCGAGTTGGAGATAAATAAGTTCAGACAAACGTTCCAGAAGCCGCAGCACAGAAGGGAGTACGATTTAAATGATCCCGACCACATCAAAAAACAGCTGCCCATGAGAATTAACGACGATGATCCCAGGCTTGGCCCTTCTTCTGTACAAAAGTAACTAATTTGTTTTTGATACAGTACAATTTTTTAGACTTCGAACCCTCCTTTTGTTCCTAATGGGCGTATAGCAACGGCCCGGCGAATCCGGGAATGGCTATTCAAACTATTCGCATGTCGCTCTCGAGCCCCAAATATACTCACTGAATACTATTTTTTAATCTTGAACAAATTTAGATTTGAAGGTGAGGACGTGGTGTGCCAGGAGAGGCGGAAGATCCAGCGGGATCAGCTGAAAGCCTGGCTCGATCAACAGATAATGGAAAAGGAGCAGGCCGAGAAAGAAAGACAGACCGCCGTGGATGCATACAGGGCGGCAATCTTGGCCAGGGACAAAAGGTCCATGGAAATAACGGAGTTGGAGATGGAGTGCAGGAAACGCTTGGAGATCGCCGTCCAGAGGTTCAATACGGCACTGGTACGTACCTGCGATTTTATATATACTAGCTACCCACCAGTTTTTTTTTCAAAGTTGGATTATGTTAAGTAGGCAAATGAGATGACAAATTTTTTGTGTTGAACGTTATTGATCTTCGAACATTTCAAGTGGTGGCACTAACGTGAATATAAGGGACGCATTGAGTCGTATTTCGTTTTAGTCTGAAGAAAAACGCATAAGGGAAGAGAGATCTAAAAGGGAGATTAGAGATGATAACATGGCGGAAATTTATAATGCCATGACGAGCGACTTGTTGACGGAAAATCCAGACGTGGCCAATAGCAACTTGGGCCAAAACAGGAAAATCGGGTATCTTTATAAAGGCATGACTGACGAAGAAAAAGTTAGGTTTAAGGAAGCGCAATGGAGGCAAATCCAGGAGGCCAAGGTAAGTGTAAAAAATAATTTTCTGGCAATAAATAAAGGATGTTTGTTGTAGAAAGAAAAGGAGTTCCAGAAAAGGGCGGAAAAAGAATTCGGGGAATACTTTACGCAGACGCAAAAAACCATACTGATCCTGGATAAAGAAATAGAAGAAGCGAAGAAGTACAAACACATATAAAATATTTTTTTTAACAATTTATATATTATATTTTTTAGGAAAATGACCATACAAATCAGAGAAGAAAACAGGAAATTGGCCGTCGAACAGAAGAATAAAGAAGAGTTTATAAACAAAATTGTTTACAAGAACACCCCTACAGAGGAATATTACAACCAATTTAACACAACAACTCGTTAAAAAATGTATATTTTTATTATATTTACTTATTTTAATACACCTTGTATAATATGAAAACTTATTTATATCAATACGCATCCCCCCTATTTATTCCCAAAACAAATTATGAATCCTCGAGTATCATGCTATGAATTCATAGCAACGTTAAATTTGTCGTAGCAACCAATCAACTATTTGTTTTTTGTATTTCGTATTGAAGCAATACAAAATGTTGAGTTTAAATCTAGCCACCAAACAAGAAAAACTTGAAGCTGCAAGGATAGAATTGAGAAGAATTCGAGAAGAAGAACGAAAGAAAAGGATCTTCAATCCGAAAAAGCGGCAAATTGGTGTAAGGCTTAGTTTTCTCAAATTGTGTGTTTTTAACAATTTTTTGTAACTTTTAAAGGTGGATCTTAATACTCTACAAAAACAAATAGAAGAAAACAACAAAAAACAAGAAGAAGAGCATAAACTAAACGAACTCTATATAGAGTATCTGAGAGATGCTGAAAGAGTGGCTTTGGCGCAGGAGGCCAAGGAAAAGCAGGTAAAAAAATAAAAAATTTATAATTATACAAAAAAAAATAGTTTTTTAGGAAAGAATCAAAATCGAACAAGAAATCAATAAATTTCGACAAAACCATCAAAAACCAGAATGTAGGCGGGAATTTGATTTAAACGATCCAGAATTTTTGAGAAAACAATTACCACTAAGAGTTGACGATGATGATCCAAGACTTGGTCCTTCATCTGCACAAAGGTACCACCTATTATAATATCGCTTCAACCTTTGAAGACTACATTATTTTCTTCTTTTCCTATGCTTTTTAGATTTGATGGTGAAGACTTATCAGACCAGAAAAGGCTCGCCGTTCAAAGGGAAGAAATGCGCGCGAGCCTGGAGCAACAAATGATGGAAAAGGCCATGGCCGAAGGTCAGCGCAAGATGGCGGAAGAAGCGTACGAAAACGCTGTCATAACCCGCGACCAGCGAGCATTGGAACTGAGCGGAATGGAAGCCGAGTGCAGGAAAAAGTTGGAGCAGGCCACGTGGAGATTTAACAGGGCTTTGTACGAGCAAAGGCGATCTCAGGCGGAAAAATTGGAGAAACAGAGGTTGGAGGACGATTTAAAGGAAATTTGTAATGCTTTGTCTAGTGATATGTTGACGGAGAATCCAGAGGTGGCGCAGAGTAACCTGGGGGCGCACAGAAAAATTTCCTATTTGTATAAAGGAATGACGGATGAAGAGAAGGCGTTATACAGGAAACACCAGTTGGAGCAAATAAAGGAACGACAGGTAAATTATTTGGGACACATCTATATAAATATAATTCAATGTATATTTAGATGCAAAAGGAGCTAGAGAAAGAAATGGATAGACAGTATTATAGATATTTTACTGGTGTGCAAACGAAGATTGGAGTGTTGGATTTGGAGGAAGAAATCAATAAAAAGTTAGTGGGTTTTAAAATACATCAAATTAACATAATTTTCAAATAAATATTTCAGGAAATACGCTAAAACTTTGGAAGAAGAAAATCTCAGACTTGCCAAAGAACAGCAGGATTATAAGAAGTGTATGGATAAATATGGCTTTTTTAATATCCCCGATGATGAATATTTTGGGAAGTTCAACCAGTCGTCAAGATAAAAAAACATATTAAAGCAGACGAAGGGGGCACATGTCTTCTATAGGCATTTTGTCCCCTTTCCCCTGCAATATAAAAAGACAATAAGCGTTTTAGGCCGCTGGCGGTTCCAAAAAACACCCTGTACCCTTTCCCAGTCCGTGCGAAAGCACTGTCCCTCTCTCTCTCTAAAAGTTCTAACTATCCACATATGAGGAAGGGCAAAAGGTCCAATCTGACCTGACCCTTGCTCGGGCCGAAGCCCAGCAATTTAGGCCACAATCAAATCAATCAAAAAAACATATTACTTGTTTTACATTTTTTATTAAGTACAGTTTACAGCTTTTTATAACAGATAAATTAACTTTAATACGATATGATAAGAGCAACTTAAATATTTAAGCACTTACTTGGTACAACTTTCATTTGGACCAGTAATCAACCCCTTACTATAAAGATTAATGATTGAATCGGCAATAATTTTTGCAGTACATTTTTGATAACCACCGCTAGTCAACATAACTATCGGAATGTTTCTATTTCTTACAATGGAAAACACTATTTCATCCCTACTTATAATGCCCTACAAAAAACACAATAAATTATTTGTCCAGTATGTTTTTGTTATTTTTGTAACCTCCGGTGATACTGACAACCCCCCCAGAGGATCTCCTTTTAAAATATCAGTTCCTGCATTATAGATTACTAAATTTGGGTGGAATTCATCCAAGGCTTCAATGATGTTTCTAAAAGAATGCATTTTGAATCATCATCATAATAGATTTAGTCGAAACACGAACTTTTTTACTTTTATCAAGTACTCATCATCCTCCACGAACAACGCCAACTCAACCTTTTTCCTTATGGAATCCTTAGCCACCTTATCCTTGGGGTAAACAAACTTATTGTAAACATCCATAATGTACACGTGATCATTCAACTTGAAATCGCGCTCGTAACCGTTTCCCTGGTGAGCATCCAAATCAACGATCATTATTTTCTTAACTTGCGGGAAATACAAGGACAAGTGCTTCACGGTTAGTGTTATATCGGCGTAAGCGCAAAACCCGCCTCCCTTGGCCGCCGAGCAATGGTGAAACCCTCCTCCCAAGTTTATGGACCAACCGCGGTCGATTGCCAGTTTACCTGCCAAGATTGACCCTCCTGTTTGGTACCTGAAAAAGTCGTCTAAATAGAGTAAAACCGAATATAGGGAAACGTCTCTCCAACGCGCGTCACAGTAGCTTGTGTGATAAACGACATGACGAAAGGTCGAGCAGATAAGACGACCTTAAAAATGAAATGATAATAATGCAAAAAATCTCATTAGCGATGCAGGCTATTTGCTTAGGCCACGCCCCATACGTTTCCCTATATTCGGTTTTACTCTGAACGGGCTGTATGTTGACTGTATGCAACGCATTGTAGATCTATAGGTATACCTCATCGGTTTTAAGTACGCTTTCTGCACAAAATAATTCGGCACCAATATCAAAGGCACAACTTCAGCGATACAAGCGACTCTGCAGCTATTTTTCAGGCTTTTCAGGTATTTTTCAGTATGCACTAGCAATAAGTCTTTTTTTCTTGCTTCGTTTGGCACTGTGACAGTCTCTTTATTTACTAATCCATATTCATTGAGGTACTGAAATTTTTTAGAGGTTTAAATTGTTTAAAGGGGTTTTGGTAGGGTTCAAGTACTTTGAATATGTTGCCCCATTTTTTGGCGTCGAAGGGGTGGAGTTTTTCTAGACCTAGGAAGTAGACGTTGTATTTTTTTGTGTACACTATAGGCCACTGGTCGTTCTCAATGTTTTTGTATAAATTAGTCCTAAAAAAGTTAATGGTACCTATTTGTTTATGATAAAATGATTAAATTATATAAATATCAATTAGGTGATATGAAATGCCAAAGAAGTAAAAAACAAAATATAAAAAAAAAATTATGACTAAATTTTGTGGATATAAACTGACATTATTAACCTATCGGTATATAATATATAGTTATCAATCGTGCGTTCAACGAGAGGTATTCCAACTAAACTAACTGGAAGTTTTAATGGATCATTCTATGGAATATTCCCAATGAATATTCCTAGAATGAAGCGGATTATTCCTAGATGATAGCGCATATTCCTGGTAAATAACCAATTTGTAGAAAGAAAATTATTTATTGTTTTTTAAATATAAAGACTTTCACTGGGAATGTTCCAAGATGTTGCTTGGAAGTTGTAGAGGATCATTCTATGAAATATTTCCAATGAATATTCACTGGGAATGTTCTTAGATGGTGCTTGGAAGTTTTACAGGGTCATTCTATGGAATATTCCCAATAAATATTCCTAGAATGAAGCGGATTATTCCTGGATGATAGGACATATTCCTGAAATATTTTAGAAACTTCATTGCAGTCTGGGTAGTAATTATTAATAATTTTCACATTTACTTATATGTTGTGTAGCCTAGGGTTAAAGCTTAAATTAAAGCTTTAATTATTCTTAAAGATCGTTTCAGACATATTCCCAAAAAATGCTCCTGAAATGCGCCGGATTATTCCAGTGGAGTAGAGAATATTCCTGAAGGATTCTTAAGGATTGTTTCAGACATATTCCCAAACAATTAATTGTTAATTCTGCGGGATCATTCCAGATAAGCAGGGAATATTTCTAGAGCATTGAGGAAGGTTGGTTGCAGGCATTTTTTATTTTAATTTGCATATTTGCATAAGAATAAGCCTTTAAGAACTTTTACTTTATCTTTAAGTAAAATCAATATCGTTTTATTAATATTAAAGCACTTTAAATCCCTAAATAAATCTTACAATTATTGTTATAACTAGTATATTTGGGTAGTTAAATATAGAAAATTCAAAAATTCAATAAAATTACAGACAATTACTTAAATACTTATTGGGAAAAATGGCAAAATAAATTTTTTTATAAAAAAAAATAGGGAAATTATATTTTATTTTAAAATCTATTATTAATTACTTAAATGATTACACAAGGCACTGCTACGCAATAATCACCTTATCTTATTATATTTTCAAAATTTGTGTAAATAAATAAATTTAAATTTAAACTATAATTTGACTCCTCATACTCACTGCATCCTGAAACCTCAGGAAACTCTCGAATTTCCCTCGCAAACGTATCGACCGCAGCCAGCTGCGGTCGCCGCAACAAACCAGCAGGCCTTGGCAATACAAACAATAACAAAACAAAACGCTGTCGTCACGTTTTTTATCCAAACTCCCTCAAATTTATTTTGTTTTTCACCAGGACACGACGGGCCATGTTGCCTGGTCACATTTTACTGAGAACAGGGAATTTCGCGACAGTGTTTCATCGGATGGTACAATGACGATTTGAATTCAAATTCAATAGAAAGATTGTTAAATGAGTGCGGAAAACGTTCTTGACGGGTGAGTTAAGTAACCTTACTTATTTTGACAGTTTTCTGATGTTTTAATTTTTAGCAACTTTAGAAATATCCTTCATGAGTATGAAAACGTTATAGATGAACTACAACATGAATTGGAATATGTTAAGGTACGCTATAATGATATGTAAATATAAACGGTGATTCACTGAATATAATAATATATCTAGGTAAGCTATATATAGCTTAATAAATAAGTTGCTATTTATAAATAGCAACTTATTTATTGTAATCTTTTAGAGCGAACATCACGTCGTCAAATCGAAAATATGTGACTTAACTAACGAAAATAGAGCCCTAAATAAACAATGTAATGATATTCTTAGTGAAAAAATTAATTTTGTGCACAAAGAAAATGATATTGTTGAAAGTTTAAGACAGCAAATTAATGTATTAACCAATGAAAAAGATTATTCCACACAGTTATGGCAAAATGCTATGAAAACTATAGATTCTCTTGAAGAGGATCTAAAATATTACCAAAGTGGTTTGGAAGGATTTGTACCCAAAAATGAAATATCAAAAGTGAGTTTTTTTGGGTATCAACATTTTGACTAATAAATCCAAATTACCTACTCTAAAAAAGTTATGTTGTAGATAAAACATTCTTATGAAGAACAAGTCAAAAACTTATCCAATGAACTACTTTTCACAAGGGAAAAGTTAAATAATTTATCTAAATCAACTTCAAATCAAATAATATCAGAATTTTCCAAAATAGACAAATCTCATCAAGTCCAAGAAAACTCCTTTAAAATCATTAAAAATCTTGAAGAGGAAATACTGAATTTGCAGCAAAGATTGCAGGAGTGTCTTAATGTAAATAAAAATCAAGAAAAAAAACTTAAAGAGCAAGATAGACAAATTATTTTGGCGACCAAGAAAAATGAAGAATACATTGTTAAAATCATGGAATCCATACAAATTGTTGAAGCTGCTCTGGTAGAAAAGGATGGAGCATTATATAGGGAAAAAGAATATAAAAGTTATATATTTTTTATATTATGCAAAACCTTATAATATATTATTAATTACATTGTAGGTAAAATATTGGAATTAAATGATTTACTAAACGACTACATGAAAGAATCCCAAGAAAAATTACTAAAAGAAACAGCAGAAATAAGACAAGAATATAACAAAAAAATTCTGGAAATGGAACAAGAATTAAAAGATTCCCAAAATGACTTGAAAATAAAAGCGTTTGAAATAGAAAAGCTGTCAGGAAAATGTAGCATATTGGAATGCGAAATAGAAAGAGTTCTCAAAGGAAATACTCACATAGATGAAAGCGGTACGTCAAAATTACTGGTGTTGGAGAAAAATTTAGAAACAACTTTTCAGAAATTGGTAAGTAACTGGGAAGATGGAGCCACTGAATAGTGACAGGGTTTATTTTTTTTAGTTAATTTCTGAAAAACAAAATATTTCCCTGGTTTCTCAGAGGGATGCGATAAAAAACGACATGGAGGAAATGACGAGTCATTTTGAAAGGGACATAAAAACGAGGGAAATTGAGAAGTTAGGAATGCAGCAAAAAATTAAGCAACTTCAAAATGAATTGGGCGAAGTAAATGAAAACTACTGCAAGGAATGTAAAAAAAATGAACTGTTGAATAACAAAATAGTACATATGGAGAAGGGGTTTAATGAAAATATAGAAACTAAAGAAAAGTAATAATAAAATTTTGTTAACATTTTATGTATTTTTGGTAATTAAAAATTTGTAGGTGTTTATTAAATAGCCATTCAGTTAAAATCAGTGAATTACATAAAACATACAATGAAAAATTGGACAACTTGAAATTACAAATGGATTTACAACGAGACGTGAACGAAAAATGGAAAACCGAATATAAAAATTTTACCCGGAGTTTCGAAGATGTTATTACAAAACAAAAAGAAGAAATAAAAAAATTAAAAAAAGAAAATAAAAAACTAATTTCAAAGCTGAAGGCATCAAATAAGGAAGTTACAGAGTATAAATCATTTTTGAATGTTTTATCTAAGGATGCATCTAATTTAACTCAAAATGCTGTTAAATAACGTTAAATTAAGTTTTTGTCTATTAAAAATGTATTAAAATTTTGTTTTGTTTTGTCGACAATGATCATTAAAATAAACGCCTAGGAATAAACGTACATCCCCTGTATAGCAAATAAAATACAGTTCATTTTTTATGTTTTTTTTGTTAGGTTGGTGGCTTATACCAGTTTGACTTAAGTCGTTTTTTCGCGTAAATACTATGTAATACTACGGTTAAATAAGTCATGACGTCAAAGTTAATTCGTATAACCATGGTTAGGTTTCTAACATTTGACATTTGTTTACTTGTTCATAACCTATAATTTTTGAAATGTGTTTTTACCTATTTATATTTAATTTCTATGCTTTTACCGGTGTAAATAAATTTCTTTGCCTCTTCTTATACCTAGTATATTCTTTTTCTATACTAGTTTTTTCAATACACGTTATCCAATTCTCCTACATATTTAATACAAAATAAGGAAGAATATAAAACAAATCTGCATATAATTCCTTCACTTCTTGTGGAGATTCCACAATATGGAGCACCCTATCATTTATTTTTACTGACAACACCCCGTTTACCATTTTAATTCAAAGTTTAAATTCGGTTTAAGAGCAATTGTACCTATAGGTACCTATTATTACAATATAAGTATACTTAAAATATTTTAAATTTCAAATGTAAACAACTTTTTGACAGATCGAAACAGAGAAAAATATATATTAAAAAGAGAAAGACTATTAACCACGTTGAATAACTAGCTCAGCGATATAGTTTTATGGTCTGGTATTTGTGACGTCATAGTTAGGATTTTTGAACGCACTCTAAACGCAAAAATGTCTTAACTATTAACCAAGGTTAAGTTTAATAACCATAGTATTTTATGGTATTTACGCGAAAAAACGACTTTAGTATTTTTAGTATTTAAAAATGGTACTTCTGCTAAAGAATTTAATTAAATGGTACTTTGACACTGTCAAATTGACAATAATATTTATTATTGATAATTTACTTGTCAATTATAAATAAAAAGATAATTATGCCAAAAATAATAGCAACGAATTCGAATGTAAAAGCCCTTTTGAGGGCAGAACTTCATTTTGATGAAATTATGCCAAATGCCACAATGGAAGAAAAAGTATACATCGCCTTATGGACATTTTTGGGTTAAAAACGAATTTGGTTTTAGAAATATTACATCACACATTATTTTCACATTATTCACCATTGGACAACATTTACGTTCACAAAAAATTTTAATTTCTTTTATATAAATTCTTTTCAAAGCGAAGATTATTATCCGCTAGGAATACTTTCTCTTCTGGGCCGTAAAGCAACATATATTTAACTACTTTTTTTTATATATATTTGCTCATCCAAGCACCACAAAAGCCAAATTAATTGCATTTTTAACTACGAATTTCGACAACTCAACTTGACAACTGCACTATGTAACCTACAATAATTTATACATAACCACAATTAGATTTATAACTAGCTTAGTTTGTTTTAATCAATGCGACCAACTTTACAACTGTATTTACCAACCAAAACCCTAAATTTGCAACGTTGCCGCAGTCCAGATAAAAAAAAATTACTTTTTCTACTCCCACCTTTAAAACGCCCTTTATCGAACATGTTTCCATGACACTAAATGACCTTTTAAATACACATTGACAAGTTGTGGCTTTACGGCGCTTTAGTCACGGGATGAAGTTGGCAACTTTTTGACAGATCGAAACATTTTAGTCACGGGCTGAAGTTACTTTTAAGTTAGTTGAGAGTTGTCAAATGTCATACAATCGTTAAAATAAATTGCCTTTCTTGTAAAATAATACTAAATGGGAAAATTATTTTATTATCTTAATACAAAAATATTAAATAGTTTCTTAACGCCATAATTTGAAAAGTTTATATGAACATTGTACTGACCTTTTAATTTCGCCGGCAGTAAACTATAACTTAAATTCGGGCACGGACTCTACTGTAAAGTCCTCATAAAACATTTCCTTACTTTCACTGTAAAAAACTGCCAATTTTCAAGATACATTTCGATTTATAACCTTTATAATTGTGTTTATAAAATGTAAAAATGTGACATTTGACAGTTTCCCCTGTTGTTTCATAGATGGCGCTCTATACAAATTTTTGATTTAAATTATTTTAAGATAATAATAAGTATTTGTCGTAGAAAAAGTATAGTATGCACCTCGTTTATAAACTTTTCTATACACTCATTATCTTAAGCACTCGCTCGCAAGCTCGGTGGTGCCTAAATTAAATTCGTGTATAAAATGGCGTTTATCAAACTTGATACATAATATACTATTATGTGTGGAAGTATGTGAAATAAAACATATACTCAAAGATAATATCTTTGCATATACTTACGTATATGAAATAAAAAGTAAACCGCGCCATCTATCCAAGTAGAGATGAACTACATTAGTAAAACAATAATTGTATAGATGGCAGTGCCAACCAAAACATAATTTGACGTTTGTCAAAGTTGAGGTTATAGACTCGTCTAATAGTAAAAATGCGTAGACGGGCGGGCTTGGGGGCGATACAAAAGCAGAAATTGCAGCAGGAAAAATACAAAGACAAAGGGAATGAGATACAGGAGAATCAGTTCGAGCAGATGACGAAGCAGCTGGACGTTTTCAAAACGAATTTGGAGGAGTTCGCGTCCAAACACAAGAACGAGATCCGTAAGAACCCCGAGTTTCGTAGGCAGTTCCAGGAGATGTGTTCCAGCATCGGGGTGGATCCCTTGTCGTCGGGGAAAGGGTTTTGGTCGGTGCTGGGAATAGGGGATTTTTACTACGAGTTGGCAGTTCAGATCGTAGAGGTGTGCATGGCTACAAACGAAAAAAACGGCGGTCTAATAAGTTTGGATGAGTTGAGAACGCGGTTAATTAAAGCCAGAGGGAAGAGCAACAAGCACCAGGAAATATCGAGTGATGATTTGATGAGGGCTGCCAAAAAGCTCAAAATCTTTGGTAGTGGTTTCACAGTTGTGCCTGTGGGTAAGGGGAAGTACATGGTACAGTCGATTCCAGGGGAATTAAGCATGGACCACACTGCAGTGTTGCAACAAGTGAATTCTTTAAACAAATCATACATTTCTGTCTCCGAGTTGAGGGACAAATTGAATTGGGAAAGGGACAGATCTCAAAAAGCTTTGGATCACATGATGGATCAAGGATTAGTGTGGGTGGATTTACAAGATGTCAAAGAAAAACAATATTATTTCCCAAGTCTTTTTAATGCTTGTGTCGACTCGGCAAAATAACTTTTTATTTAATAATAAACTATTTATATACATGCTATTGTTAAACTGTGATTTTAATAAAAACCATTTATTATTTTAATACAAAATACCTATATATATTTTGTAGTTTCTAATTGAATACTTAAAAATATGTATATATAAACATATACTATCTGAAACCCGCGGCTTTTGGGTTTGGCAACACCGCTAAATGCTTTAAAATGACTTGCTGAAGGATCCTAAAGATTTTCAAAAATTCTCAAGTACTGCGAATTTTCGAAAATTTGGCAACACCGCCAAATAATGCAAGACGACTTAACTAAGGTAAAAGGTAACCTGAAGGTTTTACAAAATTCCCAGTTTCTAATTTGGCAACATCGCAATAAATTCCCATATTCCGGGATTTTTGGAAATTTGGCAACGTCGCAAAAACATTAGATGCAGTGTTGCCAACCGTACCATAATTATGGTATTTGTACCATAATTTTAAAGGCCTGTAGCTTTCATTTTTATAGCGTACCATAATTTCTTTTTTTACAATATTGTTTTAACATAATTTAAGTATAATTTTTAAGCATGCTTTTGCACCGAAAATAAATTAGGCAACGTTGCAATCAGTCCTGCCAGTACCTTGGTTTAGTAGACTAAACCAAGTGCCAGTACAGTATTGAATTTTCATAAACAGCTGTTAATGAAAATTAATGTTCTAGGTTAGCAGCAGTTATAACTGTTATGTTCTTTTCTATTCAAAGTTTTGTTTTTCACGTCTGTGGTTTTTAAGAAAAGATTTTTTCGAGCGGTATAAAAATTGTATAAATTTTGAGCTCTCTGAAAAAATGTGCAAATACATAACTAAAAATCAATAATCAAAACTGTGATGAATACGATATTATTTTTAATTAAAAGTGTTAATTTATTAGATTTAAAATATTTTATTGTTTTTTTACCAAAGTTTATTTTTTTGTTTGTACCTAATTTATTTTATTTAATCAAAGTTTATGTTAAAATAAATATGACTTTTCTTAAAGTGCCTTGTTGCTCGAATTTTGAAGTCCTAAAATATACCATAAATTGTGCCATAATATTTGTTTGGTGCGTACCACATATACCTATAACTATATATACCTACTAAGTTATAGGTATATGGCATACCATAATGAACCATAATTTTTATTTTGAGGTTGGCAACACTGATTAGATGGATTGATTAGAGAATAGTTGCTTGATTATAAAATAAGAAAAAATTTAAATAAAACTTTAAAAAATGCACCCTGTATAAAAACGTAGATATCTGAAATAGTAAATGGGGGGAAATAAAACAAAGTATAAAATAATACCTTATATTCTGTATACTTTAAATGTATAACAACATTAAATCTTTATAAAATGGACTAAATCCTAACACTTATATTTGTAGAGAATAGAAAAATTAGTCTAGTATATGATATGAATGGCCACTTATTTTAAAATTTAAAGCTTTAAAAAATATATTTCACAATATATGTATATAAAAGCTAAAATATAGAACAATTCAATTCTTTCTTACACAATCCTTAAAAATGTATTGTCAATATTTACTATTGATATTTATACAATTAAAAACTTTATAGCAAATATATTTACCACATCAAAAGGCACTCTCAATTCGATAAGCTTTGTTTTTGTTAATAATTTGACTTAATACTTTTAATTTTGCAATATTTTTTGGTAATTTTCAACAGTATTCTTAAAATAATATTTTTAATTATCATTGCACTGTTTTCGACAAATTATATAAAACTTATGTAAAAAAGTGTTTTAATTTATATAAAGTAATAAAAAATAAATGCTTTGTCATGCTAGTTTTAAGAAAAATAATACTAAGTTTTACAATAAACGCCCACTCAAATAATTAAATATATAAAAGTGGGGCATAATCCAATACTATTGAAATGAATAATGTGACATGGGACATTTACCCTGTTGAAACTTTAAAATGTCCCTTGTAATTAATACTATAATAAATACTGTATACTAAGTATGCTATGTGTATTTCTGCTGTGGGTATTTTGTGTGTATTATTTAAAAAAAAATGATAAATGCACTTACTGAGGAAAACATTATTTCTTAAACAGAACGGGCTCTTGCCGCTCCTTCTCCAAATTATTCCTGGTCTTCTTGAAGGCCTCGGTTTGTATAAAGTCCACTTTCTTGTAGACCGTGTCGGATTCGCTTTCCCTGAACGATCTGGACCGCATCGTCCCGTCGGGGTTGTTGGAGTCGAGATCGAGGTCCAGGTAGTGCATCTTGCCCATCGTCTCGTAGAAGGCGTCGGGTTTGCTGAGGAGGGATTCGTGCGACCGGCCCAGCATCGGGACCGGGCTCGGGCCGGCCCGTATTTTGCGGCCGTCCTCCTCCGCGTGGAAGGTTTTTCGCGCGTGCCGCTCCTGCAGCGGCGTGGGCGGCTTCAGCTTCCTGTCGACGCTGGGAGCGTTTGCGCGTGGCGACGGCGGGTCCTGCGCCGAGGAGACCGAGAGCGAGTCGGACAGCTTGCGCTTCGGCTTCAGGCCCCTGTTCACCTTCGGCGGCGGCATCGTCTCGGCCAGCAGCGGGCTCGGCAGGTTCGAGTAGGCCGACTTGCTCGAGGTCTGCGAGTGCGGCGAGGCCGGCTCCTCGTCGTCCGCGCACGACGCTTTAGCGGCCTCGTCGCAGGGATCGGGCAGGTCGTACGAGAACACGGTGCCCTCGATCTGCGAGGGTGCCGCGTTGCTGTAGCAGTGCTTGCGCGAGACTTGGCTTTTCAGCGTGTCCGAGTCGATGTTGTGCGAGCGCGGGAAGTCGTACATGTCGTCGGTTATTATGACTTTCTGAACCGAGAAAATAAACGTTTATGTTTGAAGATAGAGTTTATCCGGAGGAAGTTTTTGTACAACTTATTTCACAATGTGATTGATTGCCCTGACTTGCTATCACAATTTAATGTTTTAATTCCAAGACTTAGTGCAAGGGTTAATTTGTATATTTATTCATTTGCAAGAACCAATGTTGGTTCAGCAATGTGCAATATTTTTAATAGAATCTCTAATTATTGTAATCTTAATTACGATTCATTGAAATTTATCACTAATGTTTATGTTGAGCATGGTAATGAATAATGTTAAGTTTTCATTATTTTCTCTTTATTAAGTATGTATATGTTTAGGTAATTATGTATTTGTTATTTGTCCTCTAATTGGAATTTTTCTGTTGGGCAATATACATTATTATTATTATTATTATAAACAGCACATTAAGGGGTCAATGCAACAAGTGCCTTAGTCACAAATAGGTGATTCTGAGATATTGCGGTTTGAAGGTTTATTTTTGATTATGAAATATTACACAAAATAATATGATCAAAATGTGTGTTGTATTGTATTCCTTGTAGAAAGTGGATGGGACGTTTTGTTGTATCAAAAATTGGTTAAAATCAATAAATAACGTAAATAACATAAATTTTTTTGTTAGACAAAGATTACAATAATAAATAGTTTAAAACTATAAACTAAACTATATAACTATGTTATTTGCGTTATTTATTGATTTTAACCAATGTTTTAACTTTTGACAATTTTGCCTGAAAATGGTCCTAGACCGAAACTAGTAGCAATATTTTTAAATATGTTTTTAACATTTTGTAATGTGTTTTTAATGTTCAAAATGTGCCTTTGACTTTTCAAATTGTGTTTTTTTTAATTTTCAAATATTGTTTTTAACATTCTAAATTTTGTTTACTAAGTTGTGTTTTTGGACACTCTTAAATCATTAAATAAGTTAATTCAATTTAAAATATTTTTAAATATGTTTTAAACATTCCATAATGTATTTGTTCTTAACATTTAAAAATGTGCTTTTGACATTTCAAATTGTGTTTTTTAATATTAAAATATGATTTCACTACACATTCTACAAGGTATTTTTAACATTATCAATTGTGTTTTTGACACTTTTAAATGATTTTGAAATTTTTAAGTACTCTTGACATTCTAATTCTGTGCTTCAAACATTTAAATTTACATGAAAGCATTTTAAATTATGTTTTTTTTTTAAATTTTAAAATACGTTCTAAATGTGCTTTTGACATTTTAACCAATGTTTTTTAATATTTAATTATGGTTTTTGGCATTTAACAAAGTGTTTTTGACACTTAAATGATTCATGAAGTTATTAAGTATTAATTTCGAAATTCTAAATTATGTTTTAAACATTCTATTAGAATCTAAATTGTGTTTTTTGACATTTAGTGTGTTTTTAAATAATTAAATAGGTTTTTTGATAATTATATACGAATTTGATTGACATTTTAAAATGTTTTAAACATTCTATAATGTGTTTTTTTAAATTATACAATGTGTTTGACATTATACAAGGTGTCCATGTGCTTTTGACATTTCAACCCATGTTTTGTAATATTTAATTATGGTTTTTGACATTTTACAGTGTTTTTGACACTTAAATGATTCTTAAAATTATTAAGTAATTTTAAGAATTGTGGATTTGTGATTCTAATTAATTTAAATATGTAGTTTAAAATTAGGAAATTATAATACATATTTCCAAAAATATTGAAAATTTAATATTTTGAAATTTTATCAACAAATTTTAGGCAATACAATACAAATTTAAACATGTACAATACAATACATAAAAAGAAAACAAAATGTTATCAAACGTGACAATTTGTGATTCACATTATTAATAATAATAATAAGATAATTCTTTGACGTATCATAATATGTAAATATGTGTAAGCGCTATCGCAAATTTTTTAATTTTATAAGACTTTTAATTTAAAACTTAAATACAAAATGTACACTTACCTCCACATCTTTGTTAGTTTTGGATGTGTTGGTTTCTACCTCAATATTTTCTTTGCTAAAAGAGAAAACAATTTTATAACCAAAAAAAAATTATTAAAAAAAACAAACCTTGACTTAGTAGGTGTTAGATTCAGGTAACATGGTAACGAATTTGGGGCTATATGGGATGGTTTTGGGGGCCTTGGTGGGGCAGAAACCACATTTTTAGAAGATTTTGTGTATTTTTGCACTGCTGGAACCTCTATATCGTTGGAGGATTCGGATGGTCTAGATGTTGTAGAAGTATCTATAGAAAAAAATAATTAATTTAAAATTAAATATTTAAAACATTTTTTCAAGGTGTCCAGCAAAAGATAAAATTTCCATTTTTTTTTAATGTGTTTTTAAGGTTCTAAAAAGTGTTTTTTCAGTTTTAAATTTAAAGTTATGACATGACATTCTAATTAAACATTGTTAAACATGTTTTGAAAAATGTGCTTTTGACATTAAAAACTGTTTTTTAAGACTTTCTATGATGTTTTTAACATTCTGAATTGTGTTTTTTGTTATTCTAAAATCGGTTATTGACAGGAATTGTGTTTTTAAGACTCTTAAATAATTCTTATTAATCTTATTAATTTTTTATTCATATGGTTTTGATACAAGATTTAAACATTCTATGATGGTTTAGACATTTAAAAATGTGCTTTTGACATTCTGAATTGTTTTTTGATATTTTTGTTTGTTTTAAAATGGTTTTTGACATTGTTAATTGTGTTTTCAAGACTCTTGAATATTTCTTGAAATAATCAAGTAATTTTTTTTAATCACATTGTTTTAACATTCTTAAATATAATTTAAACATTGTATGATGTTTTAAAAGTTTAAAAGTGTGCTTTGAACATTCTGAATTGTTTTTTGATATTCTAAAATGGTTTTTGACATTGGTAATTGTGTTTTTAAGACTCTTGAATAATTCTTGAAATAATAAATCATTTTTTTATTCATATGGTTTTGACACAATATTTAAACATTCTATGATGGTTTAGACCTTTAAAAATGTGCTTTTGACATTTTGAATTGTTTTTTGACATTGGCTATTGTGTTTTTAAGACTCTTGAATAATTTTTGAAGTATTGAAGTAATTTTTTTTATTCACATGGTTTTGACATTCTAAAATTTGATTTAAACATTCCATGATCTTTTTAACATTCTGAATTGTTTTTTTATATTTTAAAATGGGTTTTTGACATAAGGAATTGTGTTTTTAAGACTTGAAAACACAATTACCAATGTCAAAAACCATTTTAGAATATCAAAACACTATTCAGAATGTTGAAACAATCAAGTATTTTTTTTAATCACATGGTTTTGACATTCTGATTATTATTTGATATTCTAAAATGGTTTTGGGCATTGTTAATTGCGTTTTCAAGACCCTTAAATAATTCTTGAAATAATCAAGGAATTTTTTGAATCTCATAGTTTTCACATTCTTAAATATGATTTAAACATTCTATGATGTTTTAAACGTATAAAAATGTGCTTTTGACATTTTGAATTGTTTTTTGATATTTTAAAATGGTTTTTGACATTGTTAATTGTGTTTTTAAAACTTAAATAATTCTTGAAATATTGAAATATTTTTTTTATACATATGGTTTTGACATTCCAAAATTTAAATAATAAATGTTTAAAAATGTGCCATTCTGAATTGTTTTTTAAAATTCTAAAATGGTTTTTGACATTGTTAATTGTGTTTTAAGACTATTGAATAATTATTGAAATAATCATATGGTTTTAACATTCTGAATTGTGTTTTTTGGTATTCTAAAATGTTTATTGACAATTTTAAATATAATAATGCCATTCTTAAAATTAGTTTGTTTGCGAGTAGGGTTGCCACCCGTCCTCCTTTGTGGAGGACAGTCCTCTTTTGATAAGATCATGTCCTTCGTCCTCCTTTAAATGAAATTTGTCCTCCTTTCTATGTATTTTATTGTGCTCTGACAAAATATTTTTCTCGGTAAACCAATAAAATAACAGACTTGCAAACAATAAAAAATGATGTTGGCCGGTATCTGTATAATTGGTTGCCTAGTTCTTTTTAAAATGCGTTATGAATATTCACTGGGAAGTTTCTTAGATGGTGCTTGGAATGAAGATTCCTAGAATGAAGCGGATTATTCCTAGATGATAGAGCATATTCCTGGAATATTTTCGAACCTTCATTGCAGTCTGGGTTCATTGTGGGTATATTATTATTTTAATCTGACTGCAATATTGCATATGCATATGCATATGCTGTTTTGTTTTTGTTATAAAAATGTGTTTATTTAATATTAAGTAGGTATAATAGGTAGTTATTAGTTTAATGTTCTATTTAATAAAGTTAATATTGCAAGGGATCGGTCCATGGTCATTTCTGTTGAACTTGTTTAGATATTGGCAACGCCCCCTTTTTTTGGAAAAATTTTCGCGGCGGGCTTTTTCCATGTCCTCCAACCCCAAGCTTAAAAGGTGGCAACCCTATTTGCGAGTGCAATTTTTGTGTGAAGAAAATAAAAAAAATATTGTACTTACTAATTGAGACATTATGCACCCAGTCTTCATCAGTAAAAACACTGTCAGTGTCTGTTGGACTTTGTAATGGGGATGTATTTTGGTAATCGCGTTTCGAAAAATCCGTAGGTACTAATTTCCTAGGGGAATCATAAAACCTGGGATCTAGAGTATCGTTCACATAATTCATGTATTGTTTGTGCGAAGAAGAGTCATATGAATCGTTAAATTGACTTTCGTTGATATACGGGGTGTTTTTTATGTTGTATTGTAGTAACTTGTGAAAGTCCTGGAACATTATAATTATAAAGTGTTGCGTTATTTAAAATTTAAATTATGATTACCTTTGGGTCAATTATAGGGGATTTCCCAGTAATACACTCTGATATAGGTATATATGGGTTGGTACTCACTGGAGACACAGGGGTTGTTGTGGAGTTATTTCTAGTCAAAGTTCCATCCTGAGATTCTTCCTTGATCTCTATATCATCTAAAAATTACTTTTTAGTTTCATCCAAATATCTAAAAGTGTACTTACTTGAGTCATCAGACGATTTCAGCCCACAAACTTTACAAATATTGTCCACCCATTTTTGCATTTCTTCTTCAGTTTCTGCTGCTAAATAATACGTTCTACCGGGTGTTTTAATATCAAACACGTGATCAAACTTTAGTTTACGTTCTTGGAATTTCAAACCTAAATCGACTTGTTCACAGGTGTCCAAATTAATAATGCCTTTTTGTTTTCTACAGTGCCTGTCGGCATAGTATGTGAGGATGTATTGCCCTGGCAGTTCACCTGTGTTTGTCAATAAAAAATAGCGTTTCCTCCACCTCTGAAATATAATGTATTTTAAAATATTAATTGCTCGTACGGGCAGCCGTCTGATACTGTCCCATTACGTTAAATTGGCCTATAAACGTCACTTTAATAAGTGAATCATTCAGTATTCCAAATAGCAGACGCAAGGAGAGACGTCCGTACTCACCGCTCTGAAAATCCGTTTAGTTGGAGGCGATTTCGTCAACCATCCCTCGTAAACAACGTCCTGGGTGTTTTTTGCCATATTGGGTAAATAACGGATTATTATTTACCAATAACATACCTCGCAAAGCAAACAACTATCGATGACTAATTTGTCATTTGATCAAAATACTTTCATTTCAGTGCGGCCAACATGTTGATAATCGTTTCGAAGAAACGTTCTCTCAAATGCCCAAGTAATTGTTTTCACGACGCCTGGGAAGATTCATTAAAGACGATTTGAAGATTTTTAATTGCTAAACCATCCTATTTAAGTAGCAATAAATCAATTTTAGATGCAGTGATAATTGTTTATGTTGTTGTTATGTTGGCAGCAGTGTTTTGAAATTAGACAACCAAGATTACAATTTTGTGTATGGGGGTTGCCTATATCCTACGTTTCTCTTTAAGTTTTCGTTCTTTTGTGCTTTTGACATTCCAAATTGTGTTTTTTTTAACAAAATAAAATGTATGTTATTGTTATAAATTGTGTTATGGGTATTCTAAAAATCATTGTAATAATTATTATTATGAGCTATTTTAATGACATTTTAAGATTCTATAATGTGCTTTGGACATTCTAAATTGTGTTTGTTGAAATTTTTAAATGAGTTTGGCATTATAAATTTTAATATTTGTCAAACTTTTGACATTCAAAAATACAAGGTGTCCCGAAATTGGCGACTCAAAGGATAAAAGGAAAATTACTTTTGAAATTCAAAGCCACTTTTTCTCTACAATTTTTTCATTATCAATGTGTAATACGGTTGCATTCGAATAAACACGGGGCTCGTAAGATATTACCTATATTGCGCTCTCATTGGCGGTTTTAAAAGTTAAATAAATACTGCAATTTTGCGAATCTGAAAAGATGGAAAAGGAAAATTCGACTGGGAATTTTAATGGGAATTCACCTTTAAGCAGCTAATTTTGGGACACCCTGTTTATTTGAAACATTCAAAAATGTAACAATCCGGATTGTGGCCTCACATCAAGGCCTATTCTATCTCGTTTCGCGCATACTAAAAATCACGAGGTTAGGCAACCCACTGCACTTAACGGTGGCCATTTTTATGTTGTTTATAATTCTTTTGCTTTGGGTTTGTGATGTTTATACAGATTAATAATCGTTTTAAACGTTGTGTTTCTTACAAAGGCACTTGTAAGCCTTGAAAGAGGCCTTAAAGTGCTAAGGGCAACAATTGTACTCCTATTTTGTAAAAAATAAACCTTATTCTATCAGGGCTGTCATCAAACTGTCAAATGTCAATTTTAAGGTTGGTATGGTAAATTTGTGGGTTATGGTAAATTAACCATATAATTGAAATTTGACAGTTTGACAACAGGTTTGATAGAATGATAGGGTTTATTTTTTACAAAAGCGGAGTAAAATGGTTGTTCTTAGCACTTTAAGGCCTCATTTGAGGCTTACAATAGTAATTACTAGTAATTGCTTAAGCGCTTAGGTGCTTCTGTTTTTCGCCATTATAAGATTTGTTTTAGTAAAAACGCTTAAATATTTCTTAAACATTATTAAGCTATGTATTTATGTTATTTACTGACCATGGTGCAAAAAGCATTAAATTGCGACTTTTAGATCATATTGGTTTTTTATTTCTTTTCGATTTAAAAGGTCCCGCAAAACATTCCTGAGTCCATATCACCCCCGTTATCACATAAGGGCGTATCTCAATATTAAACAATTTTACAGAACTTATTTAAATTATTTATAATTTTTAGCTAATTTAAATTATTTTTTAGAAAAACAAAATGTGCTACTTACTAGGTAGGTATTACATTAAATGAACTACCTCGTACTAAATTTTTTTTTCAATAACTTAAATTAGTTAAAAACATTAAATCTTTAAAATGCTCTGTAAAATTGTTAATTGTGATAATGAGCTCATGATCAGTTTCTCATGAGACAAATCTGAACTCAGGTATGCTGTCCGGGATGTGGAAAAAACTGTTCACAACTTACATGAATTGTTTACAATGAAACTTTTGAAAGGTGGAAAATAAAAGTCCATGAATATTTTTTCAGTTAGTTTTATATTTAAATAATTCTACATTTATGACTCTTAGTAAAAAAATATATACAAAATAAGTCTTTTAAACAAATAGGAAGAACAGGTTGCTAACCTAAGTATATTACAATAAAATACAAAAAATATGGCAAGAAAATTACAAATCCTTGATGCAAGGTCTTAATTTATAAATTACAATTGATTTAAAGTCTTTCGCTTAATACTATACATATTCCTCGGATGGCTTGGGAGCATTGGTGAGTCTTAACGATGAGGAAACCCGGCCGTTAACGGAGTCGGGAAGTTCCGCGATGTCCTTGAAAACGCCGGCGAAACTCTCGAAGTTGGGCCCCCAGTTGAGCAAGTAATCCCAACCCAAGGCCGTAGTGGACGGCGAGCCGGCAGACGGCCGGTACATCGGCCCGCCGATCTCATCGTCAGAGGCCACCAACGTGCTCATCGAACCCCGATACGAAGAGTCGAAGCCGTCGTACGACGGCGGAGGAATATTGTTTTTACTACCTGAGCTCGAGTCCGCCCGTCGTTCGGGTTCGTTCGGTTTGTACTTGTCGCCGGCCAGGCTGGCGTTGTCGTACTCGATTTCGGAACACGTGAAGCTGTCGTTCCCGCTCTCGTCCGTGGTGGTGGAACTGTGGTGCGTCTCCGGCACCGGCGAGTGCCGCATGTGGTTCAGGTGGCTGTTGCCGCCGCCTCGCGGCGCCTCGCTGGAACTGGACACCGCGTCCAGCGTGGACACGAGACTAGAGGTGCGAGGTCTCTGATTCATCCTCTCTATTTCTTCCGCTGTCAACCCCATGCCCGGCGAAGGCGACGTTACGGCGTTAGGGGGCGCCACTTTGCGGCTGCTGGAACTCTGACCGCTCAACTGCGACATAACGGGACTATTCAAACTCCTCTCGCTGTTGCTGTGCAAAACGTCCTTCCCCACGCCGCCGGAACTGGAAGTCGTTGCCAATAAAGCACTCTGTAGCGGTTTACCGCTTATATCGTGCAGCGTTAATATTCTCGGTTGTTGTGCTGACATCTCGCTGCTAGGGCTTAATCTCGCCAGAGGCGTACTTTGGTGCGGTCTAGATGTGGGACTCGTTACAGGCGGAGCCCTAGGTGGGTAGGCTGAGGGGTGATGCGGCGAGTGCCTGTGTTGCTGCTGACCTTGACCCTGATGTTTATGATGGTAACCAACAGGCGGCGGTGTGGCTTTGTACTTCCTCACCCCTGCAGCCTCCCTGTAACCTTTGTAATGATACACTATGTCTATGTCGGATGGTGCTATCGAGCTAGCGTTCTCCAGATCGTAATGCTCAGGCATTTCCGAACTCAAATCATTTGGATGGTCGTGATTGTGGTTGGAATTGGGAGGTAGAGGTGGGTGGTGGTCGTCTCGCATCGGGGGACCTTTGTTGACCACTTCGCGTTCTATTATATCTGGCCTCTGCGGTCTAGGTAGATCTCCTTGTATGATGTCACGCTCTTTATACTTCTTGGACAGTAATTCCGGCCCCACCAAAGGATGTCCGCCTATACCGCGTATAACATCACCATTCTCACTATGATACGCCAAAGAATTATCAGCTGAATGCAACGCGCGTCCAAGAACATTATCACCAACATTCAATGCATTGGTAGTCATGATTGTAGCCCCACCATTTTGCTTGCTGTGTATACCGGAAGGACTACCTGGCGCCCCCGCCTTCTCCTTGTATTGTTTTCTCAGTCGGAATACAACAAACGAAACTAATATGGCAACAAGTAGAACCACAAAGAAAACAATAACAAGAGTTATACCAATACTCAACGGGTCGGGCGTAGTGGCCGTACCAACACCAACAGGTCCATTGCATTCCCTACTGACTTTCCCTTTAGTTATAACTTCGTAGAAAATGCTACCGGACCCGTTAAAAGGCTGTATTTCGTTGTTGATACTGAAGTTCGCGAAGCAGCCTTCGAAATTATCGGGAAAGTTATCTCTGGCGAAGTAAACGTTCCTCGCGACACCTCCGATGGATAAATACGTCAAGTAAGGATCCAAAAAATCGTGGACACCCGCAGAATCCAACTCCTCTCCGATCCTCTCGTCATCGAGCAACACCTCCAAATCCCGATTGTACGAATACAGAGTCAAATTGTGCCACTGTCCGTCCGTAACACTGGCGTGATTTTCCGTCATGTTAACAACACTCGATACTTTACTAACGTAAACAATTTGTCCGTTTATCAACTCCACCGAAGTGTAATGTTTATTGCTAGTAGCGTAGAATATTATACCGTTTAACTGCACTGTTCTGAACATCAAGCTGATGGTTTTCGCTGGAGTTTCGTCCATTTTCTTGATTGTTATCTGAGGTGCTGAACGTGGTTTTCTTTGGTGGTTCCATAGTGTAGAACCGTAGTATATTTTCTCCAAAAGTTGCATTCTCTTGTGTTTCTTTGAAACCATAAACTCCACGTAACCCCCATCGCTGACACTTATAGGTTGCAAGGCGTTGTGGCAATCGGGAGATATCAGATTATCACCACACGTACAACTAACCGCAGACCATCTATCCAAACATTGACCAAAACCAAGGCATGGGTCCTCCGAGTTGGGTGAGCACGTTCCTCTTCTAGTACACTTCTTCTCTATACCATAAGAATCCATGGGTTGGCTTAGATTGAGTTGTCTTCCATTTATCGACACACTGTGGACGCAACCAACGAGATCATCCGAGTGGACTTGACCTGGTCGTTCCAAAACTGGATCGGCATTTTTGAGACCACCGATTAGAAGGGACTGTGAGTTGAAGTTTAAGGTTCTGAAAGAATGAAAATAATTAGCATTATGTTTTTATTTATAACTTTTATAACTTACCCTGCGGGGCCAATATCATCAGCATAGCAAGAGTTGTCGCCAGGTCTGCAGTCATCACAAACATCGCCGTGATCACTGCAAGTTCCAACGCTGAGAGAAACGACTCTTCCATTTCTTGTCGCGGTTATTTTATGCCAATTTCCGTCAGCCAAACTTTTATTCTTTCCACCGACTCCTACCGACGTTATTGCAGTTCTAGCACCTCCAAAAGAGAACACAGCTCGTCCTTTAATCAGTTCTACAGCCACGAAATCACTGCGTCCCCCAGTCTGTAGGCCATAGTTGTATACCAGTAGTGAGTCAGGTTTCGTGGTGGAGAATATTATTGATATATCGTTTGTTGCGGCATCTAGACTTGGGAATGACATGAAGGATAACTCCTGGAAGCCAAAGGTAGATTTTTCACAATGTCTCCCGTATCTACCATCGGTGCAGCTGCATTTGTAACCGGGCTTCAAACTGACACAAAGGCCGCCGTGTAAGCATGGATTAGGTCTGCAAGAATCCGCCAGTGCTTCACATTGATTGCCTCTGTAACCCGATCTACACAGACAAAAGAACGAGGAACCGTCTGGACTTTCTCTACATGATCCACCGTTTTGACACGGATTTTCCGAGCAAGCATCGCCTCTCTCCAACTCGCAGTATTTTCCGTCTTTGTTGCTAGGGCAGATGCATTGGAAGTTGAAGCCTTGTCTTCTACATTGGCCACCGGATTTGCAGGGGTTTGGCAGACAAGGATCTTGTCGTTTATTGCAGTTTTGCCCAGTGAAACTTTCAGCACACTGACAAGTATAATCGTGTGCGATTAGAGGCGAGGTAAAGATGATATTTTGGCTATCAGTGATTTTGGTGTCTCTTTTGACGCTTATTTCCTCCGTGCAAATACCACCGTTCTCACAGGTATTTTCGTTACAAGGGGAGTAACCTATTTTAACATTAGAGGTTTGAAATAGATTTATAAGGACGTCGCGTTTCTTCAATACTTTTTCTTTGGTGTAGAACTTGCTTTTATAGGTACTACCACTGTTGATAGCTACGGTAAGTTCAAGACTTTCTTCGATCTCATTCAAGCTGTATACGTTTAATTGTTCGCCACTGCTGAGAACCGGTTTTAAATTCTCTAGGAAGTTTCTGTAGTTGGAGGCCAAAAACTGGTTTGCTGTTAAATTCGCCACTCTTATTGTTATGGAGTTTTCAACTGTGGCATTATTAAACACCATAAACTCTACTGTTACGGTGGACATAACATCGGAGTGCTTTCCATCGTTGCCGGAAACAGATAAGCTATACCCTTGATTTGGTGTTATTTTCGACGTGTAGAGATTGCAACTATTCGGTATTGAAAGAATGCTCAAGTGTTGCGATTTCGGCATTATTTTGCACTTATAATCCCCAGTGGTATCAGGATCATTAGGGTGCACGTCAGCGATTTTACCGGTCGGGAAATTACCGTTAAATGCAAACACTATTACATGTACAGATCTCGAACTTGAAGGGCTGTCGTTTTCGTCCAAAATGACGATCTTTATGTTGTGTTGTGATTTCATTTTTGGCGTTCCGCTATCTTCAACTTCCACTAATATGTCTAGTTCGGGTGTTACCTCCCTATCAATTACTTTGGTGGTCACAACAATGCCTGAATGTCTGTCTATTTTCACGTAGTCTTTATGTTTTCCACCGATCAATCTGTAGTTAAATGGTGCTCCGTTAGGCGGCAAGTCTGGATCTTTAGCTGAGAGGGTCATAATTTTAGTTCCTGGTGATTCATTTTCCATTACACGACCTATTAATTGCGATTGATCAAATATAGGCCCATTATCATTGATATCGTTTATCTTTATTTTAACCATTGTGGTACCAGTTTGTGGTGGTATCCCTGTATCTATTCCGCCTATGGTTAAAGTGTACATCATTATGGTTTCTCTATCTAGATGTCTGGCAGTTTGTATTTCTCCTGTTTGTGGGTCTATTTTGAAGGCTTGCTCAGTGTTGCCACCAATAATGGAGTAACTGAACTGATTGTTTTGTGCTCTTACATCTTTATCAATGGCTTTAACTTTAACAACTTCAGTACCAATTTGTACTCCCTCTGATATTTCAGCTTCGTATAGACTTTGCAGGAATTCTGGAGGATCATTTCCATCCTGTACACTGACAATCACTTGTGCTTCATCAGTATCGTTACCTCTTATACCTCCACTATTTTTAGCCATCACAGTCAAAACTATTCTACTTTGTGTTTCGCGATCCAAATACCTCGATACTATTATAGTACCCGTTTCAGAGTTTATACTGAAACCTCTATCGTTACTCGAACCAACGAATAGGTAGTATACCTTACCATCTTCCCCGGCATCCTGATCTGAGGCTTGTATTGTACCGATTTTCGTTCCGATTTCAGTGGATTCTGATACATCAAAGTGAAAGACAGGCTGTATGAACCTTGGATAGTACTCGTTGACGCCGGTAATATGTATAATAACTTCACAGCTGCCATACATAGTCGAATCTGGATTGCTTGCAACGATTTTAAGGCTGTATACAGATCTCTCTTCGAAGTCAAAGCTCACTTTAGCTGTAATTTTGCCTGTACTTTGGTCGATTGTAAACATTTCCTTATCGGGACTTTCTGATATTGAGTACTGTGTGATGGCGTTCTTCGGTGAGTCAATATCTGTTGCTTTCACTTTGTATACAAATGTGTTTGCTGGTAGATTTTCAGAGATATAGGCATCATATACAGACTGGTTGAATGTTGGTGAGTTATCATTGATATCTGTTAATGTTATTGTCAATGTAGCTGTGGTTTTTCTAGGTCGAAAACCGAGATCCTCCGCTGTAATATTCAAATGATATTCTTGAATCATATCATAGTCCAGTGGTTGTAATATTGTGACAGCCCCCGATATGGCGTCAATAGCAAACTCCTTTCTTTCATTACCGGCGGAAATATTGTATCTTATCATGCCGTTTGGACCTTGGTCACCATCGGAAGCACTTACGGTCAGAATGGTAGAACCAAGAGGTTCGTTTTCAGGCACTATCACTTGGTAACTCAACGCTGTGAAAATTGGGCTGTATTTATTTTCTCCTGTCACTATAAGAGTTACCGTAGCTTCATCTTGTTGAGATGGGACGCCTTTATCTGTAGCTCGGATTCGGAGATTGTATACGTCGCCAACATGGTGTAATTGTTGGGTGAGTGATATCACACCTGATGTTTTATCTACGACGAAATGCTTCGTGCCGTTACCGGCCAATATGGTGTATTCTACTTCGGCGTTGACTCCAACATCCAGGTCATCTTTGGCGATTACATGAAGAAGTTGTTGGCCTTCTATAGCTAACTCTGGAACCGGTGATAAGTATTCTTGTTGTTCAAATTTAGGTGCGTTGTTATTGGCGTCTACGACGTTAATCGTCACCAGACATTCCGACGACATCGGGGGTTTGCCATTGTCAGTGGCTAGGATTGTTAGAGCGTAGGTATTTTCAGGTGACGATTCCAACTGCGTGTACTTGTATCGTAGGCTACGCTTGCTGAAAATCTCCCCGGAAGCAGGGTCCACAGTAAACAGATCCGACGGTTGTTGCAGTGAGTAACTAATGACCGAATTGGGTCCTTGTTTATCTCTGTCAGTCGCTATAACTTGCCCGACGAAAACAATATCTCTCTGCAATTCCGGAAAGTTAAAGCTGTAGTAGGAGTGCTCGAATTCGGGCGAGTTATCGTTTTGATCTTGTATCGTGATGGTAATAGGCGTTTCGGAACGCCACGCTCCATCCACTGCAGTTACTTTAAGCAAATACTCATCCTGCTGCTCTCGGTCTAAATGCCCAACAACAGTAACGTTACCAGTGATGGAGTCGATCTTAAACTTATCGCCGGGATTTTCAGTAAAACTGTAGGTAGCGTTGGCATTTTCACCAATGTCTTGATCAGAACTGGTGACCCGTATAACAAAGGAGCCGATTTCGGCGTTTTCCGTCACGTTTACACTAAAAAGTCTCGTGAATCGCGGTGGATTATCGTTTTTATCGAGCACAGTAACTATCACACTTGCCGTTCCGGTCAGCTGCGGTAAACCTCGATCGAAAGCTTCAACGGTGAGCTCGTAACTAGCTACATCTTCTCTGTCCAACTTCCTGCTGGTATAAATTTCGCCAGTGTTTTCGTCAATCTCGAAGGCATCGTCAAAAGTATCCAGAAGCCTATAGGCGACTTGTCCGTTCTTGTTTGAATCTATATCGGTTGCCGATACTTTAACCACAAGTAATGGAGGCATTTCTTCCTCCATCACCGATGAGTTGTACAACGCACTGCTCATTATAGGTGGATTATCATTGGCATCTGTTACGTTTATAGTCAATTGTAAAACACTGCGTAAAGCTGGGTGATCAGAGTCTTGAGCTTCAATCCACACCTCGTATCTTGGCGATGTTTCATAGTCCAAACCTTTACCAGCTACTTGTACTTCACCCGTAATTATATCCATGGTAATGGCTTCACCAATATTACCGCCAGCAATGGCGTATTTAACTTCTCCAGCTTGTCCTTTTTTTGGCGAGAACGCTTTGAAGATACCGATGGTTTTACCGCGTTCTACATTCTCTCGAAGAGTGAATTGAGTGCTTTTGGGCGCATCAAAACGCGGGAATAGATAATCAGGCTTCAAGAACACTTTTAGCTCCGTACTGGCTTGTCTAGGAGTCACACCGCCATCTTTGGCTGCTATTTCCAGGTTAAATATAGTTGTGGATACTTTGGATAAATCGGTTATAGCTTTGATAACGCCAGTTTTGGGATCTATATTGAAGTTGTTTGAATGTTCTCCGGTTATCATGTAGGTTATCTTGCTGTTTCGACCTATATCGTCATCGGTAGCTCTTGCGCCAAACACAAATTGTCCCGCTCTGGTGTTATCCGAAATATAAACTTCATATTTCGTGAAGGAAAAAGTGGGTGAATTATCATTTTCATCCGATACAGTTATGGTAAGATTCACAGTTGTGGCTCGTGGTTCGGTAGCAGAGCAGTCTTGCGCCATAAGCGTCAAAAAGTAGACATCAGTTTCCTCTCTATCTAAACTAACATCGGTCGTTATGATGCCAGTGTCCTGATTGATTCTGAATCGATCCACTTTATCGCCCAAAATGTTGTAGCGAATTTTTGCGTTTAATCCGATATCCTTGTCTGTGGCAATGGGCGATAGAACCCAGGTTCCAACAGGTGAATTTTCCGATACTGTGGTGTGGTAGTATTGTCTTTTAAATTCTGGGCTGTGGTCATTGACGTCTTGGACAACCACACGAACTGTTCCTGTTCCGGTTAATGGCGGAGAACCTAAAAACAAAATGAAAAGTTAGTTACCCATTCAGGTATTTTGATCGTTTTAGACAGGTGTTTGAAATGGGGCAATAATGAGTTAAGTGCTTTAATGTGTAAAAATTGTAGAGCAAATCAAGTATAAAGTATTTACCTTGTAATGAGGGAAAAATATGTTCCATTAATTTATTCTCAATAAGTTTTGACCGTTAAAAATTAGTTGACTTATGATTTATGCAAAGTGGTTTTAATATAACGGCCCGATGTTCATTTTTTTCTTCGGTGCAAGTCATGTTGGCAGTGCCGGCATATAGGAAATTTTTGAGTATTATGTTTACAGTAAATGACAAACAAATTTTCATATTATAACACATAAGCTATATAGAAATACCTCATATTTGTACACAGTTTAAGATTCAAACGTCAACATTATCTACCTAGGACAAAATGTAGCAAACTGAAGAATTTACTAATATTATTAAAAAAATCAATTAATAGTATCTTTGTTATAATTTGCTCAAAACAGCTACCCAATATAATTCTGAAGTTCCGAACTTTAGTTCATCTGTGGCTGCAACACACGAAAAGCTAAAACTAAATACGGCCCTGCACAAGTCGGTTCAGAGCTGTAAAACACGAATAATTGGTTTTATTTGAGGTTTTACTCGACTTTTTTGGTTTTATTTCATCGTCAACGTCAAAATTGAATGCTGTTCAATATACAAGGCGGGAGGAGCCATTTTTAGACGGCTAGATGAATGATTGCATTTTCATCGGTATTCGCCGTTTCCGGATGGAAGTTTTTCCCAATAACCCGCACAAATTCGTTTTATTTTATTTAATATGTATGGATTTATTGCCATCGTTAACTATCCGATGTATTCCTATAAAATGCCCAGAGAGATACCATCTTAAAGATATTAATATTCTTCGTCATTTTGCCAATTCCTTGGATATTTACCGACATACCAGAGCATCTGACGATGATGTGAAATATAAAAAGACAGTATTGGATCATACAGATATAAGATTTTAAAATATAACATAGAAGTCGAGATGTGTTAATTAGCAACTTCTAGATATTCAAAGGCATCATAAAGGAATACCACATAGTTTTACAATCAAAGAAAGAAATCTCCTTATCTTTGGTTGAGATTCCTGGATGTAATTCTAGAATTTGTCACAATTACTTGTTACAGCGGGGGGTTGGTATTACTGGGAAGCCGTGCGACGACCGAGTAGATAAAATTCGCATCCAATGCAAGAGTGAAGAAGAAGACGAAGAGAATCTAAGACCTAAATCTGCAATATCAACTTTGGCCACGACGGGAACAAGACAACGTCGTGATCTTCCACTATTGTTATACTTACTTCAAGTTATTATAGATTTGAACTCGGGTCAAGTGCTCTTTCAAGCGCTTTTTTCTCTCCAACCTCCTCCGTCTTCTATAGAAACAGAATTCTGATTTCTATCTAGTTTATCGTATCTATGCTGGATGTTTTATCGTTTCTTGTAACACGAAGTTGTTGTATAAGAATTAAATATCGGGACCTCGATTGTCAAATTTAATAAGTTTTGATTTTAGAACATATAATATGGCAAACAATTAAATGTTATAATTTTCTTTGACAAATGAAAGAAATTACGAACAGTTTGCCATTTAGCCTTGAAATTTCTTAATAATTGATTGAAACCTGTAAAAAATGTTGTACTCAAACGAACAAATTATTATATCCATCCTGTCGTGTAATTTACAGCGATAACTACCACGAGACATTTTCACAAAATTGTGATAAACTAGATATGTGGCATGTTTATCTATATCAAAGCATAATTTTCTTGTCAAGCTGATTTAATGAAAATTAATGCATAAATATATACGCAAAAATATCATCAAACTCTGTAAAAATAGATATTTGAATAAATCAATTTAAATTAAATCGGTTTTGGTCATTAAAATAGTTTAAATAGACCTACACCGTTGTGATTCTAAAAGCTAGAGGACAAGTGAGCTTTGCTTTTTAGTGATAGGCCCACACACAGGTGTCAACTACCTGATTGCATTACATGGATTCTTTAAGTACGGAAACTTAATATCATCACAAAAGGCGTATTTATCGTGAGAAGCGTTTGATTATGTAATTTTACTTCCATTGTATCTCGTGCGTAAGACTATAACAGCTCGACGTCAAACTGTCAGACAAATATGATGATAGAATATTTTAATTTCTTCGATTCCTCCAGGCAACGCGTTGCAACGCTCCGAATCAAAATTAATTTATTCGTGGTTTATATAAAAACACATTTAATTAATATTAAGTAATTAATTGTTCGGAACAATCCAAAACAGAAGACTTAGTTAATGTTGAATTACATCTTAACACTAACCCATATGTTGATCCAACTTTGGTTTAAGGACGCTCAGGAAGAAGTGCATCTCACCACTGTTGTGATAACAGTTGTGTATATAAACCAGAGCACTTTAGTAAACTTATCTCCAATGTGGTTGCAACAGGTGTTTCATTTTATGGACTCCATTCGAGATGAAAAAATGTATTCGACCCTTTAAAAAATGGCCCACGGTGCGCCGCTTTGTCTTGCTCACAATCAGTAATGTAGATGCTAATCGCATGATCGTGAGAACTGGACTTCGTGACAATTCATGGGCCAAGACCAAGACCGCCGGGCTTAGTACACGCTAAGCCGCCTAGATAAACACAACAGCAACAACGGCTGTTTCAGTTTCTGGCACAATTGCTATAGCTTAGCCGAATTAAAAGACCTTACTGAGCATTTGACAATCCATGTTAGTTGATGGAAAAGACTAAAAAGCCTTATTACATCATCAACCAGTCTTAGGAAATCCTGGAGTTACAGTTGACAGATAGCGCTCCAATTTCGTACTTGGGTACAGTGATGTCAAAATCCTGATTTGCAAATGTAGAATATGTAGAAACAACATTAGCGAAGATAATACGGAAGTAAAATAGTTAATCGTAATCTACAGTGATTGTGAAATTGCAATGTAATTCTTTATATGGAAGTCAGAAATGGTCTTTTCTAGCTGTACAATCGTTTACGTCTAGTAGGTGACAAAGCGTTTTTTCATGACCTCTTAATTACCGATCTAAGATTATAATTTACCTTTGTGCCTAACGTGGGTCTTATTAATCTGACAACAACTCTTTCGAAACAAACGATTGCTATCGATAAAAAGCAATGATTTTGATTTATTTTATTGTTGTTGGTCAGGCAATGTACCGTCAATATATCCTAAATAACCGAAATAGAGATGTGGTTGACTTTACGTTACCCTTGCGATCTTTGTTCGTTAATTGAAATTCTTTGCAAACCTCAAAAGCTTTGCTAATAATTCTTTTATAATCGGGTTTTAAAATACGGTTCACTCATGCTATTTATTTTGATATATTCGTAATCTTTCAATATATTGTAAGATACCCCTGGCGAATAAAATGTGGCTTTTTTCTCGCGGGGCGATAATAAAATTCGCCGCTCTCTATAAGATGAGGCTCGCTAATCGAAGACAAATTTATCTGAACGGGTTTAATGTTGATGTGTGTTTCGTTATTTTAATGTACACAATAAACCACGATAAAAGACCATATTCTTGACTGCTCCGAGTCATGCTTTTCGACCGCACCAACAACCAAGGGCGTGCTCCGTCTTTTATTAATTAAGGTCGTCTTTGATACCGATTTAATAAGCTATTGTTGTTTATGTTTTTTATTCACCATGAAAGGTTCACGTTCTACAGGAATTTACCTGTATATTAAGTAATTATGGGTATTTTTGGGGATTCCACAAGGTACCCTTTTGAGGTCGTTTATGTTTGCACTTTAGTTATTGACATATAACGAATAAAGTTTTTTGAACAACGCCTATGTTTGAGCGATACAATTTTCTCTAAAAACCACAACCTTGGAGTAGTTTTACGTGTAAGAAATTCTTTCAGGCATGTTCGTCAAAGTATAACGTCTTCGGATTCTTCTAGGTTTTTGCTTTTTAAGGCAACATCTAATTTAATTAGCGGTTGCGACGTTAGTTTTAGCACCATCATATATTATATTTTATGCTATTTAATTGACTTCTTGTGCGATCTGATCTACTGCTTTTTCCATGCTTGCTCATTGACTGCCATCGTTTTTACATTCTTGTACTTTAACTGGTTTCTGTTTGTTTGTTTTGTATTATTTTAATAATCTCGTATCTCAATCAATGGGGCTTATTAAAATATGTTCTCCATTTTCAAAAAGTTAATATAGTAATGAAAGATAAAAAAAATAAACCTACTTAATTTAAATCATTAACTTTAGGTGCTTGAAGGGGTTTCAGTATCTTCAACCTCTATAATATTGTCCAACTCCCAAATTTTTGGCTCAACTTTGTCCTAAATGATTTACTTGTTGAATGCAAATTTTCCACTTGTTGGATAGCATATTTTGAGTTGTTTTATTAAAAAGTTCTTTAAGTTCAGCATGATAGCGTGATAAATAAAAATGTACTAAAGAAATAAAACACATAATTTTAATTATCCATATTAAATGGATGCAATGTTCTTCTTCAATGTTACGAAATGACCCTTACAGTTGTACAAATGTCGGGCCTGGGGCAATATCGAACCCATATAACTAGGTTCGAGAGCGCAGAAGAGTGGAAGCACTGAATGAAAATTGTGTTTGGGTCACCCAGGGTCAAACGCCCCTATAGCTAATGCAAATATGGTGCTGGTCGGCGCGCGAGGTTAAGACTTATTTTATCTGGCGAAGTCTAGAAGATGGATATCTCTTGCGCGCCGTCGGCACTTATCTCTCTCTTATCAAAACGATTATTAATTTACTCGGCGAATTTTCGCACTTATCAAAATGCGCTTACGTGTTCACGTCTCTCTTCTCCTAGCTCTTGCTTAATTATTTCATCAGTCAATGTTTTCCTTGCGAGATTTTTCATCCAAAGCCGGTTGTTTATTGTCGTCATAATTCAACAGTTTATCTTTGTATAAACATTAACCGTTAAACATATTTGTTATTACGATGGTCAACAGTATCATTAACTAAGGTATTTCAATATTAAATAACCAATATGATTGCTTATATTACATAACGTATAGTATGTATGAGAAGTTGCACACTATGTTTTCAGTCAATATTATTCGAAATTCAAAGTGGAGCAAAATAAACCTTATGGTATATGCTGTTGGTGAAAAATTGTTAGGTCAAATATGGTAGTTAAAATTAAAACTCGCCTTAGGGCCGGGCATTTCTGCATAACTAACATTGTCATATCTGCAAGACGAGAAGAACACCAAGTGGAAGAGAGCTAGAAGATTGGACTTATAATGCAACGGGATATATTAACGTGTACTCGAATGTGTCTGATGGATAAATAGGCTTGTAGCTGTGGCTATGAACACAATATTATGTAGGTACCTGCCACTGAGGTACCGTTACTTCTAATACGCGCCGAGGTGCCATTCAAAGCCGAAGAAGTAGAAGAAGCTGGCCGGTACAGTGCGGGCCAAAAGTTGTGCCGGGTTCTTTCTTGAATTAATGAATTTGTTGGTTAAAAGAGCGAGGGAATCTACAACATCGCTCGTACTTATTATGATAATGTATGATAATAAATAGCGTTCTTAACGACTTTAACTTCATTTTCTATTGGAATGTTCGGGATTATCTCTCGCACATTAAATATTAATATTGATATTATTTCACAAGATTCTCTACACAAACTTAATAAAACTATTTCCTTCAAGACACAGCAAACTAAATTTGGGCTAGAATTTGCCAAAGATTGACCAAACATATTAAATGTTTTTGTGCTAACAATGGCCAAAGTTCAATATTTGCACAATTTAATTGACCAACGCGATATTATTATAATCAAATGATGTATTTTGGCAAATTGCAAACCTAATCAAACAAAGTCAAGTGCATTTAAATCTGGAGAGCGAAGAGGCCACGGAATTGGCCATCCATCGGGCGGCGTAGTTCTTCGTACAGAAAAAATATTGGAAATTGCCATGTTTTTTCAAAAAAAATCCACAAAAATATATACATATATATCAAGGTGAACCAAAAACAAAACTGTTAAAAAATGGATGTAACTTGATAATTAAAACTTAATTTAGAACTATATACGGTTTTGCCACTCTACAGAGTGTCTTAAGCTTATGTAAAAAAATATATTTTTGTTGAAACCTGTATATTATAAACGTACGTCTATTTTTTAGTAATTTTTAAAATGTGAGCGATTTTCTATTAATTTATCTACAATATTTATTAATATTTGTTTAAATCCGAAATCAAATAAAAATTGAAAATTATCGACAATTTGTGTGTATCGATTATTTTGCCTGTGAGTGTAGTATCATCTGCAAACATACATATTTCACAATTTTTTATAACTTTAACAATATCATTTATATACGAAATAAAAAGTATAGGACCTAACACTGCCCCTTGTGGGACACCAAAGTTATTTATGATATCATTGGATTAAGAAGAGTTTTTATATTTAACATTTTGAGTTCTGCCAGTTAGATATGATTCAAACCATTTTAATACAGTTCCCCCCAATATCAATCTTAGATAGTTTAAAAAAAATTCTGTTAATACAGGAATGATTGGATCTAAAACCAGATTGATTTCCCAAGTTATTTATGATATCATTATATTAAGAGTTTTTATATTTAACATTTTGAGTTCTGCCAGTTAGATATGATTCAAACCATTTTAATACAGTTCCCCCCAATATCAATCTTAGATAAAAAAATTATTATTAAAAATTCTGTTAATACAGGAATGATTGGATCTAAAACCAGATTAATTTTGTACCATCACAGAATGGTTATCACAGTATTTAAGCATTGATCCTTTACAGCCAATTCTAAAATCTTCTCATATAGAGGGACAGTATTTATTGGACGAAATTCTTCACATTTTATTGAATTTGGAACTCTGGGACAGGTGCAATTGTATGTTTTCCAGATACTTGGAACCACTCCATTATTTATTTAGAGAGTTATTTACAACATCTAGGAAACGATTTCCTATTACCTCAACCTTTTAAGTAGAACATTTGTTGAAATTCCTGTTTTTATATTGTTGGATTTTTTCAAATTTTCATGTTCCTTAATGCTCTGAATAATGTTTTCATGGTTGTTGAACTTATCAATTTATTATTTTTTCTATCCTTTGAACAAAAAAGTTATTGAATTTGATCAATTACTAAAATATTGATAAATTTAATTTCATTTGGTAGAGAGCTTTCTATTTTATTTAGGTACTAATAATTTTTCCAAAATTTATTACAATTTTCCATCCAGTACATTATGAAAGTATATTAACGTTATTTCCTGGCGCCCTTGTATATTAACAGTAATATTTTCATTATTCATCAATGTATAGAGTAAAAATTTAAAATTCAATTCACAATAAAAATATATAAACTCTTTAATCTGATCAAAGGTGCATCGGAACCTTGTGAATTTACGCCTATTTAATAACCTCGAAGAGAATAAATTAAGTCAAATTAACCTCTTGTACATTGTCTGTGGAAGAGTTCAAGATTTCAAGATCTATCTTCCTTCGCTCTGCAAACGATCCAATTACAAACATTATCTGGTTAAGAATAATGATATATCATACCACTCTATGATTAACATGTTCTCTGTGCATCTAAGTTAAACCAAATAAAGATTATCTTATTAATTCAAAATCGGGATTTACATTTTCAGCGAGCTGCGAGTTAAAAGATACCATTTATTCCGGATCTGCAAAAATCTTCCTTGAAAGAACGTGACCGAAACTGGGGCAAATCTTGCATAATTTGGTCAATTTCGTGCATCGACGTGGTGCACAGCGCTAAAGCGAAGATTTGCGCCCAATTATTTGTGCTCGCTAAGATGCAAGCCCAAGATTTACAGCTACTTAACTAATGAACGTTATAACTCAACTTTCAAATTTAACTGGATCAATTAAACAGGCCTTTGTTAACAACTTAAGAAAGCAGTCTTGAGTAATAGCAGGGTCGTTCCGCGACAAACGATACTGAGGGTGAAAAAATAAATATGTTCTTTTCGCATTAAATTATAATGTGCGACAAAAAAAAACTAGAAGAAACGCGTAATTTTTAAGTTAATTAGTCTTCAAAATCTGTACTGTAATAAGGCACTTAAATAGCAAAATACATAAAAATTTAGACTTCGGTTGAACAAATGAAACGATGCAGTAGTAAAATAGACTTACCGGTATCCATGGCAACCAAACTGAGGCTGTACTCTCCTTGAATTTCCCTGTCCAGTGCTCGTAGCAGGGAAATCTCGCCGGTACTGGCGTTAATCCTGAATATGTCAGTGTCACCTTCCTTGATGAAGTAACGAATCAAATTATTGAAGGGTGGGGTGTCGGCATCAAAGGCTTTTACAGTGATTACGTAACCACCGTTGGGTGGTATGATGTTCTCCATGATAAAAGCCAAGTAGGGTGAATCCAAGAACGTAGGTGGGTTATCGTTTATATCGGAAACGGATATAACGATTTCGGCTGTGTCAAACTTCACAGCGTCGCCGTTGATGTCGCCGGCGCAGTCTTCGGCTTGCACTGTAAGAACATAGCGAGATTTCCGCTCGTAGTTTAGATTTTTGGCCACCCTAACTATGCCAGTGTCTTCGGCAATGCTGAAGTCGCGATTCGTGTCTCCTGATGATATCGAATAGCGTACCCTTCCGTTCAGGCCGTTGTCGATGTCAGTGGCTGAAACCTATTAAAACAATAGTTAGTAGTGTTGTTTCGAAATACTTTTTGAACACTTACTTGAAGAACGCTCGCGCCAATCGAAGCGTTCTCAGCAATACTAGCACTGTATTGCTTTGGATCAAAAACAGGACTGTTATCATTTTCATCCAAGACATCAACGAATATTTTCATATCGGTCGATTTAGGAGGATCACCTCTATCCCTAGCAGTCACCACTAAAGTGTAATTGCTCTTAATTTCTCTATCAATCTTCCCCGCCACCCTTAAAAGCCCGTCCACCGGCCCCAGCGAGAATATCCCGTTCGTATCGTACTCGTTGTTCAAAGAATATTCAATGTAACCATTTCTACCCTCGTCTTTATCGACGGCTTTTATAGCCATCACTACGGTATTGATAGGGATGTTTTCAGCTATGGACGTTTCGTTTGGTGTTATGAACTCCGGTGCCATATCGTTGACATCTTTCAGAATTATAGTGACCTGTAACCAAGTTCGAACATGTTAACTTACAGTCCAAACATAATGCTATAATCATAATCCTATTTTCTTAGTGTAAGTGTACAGTTAGCATTTGTGGGACGTAAATAACTCTTCACAACCAATACCGAAAATCTCTGGGAAAATTTTACGACTCACGTATTTTTAAGGATCGTAAAATTGTGCCACAAACCATGAATTTCGTAATTTTATATTGAATATAAACAAGTCATAATTGAGTACGCTCCTCTCGATAGAAAAAAAAATGTTTATAGATGTATTTAATAGTTTCGGCCGTTGTAAAAAAGGTGGGATTTTACGATGTTCAGATGGACATAATCGCATTATGTTAAGTAATAAAGTTCTAAATTTCAAGGCGAGCTTTAACTTATCGGAGTTCATAAAAAAGCAAGTGTGGTGCGTTTGATACGATCTGTTATGCTCAATATGACGAAATCATGGATTATTATAAGTCTGCAACCTATTTAATCTTAAATATTATTTGAAACCATACCTGCTTTTTCTAAAATTCCTAGTTTGGAGATAATATTAGATAACTTAGAAGTTGCAAAAGACTATATAAGAAAAATCTTGATGTTTGGGTGCCACATTCTATTTATGTGTGGGGCGAGTTCTGAGACACCCTGTATAGCATGTGTGGTCTTTGAATACCTCAAGTTGGCTTTGAAATACCTGTACACTTTTGGCCCAGAAACCACAAGAAAATAAAGACAAGATATTTAAATTAGAGACAATGGACATCTCAGCAATGTTCTGATCACTGCATTTAACTATTTATGTAATTAACCTATGTTTATTCAAGCATCATGAAAAATACATTTTTACTAAAATTTTTTTGACATTGTCTTCCCATCGATATTGTTAATAACAATGACTTAACTTAATCAAAACGATTGTTCTTCCATCTACACAATTTTTGATGGCTATATCATTAAGTGCCTTCTTCATATTTATTTAAGCGTGACTGACCAGCGGTTTTGTTTATTTTGTAAACACTCAACGCGCACCAGGTACGTTTTTTAACAACGTATATTTGTTTAACTGAAAAAAGATTTTTTTGTTACACACTCAAACAGTCTTGTGTTTGTTGAAGGCATGTTAAATGAGATGCTTGGCTGCCTCTGACATGTGTACCTTGATTATTATTTGGGTTTAGCGGGGATGTTTCAATTTTATAAATTCACTTACTTGGACTGTAGAGGATAGGCGCAAATCTGATGGTTGGGCTTGATCAGTTGCAGTGACAACCAAATTGTAAAGACCCTGTGCTTCCCTGTCCAAAATCTTCTTGGTTGAGATGACTCCCATTTCGGATATCTCAAAGTTGTTGTGCTCATCTCCCGATGTGATGGAGTAGGAGATTTTACCATTTAAACCTGAAAGAAGAAAATTAACTTTAGAAACTTGTTGCAAAAGTAGTTCAATTAAACGTTTAGCAATAGCCGTTATGTTTATAATTTTGCATTGTCTCGATCTGTTGGTTCGTGCATTCTAACATTTTTCCAAAAGTTAGTCGTGAGAGGTGCGACATTTCATCGGCATACAGATTACAGACTTCTATTTTCCGGATTCGTCCTTTAAATCAACAGTTTCTCTAATTATATGACATTACAGACAATGCACCACGACCTGCTGAGAGGTCATATGAACACCGACATTTTTGCTTTTGCAGGTAGTGTTTAGGAGGAGAAAAAATGACATGCAACAATGTATAGCGACGCACAAGAAGATCACTTAGCACGATTAAAAAAAAACACCCAAACCTATTATAATTATGTATTGCTATTCAAAGGTTCTTCCAATTGAGGTGTACAGTTGTCCGTGGTTTATTGACATAGAACATAACATGCATGGATAAAAAATCCAAGAGCGGTAAATCGCATTATCTTGGTGGCCAGCTGGCATCACAAAAAATAGGGCACTTTTTCTTGATCATCAAAATGTAATTTACAGAACACAATCGGGATGTTATTCATATAAAATACAAATTAACGAATAATTTTGAATGAAATGCTTTAATGGGTATACGTTGACGTTAAAAAGGAAATTATCACAAAAATAAATGAGTGCTGATATAAAAGACGGACGCATTAAGAAATGCCCCAATTATAATTGTTCCAAAGCAATTCAGATAAAATTTTAATGGGTTTCGGGTCGTTTGGAACACCCGTGGTATAAAGGTACGAATAAATAAAATAAAGCAAAAAAGGAAACTACTCGAATGTGTGGCAAATTATTTATTAAACTAGTTAACATCTTCCTGTTTGCAATTGAAGAAGGGAATTATTTATTTTTTGCATGCCTCAAAGGAATATTAAATGCCTTATTTAATTAAGGTGTATTCATACTGGTAGATAAATTTGTATAATTTATTTATGTCTTTTTTCTTTTAATAATTATAGCAATTAGAAGCAAGTGCCCCACGGTCTTAGCCTTCAACGTGCACCAAACTTAATGTAGCGCAATTTTAGAAACGTTTTTCATTCCTTATAGATTTTGTTGATAATTTTTGATGTAAATATTATGTACAAAAAAACAAAAATAAACATACCTAAAGTTCATTTTTTTTATCTGGACTGCGGCAACGTTGCAAATTTAGGGTTTTGGTTGTTAAATACAGTTGTCAAGTTGGTCGCATTGATTAAAACAAACTAAGCTAGTTATAAATCTAATTGTGGTTATGTATAAATTATTGTGCAGTTGTGCAGTAAAATCTTATAAAAAAGTAGTTAAATATAGGTTGCTTTACGGCCCAGAAGAGAAAGAATTCCTAGCGGATAATAATCTTCGCTTTGAAAAGAATTTATATAAAAGAAATTAAAATTTTTTGTGAACGTAAATGTTGTCCAATGGTGAATAATGTGAAAATAATGTGTATTGTAATATTTATAAAACCAAAATCGTTACTTTTTTACTCCAAAAATATCCTTAAGGAGATGTACTTTTTCTTCCATTGTGGCATTTGGCATAATTTCATCAAAATGAAGTTTTGCCCTCAAAAGGGCTTTTACATTCGAATTCGTTGCTATTTTTTTTTGGCATAATCTTTTTATTTATAATTGACAAGTAAATTATCAATAATAAATATTGACAGTGTCAAAGTATTTAATTAAATTCTTTAGCAGAAGTACCATTTTTAGTCAAACTGGCATAAGCCACCAACCTAACAAAAAAACACGAGTCCAGATAAAAAAAATGAACTGTATTTGAAAGTATACATGTTTTTTAGTTTTTTTTTTGATTTTTAAAAACACCCTGTTTTTTGCATTTTTGGATTCAACATACTTTTTAAGGTAGTATACTTTGTATTAATTAAGAAAATTTTAGTACTTGTTGAGTAAACTAAAGAATAAACAAATTTTCTTCAAATGGTACCTCCTAAGTTAAAAAATATTAATTTTTACTTGGTTATTTTTAAATTTTGAAGAAAATTTGTTTAATATTTAGTTTACTTAAAAAGAACATTTTCTTAATTAATATTTTTACAAAATTTTAAAAAGTTTGTGGAATCCAAAAATGCAAAAAAATATCTTCCCAGGGACAACCGAATATAAATAAAATTATAATATTTTTTTTTTGAATTTTCTTACCAGTGGCCGCCAATATCGCCGGATCTAAATACTTTGGATTTACCCATAAAAATGTAAAATAAAAGGACGAAAGTGATATAAACTTTAAACACTCAGTTAATTATAATTTAATTTACAATTGTAAAATTGCTGAACGTTGTTGTTTTTATTAATACTTCGACTAATTCTGTCGGTCTCTTTGACATATTTCCGGACATGCGAATTTATGAATAACTAAAATATTATTTCGTTATTTTATGTGCGAAATTTGATGGCCATAAACTTCAAAATTACGTCTACACCATGGCATTCCTAAACGACATGCTTCTGGGAAAAATAAATAATTTTAAATTCGCTTCCCATTATTAGACATAAGGAAGCGAGGAATACCTTTTTATCTAATTTGCTTCGTCAGCCATTTAAAACTAATTAATATTGCTGCTGGAAGATAGTTTTTTCCTTGTCGTCACTACACTTTGGTATTGACACCTGAAGCGGGTGCCCACGTATTACAGAACACGCTGTATAACCATTATGCTTACAATCAAGAGAATTTTATTAAATACTTTGCCCCTTACAGTTACTTATACATTAAAGTTTACCCTCGGTGTTAATTCGAAGTTTTTATGTTTGTGCATCGCCATAAAAAACGCAATTATACGAATCCCAGCGTATATTTTACGGGCCACCAAAATACGGTTAGTAAATTACGCAATAAGTTTAATTTTCAAGGAAACAATAAATAGTTCGTTTGCCTGTAAACTGCAGCTCTCACCTGAATCCAAATCAGTAGCGCTGACCGTCACCACTGGAGTAGCTATGGAAGCGTTTTCGAAAATTTCGTTGCTGTAAGACATTGGGTCGAATAAGGGTGCATTGTCGTTAAGATCCAGAACGTTGCAATAAACCGTGATGGTGCTGGATAAAGCTGGATGGCCAGCATCCTGCGTCTGAACCACCAATATGTAATGTTGAACCTGAAACAAGAAGAAGAAAAATGTTGAGAGGTTGTTTAAAAGTTATTTTGGGGGTTCATAGCCATAAAGTTAATAATTTATCTGATTAGTTTCGAGACTACCTTTAAAGAACATTTAACTATACAATACAACATTGTATGATTCGTGAGAGGGCTTCATATTAAGTATTTGGCATAACTTCTCGAGAGAAAGAGAGATGGGAATTTCGGCCCGGCGCAAAAACTAGAAACTTTCTGGTCCGACTGTTCGTACTTGGACAACGAAAACAAAAGGACAGAGAAAGAGATCCTATATAACTGCATTACTGTGGGTCTACTTTTTACCGCGAACTTCACCTGATACAAGGGTTTGGAGACGTTTACAAACTCGAGCGACATAAGTCAACGAGACGAATTCACATCCTTAAATTTGTAGGTACGCTTATTTATTTAGTTTGTCGATTCTTCCGACAATAAGAACACATCCACTTTGGATAGACCATCTAGTTTTTTATGCGGGAAATTTTGATTTTATCATAGTGGATTGCGAGCTTGCGAGCGAGTGTTTAAATAAATGAGTATAGGAAAGTTTATAAACGAGTTGCATACTATACTTTTTCTAAAACAAATACTTAATACTATCTAAAAAATGATTTGAATTAAATATTTGGATAAAGCGAAATCTATACGAAAATAGAGAAATGAACATTTTTGACGTAATTGCCAGTTATTAATTTTAAATAAACTTATTTTATCATTTAATTTTTTATTACTATAATTGCAAAATATTATCACAAAAAAATATTAAAATTTATGTACCTCTAGCATGCTAAAAAATAATGTTTGGTCAAACAAAAATTATTAATAAAGCGCTATATACTCAGGCGGTCTTTGAGCACAATTCCGCGCGCAGAGACAGGTGAATCCAAGATTTTTTTATTAAATGTTTTCACGGCTAAATTTATATTTTTTTTCAAATTTTCTCATTTTTTTGATATCGATAGAGTATTTACTAATTATACAGCTTACGGTATTGTTTAAGTGAACCATTAAATGTTCTTGATGTGCAACTAATTTTTCCTCAAGGTTGTGTAATTTAAAGCGAAATCTATACGAAAATAGAGAAATGAACATTTTTGACGTAATTGCCAGTTATTAATTTTAAATAAACTTATTTTATCATTTAATTTTTTATTACTATAATTGCAAAATATTATCACAAAAAAATATTAAAATTTATGTACCTCTAGCATGCTAAAAAATAATGTTTGGTCAAACAAAAATTATTAATAAAGCGCTATATACTCAGGCGGTCTTTGAGCACAATTCCGCGCGCAGAGACAGGTGAATCCAAGATTTTTTTATTAAATGTTTTCACGGCTAAATTTATATTTTTTTCAAATTTTCGCATTTTTTTTTATATCGATAGAGTATTTACTAATTATACAGCTTACGGTATTGTTTAAGTTAACCATTAAATGTTCTTGATGTGCAACTAATTTTTCCTCAAGGTTGTGTAATTTAAACGTGAGCTTAACAAGCACCATAGAATTTGTACTAGTTCATTTAAATAATGATTTATTTCTACTTAGAACTGTTTTGCATATTTTTGTGTTGGGAATACTTATTTAACATATATACGATTCTTTGAATGTAATTCTTTACTCATTGAAAAACATAACAATACACATGTAAATACTATTATATACAAAAGTGCTCTTTTAGTTCCCTTACTTCCTAAAAAGTCCCAGAAGCCAAATTAATGGTTAGTGCGGGTTAAGGGTGGGAACGGACCGCGGGCTTAAAGTCCGCTCCAAATAAACAACCATACCAATGTGGGACTCGAACCCCCAACCTCTCGGTTTGTAGTCAGCAGCACTAACAAAAATGTTTAAGACTAAAAACACTGAAACTGATGAATTGAATAATAAAACCCTAAAATCCAAACTAGTGTGGGTAGTAAAATCTAGTATATACGTTTCGGACCTACTGAGAAGAATGTAGTCATGATTTTACGACCATCAGATAAAGTGAGCCGACGTAAATGGATAAGAAGTGGATAAAAATAATAACAATATAATTATTATTGATTACACGAATTAACCCTTCAGTGGACAAACTAATGGATGACAAATTAAGAACATCGCATCAGTTAAGGAGGGAAGCAAAATAAGAAAAAACCGTCGAGATAGCCAAGGCCCAAAGGGATATTTCTAATAAACCAGTTTGAGACTCAGCACGGTCATAATAAAAACTTGTGGAAATATTAAAGGCTAATACTCAATTCCATATATGGCCGCGCACCATAGCGATCTGGTCTTAGGCTACAACACTTTGCGGACCAAACGCAAACCGAACATTTTTCTAAATGGTTTTCTGTAAATAGTTTTATACGACTTACCAGGGTAACTCTAAAAGTTCCATAGCTGATACTATAGTGTCTTATGAGATTCTAAAAGTAACCGATTTACCGACATCATTATTGGTCGATGTTGAGCAATTCATTTTTTTTACAAAATTTGATGATGTATGATCTTCACCTATATGGTGAAATTTGTGACTTAAAAGACATCTTCCAGAAGACTTTTTGACCGGCCTCGTAGATCACACTGACGACCAAACATTTTTCTAAATGGTACTCTGTATATAGTTTTATGCATGTTATGTATACCCCAAAGGAGCTAGATGGCAAGTCGACAGATTTAACAGCGCAATCTCGAAAGAATATTGCCACTTTGAATCCTATAAAATTATTTAAAAAGTACGTGATGTTATGTGGCACACGGACGCAACAAACACCATGGTGATTAAACAAGAAATTATCTTGTCGCATATAACGAAATTACTGTTGAATTGGGACCTCTTAGTTTTTATTTAAAAACATTTAAAAACAAACACCACTACAAATTTATTTATTTATATGTTGAAGATTTTTGCCGTGAACTTGAATTAAAAAATGCGCATACTTGGTTAGTTATCGACCTCAAGAGTTAAACAGCAAAGACTTTCTCATGAACTTGATTGCATTTTCCTGAACGCAGCAAACCTAAGTGACGCAACTTTTTACCGACAACATTTTTATGCAAATAAGAATCACCACGCCATTGACAATGAAATTTGCCGGACGGAATTGCAAAATGCAACCTTTAACCAAGCTCCGCAATCTGAATGTTATTTACTTTATCGATAGGAAAACTATAGAATATGTGTGACGTCAAAATTTTTTAAAAGAATTAAATAACAAGTAATTTTTTAGTGCCATTATCTCCATCGATATTGGCAATTAAAGTTTAAACCTTCTTCAAAATTTTACAAGCCTAGGCATATCCCAAGTAGCACAACTGAATTAATTAAATAACTAGCATTCTAAGTAAATTAGCGTTTTTTAAACTTGTTTTTTAACCAATTAGTTGTATTCCACCATTAACATTTTTTTAAGTTACAGGCAATAAAAATAAAATAAAAATAAATAAAAATTAAATTTACCAACCAGTTGCTATAACCTTAAGGTAAATTTTAAGGTTATTTTTTAGTATAATTTAACTAATAAAAGAAACCTATTGGAAATATTACTAATATTATAGGTACATTAAGGTTATTTCAAAAGTTTAAATTGTCTATAAATAAACCAAATATTTAACTAACTAGTAATATTACTTATAAGTTAAAAAGTGGGTTATTTTATAAGTTACATAACATTAAATTAACTTTCAATTTTAAAATGGTTAAAACTAGTAATTTTTTGACATATTTTGGTTTAATTTAACTTTTTATATAACTTTTGGGTAAGTTAACCATAGCTTTGGTTAATTTGGATACCTATATTTTTTTAACCAACAAACGTAAATTAACGTTAATTAATAAAGTAGTAAAAAGTAATGGTTTTGCATTTTTCATTGTTACCTACATAGTCAAATTAGTCTCAATACAGCTTTATATACCTATAAACCTATGGAACACCAAAAAATGCAAAAAAACTTGCCTATCTTCACCTCGAACGAATTATATTAGCCACGGCAAATCTACTTTGTTTATAATTTCAATAAAATGTCTAATAATATAAAATTATGAGTTTAATATAATAAGGCTTCGCGCTATAGTATCATTTGATGCTAATTAATGGCCCCATTAGAATATAATGCAATAATTGTCGTGTTCTAAAGAAAATTCATTCGTTCAAGGAAGTATTAGGTTTTATTTATTTTAAAATGCTATGGTCTTGTGGTATTATCATCAACTAATAGTGTTCTATATAAGGCAGTGATCGACACTGATAAATAAATCTAAAAAATAAACCGGGCTATGAAACGCTCCCTCATCCACCATAATCTCCAGACTTAGCTCATAGTGACTATTTTAAACTTGAATATATTCATAGGTGGCTCTAGGGAAGTTAATGGCGAATGGACAAAGCAATCTCATTTAAGTGTTTTGTTATAAATATAATTGTTTACAGTTAAATTCCTTAAAGTATTTTAACCCTTAGCACCTTAAACAATACTTAGTTAAAAGTAATTAAAGACGTGGCATGTACGACATCTAATCAAATATATCATACACCTCCACTGCGATATTTCATTTTGCTATATAAACGTTAATTTAACTTCAATAATTATTCTCTTACAATTACTTGTAAGTGCTGTAAGACCCACGCGAGGAATGCTTGCCATTTCTATTATAGATTATCAAGTTTTTAGAATGGGATATGGATAATTACTTTTAACATAATTAACCAAAAACAGTGATTAATATTTGTATTTCAATTTTCAATATTGAAACATCCATAGACTGTGAACTGGTCAGCTTGATATGGTCAAGTCAAGAAATTATACAGAAATTTCTCGACGGTGAATTTTCCTTCCAAGCTGTGTTTCTATAATATTAATAGAATATAGATTGATTCGTTGACGGGTTTTTCAGCTTTTTGTCACTTATTGATTCGGAATGGCAATATGTTCAAGTGTTTTGTTTTATTGGCTTCACGCCTGAATGCTACTGCAAGTTTTCCACCTTTATTTTATTCAGGATTAGGATTATTTAAAAGTACTACTGAAAATTGAAATAAATAAATATTACTAAAAGGAAAGTGGACAAGAACTACTACTTAAACAGAAGCTGGTCCATCAAAAAAAATAATTAGTTATATAATGTTTTATGGGCGTGTATAAAAACCACGAGATTTTTTATAATTTCGTTTTTATTGACGTACCATAATTAATATTTCGCCTAATAGTTTGAAGTGTGATATCGTGAAACTGTTTTCTAAAAGACGGTTAAATGTCACTAATTTCAGTAGTAAATAATAAACTGAAGTATTTTGTTAACAATAAAACTAAAATACTTTTTATAACACATGTTGCGTGACGAAACTTCATATTGTTTTCAGTTAATGGAAGTGTAAATGTTAAGGTCATTTGTGGTAAATGCATTTTTGATGAAGTGTTTGAAATATATGGGTCATTCCACCAAATATTTTTTTCTGAAAGCTGAGGAGGTTAATTTTTGTTTAAATCCATTATAGAAGCTTCAGCATCTTACGTAGTGAATTTTCGTACTAGAACAAACTTAAAATAAAACGTCATGTTGATAAGAAAAAGCTTAAAATAATTAAGACTGCTTTAAGAAATGCGCGGTGGTGAGTTTAGAATACAAATTGATTTGCACTACCACACAGGTAGAGTCTAACCATACCTATATAAATGGTGTGTTGTACCCAGTATTGTTACACCATATGTTCCAATTTTTTCTTACATTCTAACGAATTAATATAACTGAACCATAATGAATATTTCGAAAATATGCGTATACAAAGGAGGAAAAGTTCTCAGTACTGAACGGTTTAAGTTTAATAATAAAGAAAATGCGAAGAAAAGAGATTATTGCTTTATAACCCAATGAAAGAATTTAAGATGTTTTGATTGTTAATAATAAAATGCCGCTAATTAATTAGTGAAGAAAATCCAAGAATATAACAGTAAAATATTATTACATTACATAACATACAACTTAGAAAAACTTTCACAAAGTTTATTAAAATTATTAAAAAAGAGATGAAAAAATGTTGATTCTAATTCGTGCTCATTAAAAATGAATGACACAAAAACGGAGTAATGGCTCTATATTCGTCGAAGAAGAAGAAGAAGAAGCAGTTTAAAAAGTAATCGTAAATTTATATGCAATTGGTTGGAAATCTTTCGCAGCTATACACACAACAACAAAGCGTCCTTGCGAGTGTTCGAAGTATTTTTATTCAGCTAAATAATGTTATACCTTTTCAGTAAATTCTTTAAAAAAAGATGGAAATATTCCCGTGCATAAAACAAAAGCCGTTGCTCGCGCAAAAAAAAACAAACGAACTATTGTCGAGTATTTTTAAGTGAAACTACGTTAACCCGCTCGGGAAAAATGCCCTGACTTATGATTGCTAGTCCGTTTGCGCAAAAACCAGACCACCTATGATTAAATGTTGTTATAGTTTCCGATGCTCTTTTGTTTCTCTTCTCTTCTTCTTCTTCGAGACTCTTCACTTGTTATTTTTGCCAGGCTCAACGAAAACATGATTAACATTATTGTTGACAGACGCGTTATAAATCGTACATAAACTATTTCGAGAAAAAATAAAAATACGGCCAGTCCGCCTTGAAATTTGTATGTCTTTTGATTTATATAATTGAACTTTTTTTAGCCTTCAAGGACTCTTTTCCCATTTATTTGCAAACAACATAACGATCGCCATTTAAATTAATTTTATTGCATTGTCTCATGCTTCAAGCTGTCACTTTCATTTTTTTTTATTTATGAGGCTTGATGGTTTGTAAAGTTTCTACTTACTTCTTCATAATCCAATCGAGATGTGAGAGTAAAAACTCCAGTTTGTGGGTTTAGCGAAAAGACATCGTTTGCCCAGTCGCTTATGACCGTGTAAGTCAACTGGGCATTCAGGTCCAAGTCCAAATCGGTCGCTTTTACTTGCCCAACCCTGGAACCCCTTCCAGCATTTTCCGGGATGTCGAAGGAATAGGCACTTTCAAGAAAGGTTGGTGCGTTGTCATTGGTATCAGTCACCTGAAAATAAAAAAAATATTACTATATACTTTGTTAAAAATTATCGGATCTTATTAAGTGAAAGCCTAACAAGCCCTTAGTAAACTCTTTCAGAAAATTTTTGTTTAGTTATTTCAGTCCCATTGGCGTTTTATAAAACTTACATACATGTTTTTTTTTTTAATATTGAATAACCAGAACTTTGTGTTGCTTTATAGCAATCCATAACATCCTTAGTTAATACAGTAAACAATGTATATATAAATTAATTAATTTTAATCTACTTTTTTTAAATTTGACTCATGTCCCAGACATTTTTTCCGTTGCGTTACGTCCGTCGCGTTACCGATAGAATATTAAAAAAAAACATATATATGGCAACTTTTTTGGCACTCACGTGATCAACAAATGATGTTTGGACGTACGCATTACCCAGCTGAATTTATTTATTCAATCAGGAAGAAGATATCGGTTGAAACAGGTGCGGGTAACGCGAATGTAATAATTGTTTGTCCGCTAAGTTACTCAAAAAAATAATAAAAATAAGGTAAGAAAAAATACTATTTTTCATGTTTATGTTTATTTTAGGGCACTAAAGCTCATTGAGAGTAATTAATGACTGTAATGTCTACCGAGTCCATTACGTTACCTTATGGTAACGCAATGGAATTTAGGGTAACGCAATAGAATTTTTCGACAAAAAAGTGGATATTTACCGTCGCTTTTATTAAAAGTAGTTTATGATAAACCAATTGAAAATTATTTGTGATTACAACTCATGATATAGAATACATCCAAGGGAAAATTCCACGCAATATACAAGTACTAAAAGACACCAGCTTATAGTCAAAGAAAAAGGGTGTCTATAATTTAGAAATCCAAGTTGTTATTCTGCAAGTGAGCACCACTACAAGGGATTTTGTTTATGCATTACTCTAAAATCGTACCACCCTATATAGTTTATTTTTTACGTTATCTGATTAAGTCCTTTGTGTATCCCAGTCCGTTGTGATACCAATGTCTATTTTGTTACTTTTTTAGTTTTTGTTAAAAAAAATCCTTAAATTGATTTTACTATCACTTGGTAATACCTTTTATAGAGTTTAACCTACTAATACAGTGACTAAAAGAAAATATTAATGGTATTGTTTTTTTAACAAAGAATCGGAATGGTTTCTTTTAAAAAGTAACTTAAATAACATAAATATTTTAAAAAGGCATACAATTTTTAATAAAAAATAAAATTGGAGTCAAAAGTTTGTGAACTAAGTACATTTTATTTCAAATTATTTTTTTAACAACTTTTTTTATTGAATTAAATTTTGGATTTCAAATTGGTAACACAGTGGAGATATACATATTAAGCTAGCTAAACATATTTTTCTGAAAAAAACGTAAAAAAAAATAAAAAGTGCACTGCCTGTCTTAAATGTAAGTAAACAAAAGTCTAAACATTTATAAAAATCCAACCAAAGTCAATTTAAGCAAAAAAATTTGATCTTCATTTTCCTGAAAGCGGGTGTTTCTTGAAAATGACATATAATCAAAAATCTAAAATTTTGTTTTCATTTTTGAAGTTTCACGACCTTTTTACAGGTAATGGGAGATTATCATATTCATTTCCTATACAAGAAAAATAACTGTTTAACCATAAAATTCCATAACACGAAATCTCGCAACGGTACCTTTCAAGAGACAAGCCTTACTGTATTAGTCGATTTTTTATAGAAATAAGAATTGCGCAATGCACAAAAATAGTACTTGAGGCTCGCCTTAGTACAAATAAAGAACAATTAGTATTCGGCATCATCTTTGCAAAATTCATTTGTATTCCAATCAGTTTGTAGCAGGATTTGCTCACGTAGCATTTGCATACGGTTGTAGGTTGGTGCACTGTAAAATTTTATATGGAAAAACGTGTGCGAAATTCTATAAATGCATCGATTTTTCTGGAATAAGAAAATAATACCATTTTGTGAATACTAAGTGAGTGAGTGGTAGCCTTTTAAGAGTAATAGAGAATGTCAAATGATATCCCTGTAAGAATGAGAAAACAATAAATTTACAAAACCAAACAATGTATATACAGGGTGGAATCTAAAATTTTGGTAGGCATAATAAGGCAAGTTATCATACAAATTGTATTGTTTTATTTTTGTAAAACCTATCCTCCGTGACTGTTACTCTTTCTAGGTTAACCTATATGTTATCAAATATCCAAAGCAATCAAATCAAATATAAAATATTATTAAAAATTAAAAGAAATAATTTTTATAACCGTTTATGTAGGTGTTACAAAAATTGATTCTATCCTCCGTGAATCTGTTTTGCTTTAAATTTTATGCAACGGATGGCGCTTTAATCATTTTAAATAAGCAAAAACCTGTTTACGACATCATAGATGCATGTGATTCCTGAAGGTCAGTTAGAATTTATATGCTGATGAGAGTGTTGCTGTTTTATAATTCAAGAGTTTAAGTTCAGTAATTTGCCATTTAAAAACCTATCCACCGTGAAGTTTAATATCTCAGTAGGAAGAATTTTTTTATAAATATTTTATGTTTGTACATACAATGGTATTTTTAAAAAATATTAAAGTGTCAAAAGATACAATAACTTATTTCAAATATACAAAGGGATGTTTAAAAAAACATACGAAATCCTAACCTCCGTGAAGCTATCTTCCGTGAAGCTCTAATATTCAAAATGTATGATTTCTTAAAATTCTTGCATTAGTGCAGAACCACTTATGTTATGTTATTACTAGACCTGGTGGCTTCCCTATTAAAAATGCTCTATAGAACCCATATTGATCTAGATAAGGAAACTAATATGGATTTATATGGTTCTATATGTCCTATATGGAACGACCTGGTTTACACTTTGGAATCTAAATTGTTTAATATGTAATATCATTTTAAAATGTACAACGTTTTTATATGGTTTTTGTTTTATGTGTCTTTCCATATAGGTTTCCCTATATGGTTGAATATGGAATTCCATATATATGGTAATAATTTTTTCATAGTTTATTGGGCCAGATAGAGCTCCAATATGGTTCCATCTGAACCTATATGGCAATCCATATAGAAATCACTTTTCTATCTGGTTCAATAGTGCAATGCCTGTTTCCTATATTGAACCAGATAGAACCATATAGATTTTTATTTTGTGTTTCTACAGGGTCCGGCAACAGAATTGAACGATTTTAAAAATGCTGCTATGGAACTACTCTTGATTTGATATATGTCAAATAGTGACAGATTTGTACCTTATTGCCGAAAGTTTCGTGGCTGCTATGGAAATACTACATATTGATTTAATATATGTCATATGACAATGGCAATTAAGAATTGTGTGCAGAAATTGAGTCGATTGACTTTATCAATGGGAATTAGCCTCTGGACTGTCGGTTTTTTAGATGGAGTTTTAAATCCAGATGTAACATTCGTCACAAACTTCGGTCTGAAATGTGAAGAGCAATCGAGTACCGCTCAAACGCTTCTCTGACTCTTCCAATATTTTCTTGTGTACAAACTGTACGAGTTCCAGCGACAAATTTTGATTTTTTTTTTTCGTTAAACCCATCTCAAAATGCCATTTTTTATGGGACTTCAGCTGGCACTTGAAAATTATATTCACGACGAAAGCGTCTCTGCGTTTGTACGAAGGACTGGGTCAGGGTAAACAAATTTACAGCAAAGATCCGTTGATTAACCGGCCAGTTTGACACTGCACACGAAACCTTCGGCAATAAGGTATAAGTCTGTCATTATTTGACATATACCAAATCAATAGTATTTCCATAGCAGCCTTTTCAAAACCGTTCAATTATGATGCCGGACCCTGTATATGGCATTTTTAATAGGGTTTCCAAAAACCCAATTCTAGACTATCAGTGAAACAACCAAAAATAAAAAATAATCATTTTCACTTGGGGGACATCTCAATATATTTACCCATACAGAGTGTCTGGAAAATATGACATTTACAAAAATAAAACAATACAATTTGTATGATAAATGCTTGGCCTATGGAGGAAGCCGCAAAATTCTGACGACTCTGCCACTTTATCATAGTTTCGACCGCATCAGATGCAGATCAGACAGATTTCGAACTCAACGCGGCGAGGCATTGAACTGTAATTGTGATGGTGCTCGTCGATTATTTCCACTCTCCCATTCAGAAGATTATTAATGTCCTTTGCGAACGCAGGGAAAAATAATAGGAAAAATCCGTTGAGGTTTTCAAACAGCTGTTCGGCTCCATTTCAAAATTCCACAAATCAGTCGCAACGATGTGACTGACGTCAAAATATGCGAATTATATTTTAAATTTAATTAGATCGCGACATTCCTAAATATCTATGGTAAGTAGGATGCGTTTTTATAAGAAAATATTCCGTTTACCATAAATCATAAGAAAAACTGTTAAAATAATGAATAAATGTTTTAACTACCTAGGTATCACATTTTGCAGTATTTAATATTTTCCAATAAACAACCACTATAATTTTAATCAAACAGTGTGCGCAATACTGGACATTACAATACATTACAAATAATTGCGAGGGCAATAATTGAAACTTTACAACAATGTTTGGTTTTATATGTAACCGATAACATAAATAATATTCGCATGCATTCCAATAGAATTTAAAATTTAATTACAAGTCATAGGAGGCAGATTCAATCGCACATATGTTTATCATATTTTAATTGACAAGTCGATGGAGAATATTTATTTCTTATTGTCGCATACGATAACCGACCAGTTTTTATATAATCATATAACTAACTATGGGATTTACATAAAGACGTTAATTTCGAGTTTTACTATACTCAAATTAATAAATTAATTAATTTTTCTACTCCCACCTTTAAAACGCCCTTTATCGTACATGTTTCCATAACCTTTTAAATACACATTGACAAGTTGTGGCTTTACGGCGCTTTAGTCACGGGCCGAAGTTAGCAACAGGTGTTTAGTCACGGGCTGAAGTTAGCTTTAAGTTAGTTGACAGTTGTCAAATGTCATACAATCGTTAAAATAAATTGCCTTTCTTGTAAAATAATACTAAATGTGAAAATTATTTTATTATCTCAACACAAAAATACAAAAGTATTAAATAGTTTCTCAACGCCAATATTTGAAAAGTTTATATGAACATTGTACTGACCTTTCTGACATTTCGCCGGCAGTAAACTATAAATTCGGGCACGGACTCCACTGTAAAGTGCTCATAAAACATTTTCTTTACTCTCACTGTGAAAAACTGTCAATTTTCAAGAAATACATTTCGATTTATAACCATTATAATCTATGTTTATAAAATATAAAAATTTGACATTTGACGGTGACACACAGATTCCCCTATTGTTTCATAGATGGCGCTCTATACAAATTTTTGATTTAAATCATTTTAAGATAAAAATAATTATTTGTCGTAGAAAAAGTATAGCATACAACTCGTTAATGTCCCTAAAACTGTTAATTAATTTCTGAATAATATTTTATGATAAATATTTTAAAAGAATGTTTTTATGGTTTATATAATTGAAAATACCACTTAAAGAGGGAATATTTTTAAAGTGGTATCTGGCCCGAGTAATTATCTTTAATAAAACTGCTCAGACGTCTTACAAAAAGTTCTAGCCTTAATGAGTAGAATTGAAGAATTTTGATTTATAGGGCTGGTATTTAATTAACACACATTAAAAACGTATACAGCCCCGGAATAATAAATAATTAAGTCATATAAGGAATATATAAATGTTAACTATTGAACATAAAAATGTGGCCGATTAAATCGTTTTTTTTTTAATTTCACATTCGTCTATTTTAAATAACAAGACAGCTGTGATTATTCATTATTAATGGCAATCCTAGGTACAAGTCATTCACATGTTTTGTATTGACTATTTGCATACGCTGACCCCTATGTCAAGTTAGCTCGATATATAACCCTTCCATCATTGATTGCATTCCTGGAATTGCAGAATAAAAAACAACCATTTTGATATAACAGTAGGTACTTAATCATTTAGAAATATGGTTTTAACTGGTTTTCTGTATTCATTGTATTAAGCATGAAAACCCACCTCTAATGTTGTAATTAACAGATAGGTACACTGTTAAAACGATTTGTTAACATGAGATGTATTTAAAATTTTAACATATTTTTTTCTTTAGAAAACCAGGGTTTGTATTTATTTTAACAAAGAAAAATATTTTACGGAAAGTTTTGTAAACGCTCTAAAATTCTACTATTTAAATTAGTACCAGCATTTTTTACTAATAAAATAGTCGTTTTCACTTTTAAATAGTTATTTTTTACTACGTAAATAGTTAAAGTTTCACTAATTTAAGATTAGTCGCCATCTTTCTGAGAGTTAAAAGTAACTAATTTCAATAATCGTTTGCGGCCAACAACAAAGTATTATTTGAATTAAATGCATGTACCTAAGCTCCATGGTTAAAAGACCCATAAAAACAAATAAAGATGCAAAAAGTTTAGCTCAAAACAGCAACACAAGTAATATATTCAACAAATATTATGAACAATATTTATTGACAAATAAAATTGGTTTTTATAAGAGCGGCTGATAGCTAAATGGGTTATGACAACAGCTTGACAAGCTTGACAAGTGACAGACCTGAGTTCAATCCCCGGCTGGGTTAAAACTTTTTTTAATTTAAATCTACTAATTTCATTCAGTAGAATTTTACCAATTATTAGTGACTGTTTTTTAAAGATTTTCAAGATTTCAATTTTTCTACTTGTATAAAAACGGCCATAACTTTGGTACATACCTTTTTTTCTTTGAAAAGTGTAGACTCTTCGGAGATAATTCAATATTTCGATGAATTTTAGTCAAATAAAAAAAAAATTTTAACCTTAAAGTTCAAATTTGCCAATTTCAGGTCACCCCGTATAACTTCCTTCGCATTCTAAACGATATTTTTAATGTTAAATATAACATATTAAAAATTTTATGCACTCCGGTTCATGTTACATGTAGGTATCTATTTTAACTTTTACTATCGCGATAAAATCTGAGATTTGATCTTATGGGATCAAATAAAAATACTTGAAATTATTTAACTTGTTTATGCTAATACGTTTCTGTGTATTAAACTCATAGGTCAAATGCATTAAATGTTTTACTCTCTGAATCAAAAATGTTTATACTAATTAAAATTAAATATTCCTACCTGAACTGTGACCACAGTATCTGTGTACTGTATCCCATCACTGGCTCTCACAGTTAGCTTATACGTGTCCTTAGTTTCCCTGTCCAAGGAATCCTCCAATCTTAAAACGCCACTATTTTTGTCCAATGTAAAGTGACCGTCGTGTCCTTTGATCAAGGAATATTCCAACTCCCCGATGGTATCGGGATCTTCAGCTCTAATGGTGGCTATGGACTGCCCTGGTCCCAAATCTTCCGACACGAAGAATTGCAATGGGGTGTCTTTGAACGATGGAGGACTGTCATTTTTGTCCAAAACTGTGATTTGAACCTGAAAAAAACAACAATACGTTAAATAAACCTTATAAATGTTACTAATTAGTTTTTCAACAAATCCTATTGAATGTCTATATGCTTATATTTGTAGTCTGTAGCACAACGAATGGAGTAATTTGAGTATTACTTTGAAATTTACACGTGTTTTGTTAGAAACTTATTTATTCGTCTTCCTGAAATTTCATCTTGGTTGTTTCATGTGTTCAACATGGTGAAGTGAGACGTAAATGTGTGCCGTTAGTGTTGGACATATAACAAAATAAAGTTTTTATATTTATGAAATAATTTTGCAAAAATCAAAAATTCATCCTGGATTTTAATATAAAAAACATCGGGTTCGTCATTTTGCAGCTATTGGTATCTCCAATTATATTCGATATTAATCAAACCTTGTAACATATCTTGTCTTAAAATGAAACTATTGAAAGCGACCATTTGGGTTCTTTCGTTTATAGTCCGGCGCACATCGATCACCCTGTACAATAAAACGTTATTTACGCCTGTTGCTTTTGTTGGCCGCAGACACCGAAGAATGACGGAGTGCTGTCTGCCGGTTGGGATCAAATTTTCCGTTAATGTCCTCTACAATCGTTAAAGTTCAACTTTGGGTCGAACAAAATATGCATTTTCTAAATCTATGTTTTAAGGTTTTTGATCCATCATCTATCGGATTTTACTTCTTTAGCATTCACAAACTGACAAATCTTTGAAAAAGTGATCAGTTTATTTATATAAATACAAACTTTTATTATTCTATCTTTACTAAAAATGCCTTGTTTCTCGACCCAACTATGTACAATTTTTTGTCTACAACCCATCTCAACATTCCGGACTTTTGCATAACAACATTTCTGAAATAGCCTCGATGTGTACGAAAGAGAGCCTAATTATGACCCGACACAAGCATTTTAGTTAGATCAATTAAATGCGGGAAAACGCGAACAAAAAATATTATTTCGCTAATTGCCTTATTAATAAATATCATTTGGTAATGCGGTCGGGTTATATCATGCTTTATTTTAATAAGGAATAATAGCATTTTTTCCGTGGAATATTTAAATAATTGCCCAAAAATAATGACTGGAATTTGGTAATATATTAAAATCGCTTATACATTCCTAAATTTGGTTGTTAAATTAACTTGGTCTCATTATAAACAATAACAACAAAATTAATCATAGAATTCATTATAATATCTAATAATAATGTTTTTTTTAAATCATTTAATAAAAATTAAGATAAATGTCTAAAATGGCATTAAAAGTAGTTTACTTTAACACTGGTGCAAAAATAGAAAAAAATTGTATACACATACGAGGTGTGTTCAGAAAATAACGGGAATTGTTAAATTTCGCGGGTTCGGAGGGTCTGGTCGTCATAAAATTTTCTTTATTATGTTGGTATACATGCCCCCGAAGTATGATAAAAACTAGCTGTTTTCATTGTTAACTTTGTCTGTGCCAGCCGCTAAGGTTAGACGTGTTTTATGAGCTCGGCGATATTTCGTTCGTTAAAAAGAAATGGATCAAAGAATTTGTATCCAATTTTGCTTAAAAAATTAAATAAATTATGTGAAATGTTAACAAAGGCCTATAGTGAGTCTGCTATAAGTAAAACAAGAGTTTACAAGTGGTATAAGCGTTTCCAAGATGGCCGTGAAGACGTTGAAGATGACGAACGCCCCGAACGCACAAGCACATTAACAACCGATAAAAACATGGAAAAAGTGGAAGAAATGGTTATAAACCATCAGAGAAGTCGCTGATGATGTTGGTATATCGATTGGCTCTTCCCATGAAATTTTTTCGAATGTTTTGGGTATGAAACGCGTGGCAGCAAAATTTGTTCTAAACATTTTTGGCCAAAAACAATACTGTAACGATGCCCCAGCCTCCATATTCGCCAGACATGCCTCTGTCTGACTTTTTCTATTCCCAAAAATAAAGAGAACCTTAAAGGGCCGTCGTTTTGCAAGCATAGATGACATTAAAAGCGCATCGCTGAAAGAACTAAAGGCTATCCCAAAGATCGAGTTTTAGAAGTGTTTCGAGTATTGGAAGAAGAGCTAGCACATGTGCATAATATCCAAAGGGGACTATTTTGAAGGCGACAACATTAATGTAGACGAATAAATAAATTTTTCTTTCAAAAAACGAAAATTAAAAAAAAAACAAGCCTGTAATATTTGCTTATGTCCCGATTCTTTATGTTCATCATCGGCCTTAACATGATATAATTTGATTAAAGCGTTGAAGATTTTTAAATTTTTTCCTGAACTTGCCATTGACATTTTTCAGATCACACCATCGTCGGGAGAAATTCATTTTCTTGATCACTTTCCATGTGACGAGACTTGAAGTTACTGGTCGAAAAACCTTAGCAGCAATGGACTAAAATGATGTGAACAAGTGTTGTGGTTTCGGCGGTGGCTGCACCGGTGGGCAGTCCGCCCCTGTGTCAGTGTGGCATTCTCCGGTGGATGTTTATGAGTCTCGTCGGTCCGGTCGGGCAGTTTTTCACAACGATTTTGAAATATTTGCAGCGCTGGCTGACGTCGTTTAGCGGCTAAAATGAGCTCGGACGGAATGCGCTGCTGTCGGTGTCTTTTGCAATTCTGTTTTTGAATTAATTCACGAAGAATACTAATGAAGTCCGAGTATTAACTAAATGTATTCTTGTTTTCGCCACTTTGCGACTTGTCTCTCATACCGTTTCTGGGAATGAATCCGCTCGCTTGCCGAAAACTCTGCTCTCCTCCTCTTCTTCTTCTTCTTCTTCTTCCTTCATATTCTTCGTCTCTACAGGGTGAACTACCGAATCGATTAAGATTTCTTCTCTTCTCGGCCAAGACAACTCTACCTACTACCGGCTGATTTTCCCGCTCTTACTACCACAAGATTTATAACTTTATCATTTGGGTAAATGAGTTGTTTTAGTTTGCCCTATTACTATTATTTCGACTAAATAGTGAATAACTTGTAAAATTGTAATCAAATTTAGAATTATAATTTTCATTACAATGATATCTTATCGTTATAAATGAAAATACTGAACCGCGCTCTTTATAAACTAACTTTAAATTACCTCAGGCTATTCTTCCGAAGATTCCGTTGCTATTCAAAATACATTTATTAATTCTCACGACGCGGGCTGCAATAAGCAATTACACTGTTCAAAATTTCATCACCATTTTAACACCATACATGGTCTATATCGATACAAACCAAAATGGTGTTAAATATGGTTCGTTCGTCCAGTGTAAATTCAAATACTAATATAGTGTAAATTTAACTTTCACACAGTATTAAAATAAATTTTACCTGCTGTAAATTGAACTCCTCAGTGTTAAATATTATGTGTTTTTGGTGAAATTAAATCATATTACAACGCATTACCAGTGGTATTATTCCAGAAAATTGAACCTTCAACTCGCTAGAGATAAATTTTTTAGTGCGTTTCACCAACTTAAAATACTTCAAGTATTGACAGCTGTTTCCACCTATTTAAGGTTTCTTTAGTATCGAACAACTTGTAGTGTCACACCAAAGCAAAGGACTACCTGAGCTTATATACTCTTCATGTAAGTCAACAGAGGCGAGATTTAAGAACATCACGCCTTTGTCGCGATCGGTACACACTATGCAACCAGGAATGCACGGCAAATTGTTTTAATCGTTTTAACAGAGTGCTTTAGGTTGAAGTAACTCTTATTTTACAAACAACATATTTAGTAAACTGAACCATACAGCGGGTTGGTTTCACTAAAGTTTTCTGTGTTAATTTAACCAATTTAAAAAAAAATAAAATAACTATCTGGTTTAGTACCATCATACTAATCTTTGTTTATATTAACCTTCCCACAGTTGATTTTAATAAATACTTATGGGTCAACTAAATTAATATAGTTAAATGAACTACACGAGCCGCCACTGAATCATATTTCAAGTGGTCAAATATTTCTTATAGGTTTATTTACCTTTAATTAACTTTTAAATATTTATTTCGTAAGATTTATTTAAATATTAATTAATTAAGACAAGCAAAGACAATATTTAAATATTTAAGTGCGAATTTGATTGGCATTAATATCACTTTTACTATCGTGTAGGTTATAAGCAGAACATCATAACTTTTTTATTATTATTTTGGCATTTACTTATTTATTCGCATATCATAAATGTTTTTAAAATGTTGCCCAGTTTTATTACTTATTACAAAATCCTGTTTTAGTTTTACTCTCCAAAAATGTTCATTTTGAACACCAGTATGTTAACTTTATTACTTTTTTTCGATAAATCAATGTATAAATATAAATTTATATTCTAAGCTGCGACATTTTTCAAATAAATCAAAGATTATAAAAATTAAAAAATATATATATTGTTAGTTTTTAGAGTCCATAAAATTTTTTAATTTTATGTATTAGGATAGTAGTTTGATTTACATTTAGATGACTTTAACGATTACAAAGCCAAAGTGTATTACCACGTAGATGGGCTCATAGATATAAAATCCTTAGAGACTGTAATAAAATTACACATGTAAATACGAGCAGTGCTGCCAAATTCACCATTTAGATAATTGCGATTTTAAACATAAAAGTAGTAAAGCTTCAATCAATAATTATTATACTACAGACCAGTGGCGGCCAGTGACATTTCATTTTGGTGAGGCATTTTAAATAAACCTCATTTTTGTCTAATTAATATTTCATTGTTCAACAAGAACCACGAGAAGGTCAACAATATCGGTACAGTTTCTCACCGTAATACCCATAATGACTAAATTCACATAAATCACCAAGTTCAATTAACTAAACACACAGAATAAACCACTTACAAAAGAATCATAAAATAGACAAAAAATGAATAAACAAAATATTGCGTAAATAACCACAGATTTGTTCTTTAAACAGTTCAGAATTTTATAACCAAAACAAACCTAAAGAAGGAATCTGTATTTATTTTATTGGTTACTGTGATGGCTACAAGATGG